CCCAAGTGGTTGCAGTAGGAAAGGAAGCGGGTCGGCGGGGTCGTTGAAAGCAAGAAACCCTTTGCATTTTTACGAGATTTCCTTCCTTTCTTCTAGCGTCTTACCAGCAAGCTACGCGTCTACTCTTTGTTGGCCGAAGTACTCGACCCTAACGGAGGAGGACCGCGACAAGTAGGTGGAGAAGCAGGGTACTTCTCACTGACAAGAGAGGCGCCTGGATCAAGGCGTGCTGAAGGAAGAAGGCGGTGGGGAACTGGATGAGTTCTCCAAGGACGCCCGGCGACGGGCAGGGTGATGGCGTGACCGACGGGAGCGAATCGAACTTCGACTTCGAGGGCGCCACGGACGTGTTCGGCAGCAGCGAGAGCAAGGCCAGCGCTGAGAAAGTGGCGGCTGGCAACGTGCTGGGCCCGATCGCGGAGGAGCAAGCCGTCGGGCAAGACGACGAGGCTCCAGGTGCAGAGGCCTCGGCGGTGCCCGTGGGCGAGGCGCCCGACCGGCCGGACCTGAGGATGGGCGCCGAGGCCCAGGGGCGTGCGAGCCTGCTGGAGACGTCGCGTGGGCGGCGTGCGCTGGACGCCTCCCTCCGGGAGCTGGTGCTAAGAGCTCCTGCGGTGGCTGGCGGTGAGGCCCGGGACGTGCCTGCGACGACTGCGCCGACGACGGGCGTGGTGGCGACGGTAGTGGCGACGTCCTCGGGGACAAGGTTGAGCGAGAGTGTGCCAGGCGAGGCGACGCCCGTGCCGGGAGATGCGAGCGCGGTGCCGACTTCCGCGTTTGCAACTCCGCCGGCCGCGTCAATGGCGGGAGCGAGCGGAGCCCCTGCTCCGGCCCCTGCCCCTACAAGAACGAGGACGACGAGGACCCTGACGTGGGCCGACGTAGCGGCGATGGCGGCTGGTATGGGACCGCCTCCGCCGACAGCGGCGAGCACGGGACCGCCTCCTACCACGGTGTCTGCGGCGACAGTGGCTTCGGCGGCTCCCTCGACAATGAGTTCCGCGAGTACCACTTCGACGGCAGGTACCGGACCGGTACCGTCGGGTGGGACTCACGGGCCGAGCGGGAATCCGAACGTGGAATTGCTGGCGCGGGTATTGACGCGGGCTTTGAGCACGCCCCCACCGACATCCCAGGGTCCTACGGTTCAACAGGGAGGAGGAACGAGTCTACCACCGCCGACGGCGGGAGGCACGGGACAAGCTCCTCCGCCTGCGGGAGGTACGGGACAGGGGCCGACTACGTCAAGTGCGGCCGCCCAAGCGTATCAAGCTCCGAGCGCGGCGTGGCCAGTGAGCCCGCCGGTGGTGTCTGCGCAGCCGACGGTGGCGGCCCGGCCGACTCAGAGTGCGCCCGCTCGGGGGAACGTGAACCCCTCGGCAGAGGCGTACCTCGACTCGCTGGTGCGGCAGGCACTGCAGCAATATCTTGGGGGAGCGGCTGGAACGGTGGCGGCCACGGGAGTGCCGACGCCAAACGCGGCTCTGATGCAGAGCGTGCCTGTGCAGACTACGACGGTCTTGTCTCGACCGGTGCCGTCCGTGCCGACGCCGACGCACATGATGGTTCCGGCGCCGAATCCGAGCGCTTTGTCGATGGCGGCGATTCCCTCGTACGGAGAGCTGACGATCGCGCAGACGCCGATGGGCGGAGGCGGGGCGACGCCCGCGAGCGCGTTCTACCCCTCGTTCCAGCCGGTGAGCGCGATGACGCCGGTGGCGAGTATGCCGATGAGCCAGTCCGCAGGGGCTGCGCCTGGTGCCTATAGTGGGCAGATGGCTGTGAGCGCGGCTGCAACGCCGATGGGGGCGGCCGCGTCGGCTCCGTTGAGTTGAGCATGGGATCGTACGGGCAGCAGCCGGGCTACCAGCAGTACGTGCCCCCGGTGACGTCGGAGACGCCCGGGTACGGTCAGGGGTACGCCGGCTACACTGCCCCTCTTTCGACTGGTCTCGCTCCCGCGTTTGGAGCTGGCCAAGGTGGAGGAGTAGGTGCGACCAATGAGGCAAGGAGTGTTGCGTATGGAGGCTCCCACGTGGGTGGCATCCCCACGGAGCTTCGCAATGCGGTGAAGGTGATCGTGCCGTTCTACTCGGAGGTTGCATCGAGCGAACGTGCTGCTGCGTTCTGGCGGTCGTTCGAGAAGTGCACCGAGGGCATGGATGACGCTCTGCGACTGACAGCATTCGAGCAGTGCATGAAGGGCAAGGTTGGCCAAGAGTGGTGGTACAACTCCAGGATCGAGAACTTCACGACGCTCAAGATCCGCTTCCACAACCGGTTCGTCAGCCGTACGCCGGCTCAAATGTGGAGCCAGCTACGCCCGGCGAGGCGGAACTACGGTGAGTCGGTCGAGGAGTGGGGCGACCGCGTCAACAGGATGTGCGAGGCGCTCCGCTACAACGGGCCACGCATGCGGTACGAGTTCTTCGTAGAGGGCCTTCGCAACAAGCAGTTGCGTGCCATGCTGAACGCGAGCGTGGTCTCGACGATCGAGGAGGCGGGTACGCTACTGTTGTTCAAGGGACTGCATCGACCGGTGGAGGAAGAGGACGAGTTCGCCGAGAGCGAGAAGACGTCCGGCGGTGGTAAGACGGAGCAGTCCAAGCTGGCCGATCAGGTGCACGAGATGCACGGGATGATGAAGCAGCAGCAGAGGGCGCTCGCGTCTGCGCCTCAGGCTCCGCGTTCTCCTCGCCGACCCTCGATCAATGCCGCGGCGCCGACACAGACGGCGGCTGCGAGTTCGGGTGAAACCGGTGGTGGTGGTTCGGAGCGTCAACTCCATATTCGCATGGCGCCTGACACGCACACCCAGGAAGGCGAGACGGTCTGCGGTCGCTGCGAGCGACGGAACTGCAGTCGCTTGACGTACGCCCGAGGTAAGGGGACGTGCAACCGCTATGGCGAGTTCGGCCACTTCTTCATGGAATGCTACTTGCCCAGAACACCGACGAATGGCGGTTCTCGGGGCAACGGAGGAGGTGGTGCTCAAGGCCAAAGGACAAGGCAGCGCGGCCTGTGTGACGGCACGGACCACTTCATGGCGAAGTGCCCGTACAAGGCGCAGTTGAAGGATCTGCTCAAGAGCTTGGCCGGGAAGGACCCCGCAGTACTAGCGGAGGCCCTGAACCGAGCGTGAAGAGGGCAGGAGGAGGGAGAAGGAAGTGTCGCTCCTTCCTCTTGCCTGACGGGCAACACAGCGGAGCACGTCGTGGCGGCGATGGCGGAAATCGGCGAACGGTTGGGTGCTCTGCAGGACGAAGGCAGCGCGTCGCGTGACGAAGACGGTGGCGTGTTGGCCGGGGAATCGACGGAAAATGTTAGTGGTGAAACAGAAGAGAAGGTAGGTACTGCCCCGCGTGGCACACTTGCCGATGAAGGCCTGGACGACGACACGAGCGAGAACGGCGAAGCCGAACTCGTCGTGCTGAAGGTGAGCGCGGACGGGCGCGTGAAGAGCTCCGTCACGGTGAAAGTGAACAAGGAGGTGGTGCGTGCGGGCACCGTCTTGACTGGAATGCGCGTCCCCGGAGCAACGAAGAGCTCGGGCGCAGACTGCGACAAGGACCCCGACGGCGCGATGAAGAACGCCGTCGTGGGCAACATGAACGACCAGGACGGTGCGAAGGAGGGCACTGGCCCGAATGATATGGTAAACGCGGGTGGTGCGACGGAAAGCACTGTCCCGATCGGAAGGAGCAGCGTCGGGTCTGGACGCTGGAGGGTTACTCCGCGAGGTTACCTCTGGCACGGACACGCTGGAAGATTGCATTGAAGATGCTGAGGTCGCGCGGCTGGAGCGGTTCTCCACTGTGACCAAGGCAAACGACACGGCCGAGTCGGATACTCAGGGCCGTGCCGAGAAGGGCGGAACACCTTCGACTGAGAGTACCAAGGGTAGAGCGTCTCAGGCTCGCTATGGATGCCTGTTCGCCGACCGAGAGCTGGAGCTGCTCGAACAGGGTGAGTATGGGCTGGCGAGCGACGAACCTGATGAGTACGACAAGGAGTTGGAGGAACGGCTGTTCCCCCGAGACGAAGTGGAGATGAAGCGGCGGATGCAGGAGAACGCCGCGAGGCAGAAGGCGATGAGCATTGAAGAGATGAGCAAGATGCTCGGAATTCCAGTCGCGAAGCTGGAGCGGACGAAGGAGGTGGCGCGGCGTGCCGGCTCCACGCCCGAGTACTGGCTGGAATGGTACGATAAGATGCTGGCGGTGGCCAGCGAGGCGAAGCGCGCCAATCGTGACTTCAAGGGGCACGGGCCCTACCAGAAACCAGAAGCAAAGTCGACAGGCCCGTTGGCGGCCGTCGCTGACGGTCCCAACCCACACGAAGGAGTCGTCGAGGTCACGAGTGCCGCGGCTCGGGTGAGCGGTGGAATGGAAAAGGGGATTATCGAGTCAGCGAGGGACCACGGGAAAGATGAGGCTGCGGTAGAGCAGGAAGTCGTGAGAAATGTGTGCTCGAGTCTCGCTAAGAACGAGGCAGCGTCGGAGAGCGAGACCAAGGACGAGATGGACCGTGAAGACAAGACGGTCCCATTTACCAGTCGGTCGGTGATACGGAAGGTTGTTCACCGACGGCTGAAGGGGTTGGTGAGGGACGGTGAGGACGGCGCCGACGGCAAGGTGCCCCCGTTCCGTGACAAGAACCCGGCCGGCCTGGCCGAGGACGAGAAGGAGTGGCTACGTGGGCAACCCCGAGTCTCGTTTAAGGGGGTCGACGAGAGGCGGCTGCGGGTATTGGCAGATTGGTCCGAACGATGTTACGCCGGGGAGGCGGCGGCCATCTGCGAGAAGCTCAAGCTGCGCGCGAAACGAGGAGTGGCTGAGGCTCGCGTGGGCAAGGATAGTGCCCCGGGCAAGGCCGAGAAGCACGTGTCGTTCCAGGTGGGCGGCACGGTGTGCGTGGTGAAGGGGCCTCCTGAGCGAGACAAGGCTCTGGAAGAGGATAGCCCTCACTGCGTTCACGTGATCGGCGCCGTGGGGCGGCCGAGGCGTCGGAAACTGGGGCTAAGGCCCGTGGACTTTGGGGATGAAGACGACGAACGAGTCGTCCCCGAAGGCAAGCGCGTGATTGGAAGTGTGGGTGGTATTGAGGCCCTGGCGGGAGGTTTCATCGGCGACGTGCCGACGGAGATGCTCATCGACACGGGCGCGATCGCGAGTCTGGTGGACAAGAAGGTGCTCAAGTGGCTCGGGCGTTCTGCCGAGACGTTGAGACCATACACGGGCGGACTGGACAGTGTCACGGGGCACGAGGTCCAGATCAAGGGCGTGATCGACCTGCCCGTGACACTTGGCTCCCTGGAGAAGTTGTTGCCGTTCGCGGTCGTGAACCGCCTGCACGTCGATTCGATCCTGGGCACGGACTCGCTGCAGTTGTTCCGTGCCGTGATCGACATGGAAGCGCAGACGATGACGCTCAAGGATACGGACGAGGTGATCCCGTTGGGCGAAACTCGCGTGGAGGAGTCGTACTCCGCGAGTGTTGCGGCGACCGTGCGTCTCGAGCCCGGCTCGCAGACGTTGGTACGATCGAGGGTGCGCGGCGGCGCCAGGCAGGGCTCCGTCGTGCTCGTCGAAGGACTCGCTGGCGGTGAGGCGTCTCTGCGAGTTGCCAGGGCGCTGTGCACGGTGCATCAAGAGCAAGTCCTGGTTGAGGTTTGCAACGCCTCGATCGAGGAGATGGTCATCGGTGAGGGCGCCGTGATAGGCGTCGCGTCCGCCGTGCCTGAGTCGGCTTTCTCGTTCGAGCGTGAAGAGCCGTCCGGGTCGGAGGACGTGAGCAAGGTCATTGGGTCGGTGTCGGCCGAGAAGGATCCGTCGCAGGACGCCCGCGAGGCGAAGATGGAGTAGGAGCTGGCCAAGGTGGCTGCGGAAGACCTCCAAGCCGACTTCAGCGACTCGTCCATGGACGCCGAGCAGCAGGAGCTATTCGCGAGCATGTTGGGCGACTTCAAAGACATGTTCGTCGAGACGTCGAAGCGTCCGGGGCGGACGGACTTGCTACTGTTCAGCATCGCATGCTCCGATCAAGCAGCCCTCGTACCGAGTGTCGAAGGCGGAGGGTGACGTGATGGAGGCGGAGATCCAGCAGTATCTGGAGCTCAACCTCATCCGGCCGTCTTCGAGTCCGTGGGCAAGCCCAGTGTTGATGAAACGCAAGCCGGATGGTGGAATTCGATTCTGTATTGATTACCGGAAGCTCAATGCAGTCACTGTGAAGGACAGCTACCCTATGCCTCTTATCGACGACATCTTGGACGTCCTGGGGCGGGCGAAGCTCTTCTCGACGATGGACATCGCGTCCGGGTACTGGAACGTGCCCATGGAGCCTGGAAGTGTCGAGAAAACGGCCTTCACGAGCAAGTTCGACCTGTACGAGTGGCTCATCATGCCGCTCGGGCTGTGCAATGCGGTGCCGGCCTTCGAGCGCTTGATGGAGAACGTGCTGGTCGACTTGAAGTGGAGGACGTGTCTAGTGTACTTGGATGACTGCGTCGTGTTCAGCGACGACTTCGCGAGCCACTTGGTCCGCGTGTGACAGGTGCTGGAGCGGTTCCGAGCGGCGGGCTTCAAATTGAAGATGAAGAAGTGCCATTGGGGTCGTGCCCAGGTTGCGTTCCTGGGTCACATAGTGACGCCCTCGGGCATACTGCCCAACCCGGAGAAGGTGAAGGCGGTACTCAACATCGCGAAGCCGTACGACTTACGCACGCTGCGTGCGTTCCTCGGGCTGACGAGCTACTTCAGGAGATATATCCCTGGGTACGCTGCGATCGCTGCGCCACTGGAACGGCTGAAGCAGAAGGAGACGGTCTTTTGCTGGGGTGGAGACTGCGATTCGGCGTTCTACCAGCTGCAGCGCAGCTTGGTACGCCCGCCGATCCTGGTGTATCCGGACTTCACTAAGAGATTCAAGCTGTACGTGGACTCCTCGCACCTGGCGGTGGGGGCGTGCCTGATGCAAGAGGTGGACGGCCGAGACTGGGCCATCGCCTACGCGAGCAAGATGCTGGTGGGGTCGCAGCGGAACTGGATCCGCAAGACGGACGGTACAACGGAGATCGAGTGCTGGGGCGTGGTCTGGGCCACGCGGAAGTTCCGGTGTTATCTCGACCACACGGAGTTCGACCTGTATACGGACCACCAGGCTCTGACCTGGATCTTCGGTGAGAATACGCGGACGACGAACGCGAAGTTGGCGCGCTGGGCTATGGAGTTGTCCCAGCTACGCTTCAAGATTCATCATCGTGCAGGGTCGCTCATGGGTCACGCGGACGGCCTGTCGAGGCTTCGACAGCGGCCCGTTATTGGCGCGGTGACCATGAACGACCTGCTCAACCCGCCTGGACGTCTCGAAGGTGACGGTCCGGGCCGGCTACGACCTTTGCGGCTTGAAGACGTATGGATCCCTGTGGCGACGCCCGAAGGGCGTGGCGCCGACGAAGTCGGGGAGCGTTCGGGCCGAGATGAGGGGCGTGGAGAAGTGCGACGACCGCTGCGTCTGGAGGACGTGTGGATGACTGGAGCGGCTGACGACGAGGGTACGGCCGTCGAAGTCGAAGAGCAGCATGAAGGCGATGAGCGCCTGAGCGAGCGCGTCGAGCCGGACCTGGCTCCGAGTGCGGACGAGCGAGATACCGTCCCAGCCAGAGAGCGGGGCAACGACGAGAGAAGAACGGAGGTCGCGCGTGACTCCGAAGAGGCCGCTCGAGGCGAGGGTCCGCGTCTCACGCAGGAGGAGCAGAAAGAGGACGAGGGCGGCAGGACGGAGGCGGACTATCCCTCCGCCATGGACTCGTTCGGGCTCGACAGCGAGAAGTTCGTCGAGGAGCAAGGGCGGACTCCGTGGATGGTGGCGATGAAAGCGTTCCTCGAGAGCGGAACTCTCTCGATGGACGTGCAGCTACGCGTGCTAATTCTACGAATGTCACCGAACTTCGTGATGAAGAACGGCGTGCTGATGCGTCGCGTATACCTGAAGGCACGGGCTGGACCGGCGAGCACGATCACGGTGCCGGTCATCCCGTTACCGTTCATCGAAACCGTGCTACACTTCTGTCATGCAGACATCTTTTCGGCCCACTTGGGCAAGACGAAGACTATAGATCGGGTGCGGCGGCACGCGTACTGGCCTGGATGGAAGAAGGACGTGGCCGAGTACGTGCGCTGCTGCCCGATATGCAATGGCGGAAAGGGGTCGCGGCCGTGGAAGGCTGGACGCATGCAGAGGATGTCGATCATGGGCTTGTCGGGTTCGTTCTCGTTGGTGGTCGTGGACGCAATAGGCCCGCTGCCCGCGACGGAGCGCGGCAACAAGTACATCTTGGTCTTCGCGGACTACTTCACCAGGTGGGTGGAGGCGTTCGCGGTGGCGGCGCTGGACTCGATCACGTTCGTGGACGTCATGGTGGACGGGGTGATCTGCAGACACGGGGTGCCCGAGCAGCTACTGAGCGACCGCGGCACGAACTTCACGTCCGAGCTAGCGCGCTCGCTCTATCAGACGCTTGGCATCAAAAAGCTGTTTGGGTCGGCGTACCACCCGCAGACGCAAGGACTGGTCGAGCTGTTCAACGGCACGCTGCTGGGCATGCTGAGGATGTTTGTGCACGAGTCTCAGAATGACTGGGACGTCTACTTGCCGCGTGTGTTGTTTGCGTATGGGTCCTCGTACCATGAGGCCCTCGGCGACTCGCCGTTCTTTAGTCTCTACGGCCGAGACCCGAAGCTCACGCTGGATTTGGCCTTTATGAACACCGGTTCGGACTGGAAGTCGAGTGAAGTGGCCTCATACAGGCGACAGCTGTACCAGTCACTGCACGACTCGCGGCGCATGGTTGAGCGCCAGCTGATCAAGGCTCAGGACCGTCACGAGAGACGGCTGAGAGGGCAGAAAGAGGTCGTGTTCGCAGTGGGAGATGCTGTGTGGGTGTACCAGCTCTTCCGCGCGCGAAGAGGGGAGCGGAAGACGAAGAAGCTCGCGTTCACTTGGCACAGACCCTACCGAGTGCTCGGCCAAGTCGGGGAGAACGCGTACAGGATCGACACCCCGAGCCATCCCGACAAGGTCGTGACCGTGAACGTGAATAGACTGAAAAGGTTCAAGGGGCGATGGAGCCGACCCTTTGTGGGCGACGTGCCCGAAGGTGTGGACGGCTCGCCCGAGGTCGAAGAAGAAGGGCCTCTCGAAGAGGACGACTTGCCGGAGACGAGCTTCGTGGAACGCGTAACCATCGGCGGTGAGGAGACGGCGTTCACGAACGCGGGCTGCCTGTGATCAACATTGTGGGGAAACGCGTCGAGAAGAAGGAGGTGCAGTATTTGGCGCTGACTGCAACGTACGAGACGTTCTGGCTGTCACGCGCTGCGCTCTCGCCCGAGTATGACGTGCTGATCACGGCGTATGAGAACGCCATGCGGAGACGGAAGGGTCTACCTGAACTACGGCGAAGCGTGCGGCTAATGGAAGCCAACGCCGTGGTCGACGAAGATGAGCTCCTCTTCTAGCGTTGGGGTCGTGCTCGACCCACGCTAGGAAGATGGAGGCGGTAATTGTGGATAGCTTCAAGGGGAGGCAGTGTGCCTCGAAGCTCGTGAGGATTGGATATTGTGTTTTATTGCTTTACGGGAACTCGGCTTGGAGATGTTGGGAATGCGGCGCTGCTGTGGACACGGAAACAGAGACGACAAGATGAAAGAAGACTCAAGTTGAATTAATTGGAATTACGGGAATTAGCGTGGCACATGCAGGCGTCTGGGGGACGCAGAAACGAAGGACGCCTTACTCGTCGTCAGCAGCAGGGGCGAGCGCGGTCGGCTTGCCTTCATCGTCCTCGAAATCGGAGAAGTCGTCGGTCTTGATGTCGGAGGGCGAGAACGTCGTGATCGACGTGGGCTGGTAAGAGCCGTCCTTGATCGCTGGGGCCAGGATGGCCTCGGTTTCTTGGGCAATCTTGCTGTCGATCAGCACGTGCCATGGGCCGACGTCCTCATCTCCCACCCAGTCGGCGTTTCTCGGCGCGTCGCTCTTGATGTCCATGCGGATGCGTGCGAGCGCGTCGAGGGAGAGACGGTGCTCGGCTGGGGCATTCGGGTCGAGAGCGCGCGTGGACTCGAGCAGGTGGCGTAGGCTGTGATAGCCATAGTCGTCGATCAGCGCCGGGTTGAGAGCGTTGTCGATGACGAACTCGAAGCGCTCCGAGTCCGTGCGGTAGAGCGAGGCCAGGTCTTCGGCGCACACGCCGTTGTCGGTGCGCTTCTCGCCGGAGCCCTTGCCGCCTTGCCCGCCGTACCAATACCGGTCGTCGTGGCCCTCGAGCAGCCGGTAAAAGCCGAAGTAGCCCCAAGTCTCAATGCAGAGACTGGTGAGGCGGAGGCGCGCGATGCCCGCTCGGAGCTTCGATTTGCGGCGGTTGTCCGTGTCCTTCTTGATCGTCAAGGGCGCTGAACGCCCAGTGCCAGAAGAGCGCGCGGAACAGCATGTAGAAACGCCAGTGCTCGCGATAGACCTGGGGGTACTTTACCGGGTCGTACCAGAGGCTGCGGTCGCACCACGGATAGGCGACCCGCCACGGCATCTTGCCCTCGGCGACGCACTTGGCCAGCACGGCAGCGATGGCGTCACGAACGGCTTGGGCGCAGCTGGGCTGACGCGAAGAATCTCGTCGATGTCAATGGGCTGGACCTCGTCGTCGGTCTCGGCGCGAGCCTTTTTGCTGGACGGCGTGCTCGCGGGGCTGGGCGACGCCGCGCGTTTGTTGCTGCGGCGGGGCGCTTTGCCCTTGCCCTTGCCGGACTTGGGCGGCGGCGACGGAGAGCGTGACTTGGGCGGACGTGGCGACGACGGAGGATCAGCGGGAGCGGCGGAATCGGTCGAGGGAGGAGCGGAAGGCAGTGGCGGCAGCACGAAGATGGGACCGCCGAGGATCGGGTCTTCCTGCTCCTCGAGCACGGCGTCGACGACTGCCTGTAGGTGCTCGAGTCCCTGGGACTGAGGGTTCGCGGAGAGCACGCAGCGCACGCGCTCCCAGAACGCCGTCTTGATGGTGCGCTGGTCCGTCCCGAGAGAGTCATCAAGAAGCCCAATGATGAGCTCCTTGATTTCCTCAATCTCCTCCGCCGAGAATGCGCAGCGAAGCTTGGACATCGTGGCGAGTGGCGAGTGGTGCGTGGCGCGTGGCAGATTCTCAAATGAGAGATTCGCCGAAAGAGCGGCTGCATGCTCTCCAGGAGCGGTCCTACTACGTTCTTGCAGAACGTTCTGCAAGGAGTGGACTGCGATAGCGGCGTCGGCAACTTGCCGAAGAACGGACCTGATGGCCGTTGGCTGCGGCAACGGTTGGTTGCCCCCCCCCCCTGCATTTTGCGAAACTCGGCGGCAGCAGCTCATGGACGATTGGCCGCTGGCCGTCACGATACTCGCGGACGTGCGTGACTACTTCGAGAAGGGCGTGCATCCGATGGTGTGGGCGGCGCTGGGCGTTGCCGCATGGCACGTCATTACGCCCGTGTTGAACGTGTTGTGGGTGTTTGGGGCCTCGGTGCGCGAGACTGGGCTCGTACTCTACTTCTTCGGGTTCACCTGCGTCGACAGGTACATGTCGGCGATAAGGAGCTCGCGTGTCCCAGGGCTGGAAGCGTCGGAATACGCGTGGGCTGCGCTATCTCTACTGGTGGTGGTGCCGATTGCTGTGCTGCGGGAGCACGAGCAGCTTTTCGGCATGGTCGGGGAAATGTGGCATGCTTGGTGTGTGGCGATACATCAAACTGTGTTCTTGTTCCTGCCGGATGCAGGACAACTGATGCTGCAGGCCGCGCGGCGTTACGCGTGTGCGCTCGGCGAAGCGGCTGTCGCTATGGCTGGCCGTGTAAGTGATGGCGTCTATGGCGTCTACGTGCAGATTGCGCTGTGTGTGTCCGTCGTGGCTCACGCACCTCGCATTGCGTATGACGTCCTCGAAGGACTGCTGCACGGGTCAACGGGGGTCGCTGTGGTGCTCGGCGTGTGGAACGCCTGGTGCGGATTCTCGCTGGTGACCACGAGGGTGAGCGGCGTGCTGCTGCTTTGTGGGCTTTACAGCCATCTCGTACGACGCTGCCACGGGCGCGTGCCGACGAAGGCGCCGAAGAAGGTCGCAAGGTCGGGGTTGGGCGCTCTGCGTGAGCGCAAGGACGCGAGGGAGCGCGCAGAGAAGGCAAGTCTCAACAAGCTGCGTGGCGTACGTCGTCGGTCGGCGGTGGTACCGTCGAAGCCGGTGACGAACGGGCCGGAGGTGGCCGTGGTCGTCGACGAGGCGGACGGGCAAGGTCCGACGTGCCCCGCGACTGCGACGAGTGAGGACAAGGGCGAGGCTGGCCGAGGACGGCAGCCTGAAGTCGGGGAGAGTTGTCACGGGTCACGTCTGAGACCTCAACTGACAGCTTTCCTGACGATGCTCGAAGGCGCGTTAGAGCAGGAAGAGGCGCGACTTCAAGAGGAGCAAGGGCAGGACGGGCTAGCATATTAAGTGTGAGTGGTTATCCCTCTCTTCAAGGCAAAGATGACGCGAGATGGCGGGCTGGGCGCGGAACGTTCGGTCGCCAGCCGCCAAGGACGGGTGTCATGGACGCCAGGAAGCTCGTGCACGGGAGGTGTGGCGTCCCCAAGTGGTTGCAGTAGGAAAGGAAGCGGGTCGGCGGGGTCGTTGAAAGCAAGAAACCCTTTGCATTTTTACGAGATTTCCTTCCTTTCTTCTAGCGTCTTACCAGCAAGCTATGCGTCTACTCTTTGTTGGCCGAAGTACTCGACCCTAACGGAGGAGGACCGCGACAGGACTTTGGAAAGCTGAGGCAACAGTCTATATTCCCCTCCTACCTGAAAACCAGCTGCTTTACTAATGACGCCTTGGGCGCCATTAACGGTGCTGTTGTGCTGTCGCATTAAAGGTGCTCTAACCACGTCGCGCCTGGATGTCTTTCGTATTTGTCACCCCAGGATTTTTTATTTCTTGCTTGTTCGCGGTCTTCTTCAAATAGCGGGTAGGGAGAGAACTCTATTGCAGGGACCTACTGGGGCGACTCGATGAGCACTCAAGCATTTCGCCCCACTTCCGCAAAAGCGACCCATGGCTAGCAGCATGGGTTCATTAGAGAGTGCTTCGTGACGAAGTAACTCGGGCAAATAGCTGTGCCACTGAAGTAGAATACATGCGTCCGTTTTGTCAAAAACGGCCACAATTGTATGGAGCTTGACACCGACACAGAACGATGCCTACGCTACTACCAAACTGCTAAATGCCTCGTGCATTGTGTGCATGTATCAGCTGGCAGCGTGGCAACGTTGCATAGCGTAAGTACTGTTTCGTAGAACTCATACGTAGATTCGCGTGCAAGCTGTTGCTGCCTGGGTGTGAATAACAACTATATCAGGTTGTCAGTACCTGTAATGCTACATGTATTAATATGCTGTAACGCAACGCAAACAAGTGACTTCGGATACTGTATTGCGTTGACCCACATTCGCAAAGTAAGCAGGTTGAATATCACTTGTAGAGTCTTCAGTGCTTCGTACTTGAGAGCGTAGATAATACATGTACTTACGATCCTAAATGTTAGCACAGTACCAAACAACACTTTGAAAGTATTGATCACACTTCACATGTCAAACCATACTACCCTGATGCTCGAAAATGTACAAGAAGAAGTACTCTTTCTTGAAGTACTATAGTAGTACAACATACTCCTACCTCCGTGCAGTTCACCACAGTACTACAAACACAGTTAGGAGCCAGTAGTACGACGTAGTACTATGTATTGTTAAGACCTCAGTAGGACAAAGCGGTATTACTACTACTAAACTACTACCAATTCAAAAACTTCCAACAGAAACAAACGGTTCCTGAAAAGAAGAGTTATATTTCGCACACAATACTGGGTAGCAGCTGCAACGATGACTTCCATGGACACCTTCGTAGCCACTAGTAGTAGATCAACATCCTAGGATACGCGCTTACTGCTCGCGACGCGAGTCGTACTCGGCCTGGATCTCCTCGGCCGACTTGCCCGACGTCTCCGGCACCAGCTTCAGCGCCAGCAGGTAGAAGATCGCCAGCAGCACCACGAACGGAACGTACGCGTAGTCGTTGAAAGCGTCCGACACGTACGGGTACGACACGCCCACGATGAGGTTGCACAGCCAGTTGATGCCGATGCACAGCGACGACGCGCTGGCGCGGATCGAGTCCGGGAAAATGTCGGCCGTCATCACCCACACCAGAGGACCCAGCGTCACGCCGAACACGATCACGTACAGCGCAGTGAACACGATCGACAGAGCAGACACGTCCACGATGAACGCCACCGTCATACCGATGGACATGACCACCATGCCCGACAGGCCCCACAGGATCATGTTGCGCGCGCCAAAGCGGTTGGCCAGCACGCCCGTGAAGAAGGCCGGCCAGATGTTGATGAAGTCGATGATGAGCGTGCCCACGCGCGAGTCCGAGATACCGGCGTCCGAGAAGATGCTGCCCGAGTAGTAGAACACGGCGTTGATGCCCGACAGCTGCTGCGCCATCGACAGCATGATGCCGCCCAGAAGCTGCAGGCGGTAGCGCGGCGCGAACATCGACTCCTTCTTGGGCGCAGAGTCGAGCAGACCCTCCTCGGCGCTGGCCTTGCTCACCTCCAGCCACGACAGAGCCGTCTGCACGTGCTCCTCGCCGTACAGACGAGCGATGACCTGCTTGGCCTCCTCCTTGCGGCCCTTGGTCAGCAGCCACGCGGGGCTCTCCACGCACATCGACGGCGCCAGCAGCAGGTAGATCACGGCCAGCACGACCGGGAACGCAGCCAGGTAGCGCCAGCCAGAGCTCGTGTTGGCGAAGAAGAAGCAAATGGCCGGCACCAAAATACCGATCGTCGTGAAGATCTGCAGGCCCAGGCCCAGCGTGTTGCGCATGTGCGGCGGCGACAGCTCGTTGATGTAGCCGCCGATCGTGGCCGTGGCCGTACCCGACGAGAGGCCGGCGATGAGGCGGCCCAGAGCGAACAACCAAATGTTCGACACCGACGCCTGCACGACGCCGCCCACGATCATGAAGATGCAGTTGCCCATGAGGGCCTTCTTGCGGCCGTACTTGTCGCTGAAGTGGCCGCAGCACAGCGAGCCGATCATGGCGCCGAAGATCCATGCGTTCACGGCGAACGTCCACTCCAGCTTCGAGTGGCCCGGGAACATGAGGCACGTGTCCTCGGCCACGGGGCGCGCATTGCACTCGTCCGTGTCGTTGTACTGCGACAGGTTCATCTGCGAGGTCGACCAACCGCTCTGGAACGGCTGCATCCACGACAGCAGAGCGCTCGTGTACAGGATGGTCTTGGGCTTGATGAGGCGCGCGGCGGCCTTGTTGGCCTCGTCGAACGCCGTGGCGTTGGCGGCCTTGGGGGTGGTGGCCTCCGTGTAGTCAGCCATAGTGTCTCGCCTTGGTTGACTGTCGACTTGGGGGTTGCTTGGTCAAATGGAAAGTGAGCCGATCTGGTGTTCATCGGTTGGGCAGCGACCTCGATGTCGTCACAAACAGCGGCAATTGTTGTGAATTGTGTGCCGGCCTGCCTAGTTGAACTTGGGCAGGTATCCTGCCCGTACTCTTGCGAGGAAATCGGGCAGCGGTACCAGCTCGCCCCAAAGAAGGACGCAACTTCAGAATCAAACAGTTGTTCGGCAAGTCGCGCATCCGTCGAGATGGGAGGTCTCGCCGCGCTAGACTTGACAAAACTATGGGAATGCTGCTTGGTGCAGGGGCACCATCTCGGCGTGGAATGAGATCAAGTAGAGTTCGGATCCCACGTGCGCAAGGACAAGCCCAGCTCAACGACCCACCGACTCTGTTAACACGAATTAACCCTTCGCGTGTGCACGCCGTGCATTTCAAACTTGCGTGACAAAGGCGGCTGTTTGCCTCTTTTACCGTTCACAGGCACTTGATTTCTGTGGGGATGCAGCGGTCGTCGCCACCATAGAGGCCTTCGCACTTTACATGTGAGGATCATTTGGAGAGGATTCCTGGCTTCATGAGTCACCCGTTGAGTGATCTGCCGAACAGACCCCTCCACAGCGGCTGGCCGGAGCTAAAGGTACTCAGGTGCTGGCAGCACTGCTGCATACCGGATCGTACACAGAGCCCTGCAACCTGTAAAGCTCACAAAAGGCAAGTTCGAATGCTCGGAACGCCTCTCTCTCGTTACAGAACACACTTCAGAAGTTAGGTTCCTATGCACGGTGCATAATGCACCGCACTCGCGCCGTGACGATTCCAACTTCAACCGCTTCATCGTCAGAGTTCGATTTACCACGCTGTGACCTGACTCTCGACACTGCCACGAAGCGGGACTTTGAAGCCAAGCCTACAGGCGCTTGCTCGGCGGCGTGTGGTCCACACAAGGTCTTGTATATGGAGGGTTCGCGCAGCCCACGTGACTTGCCCAATACAAATTGTAAGTGAAAACGCGACATTATGCAGCCAGCCCTCTAAAAAAGCGGGCGCGGTGCTCCATAGTTAACCCCTCAGCGCCCAAGCTGTTTTTCACATGTTTTTTATTTTTAAGGGATCATACTTAGTCGCTAATGTCGCCCCGTTTTATGGCCTAAATCGAGGTAGGCCGGTTCACAAATCAGGGCACAAATCAGAGGGGGTAGCATGGACGATCTCGATTTACTTAGATCGACCTCGAATTACGCTTTTGAAAACGCAAAAAGGATCGATTTACCGTAGATCGACCTCGTTCTACTCAAATCCACCAGCAGATCGACATCGAGCCCTGATTTGGATTAGCGTAGGTCGAGTTATTAGCCGGCCTAAATAGATCGATCTGTCCCTTTCTTTGACCTCGTTTTATTTAAGATCGATTTAAAAATCGATCTTGATTTAATAACTCGAGGAGAGCTCCAAGTCAAAACGACAAAACGTTTGCAAAGCACAATACATACCATCGTCTCAGTTCTGGGCCAGAACTTCTGGCAGCAGTAGAGCTCAAGGAGATCTCCTGTAATTTTTAAACTGGATCCGATCGTTTTATCTTCTATTTTTAACGCTGCGAAGATGTCTGTTAGGTCTCGAATTTCTGCCATGACTCGTTCGTATTTTTCTGCTTGCTGTCTCATTCTACCCGATTCAGTCACTGATTTCCAATAGACAAGCTGCTTTCGATTAGAAGAGATCCTCACTATTACTTGGAGAAGCAGGCAGTTTCATCTCGAAGGCCTCACTGCGTCCATGTAAGCTGCAGTCATGTGTGCATATTACCTGAACACCGTCCAGTGCGCAGTAGCTCACGCCAAATATCAATTTGTTGCAGCAAAACTTAATGCTACGCGCAGCTTGAAGTGTCTATCTGCTATATGCTCGAGCTTCCGTGTCGAGGCGCGTGCCTTTCGTGAGATGTACCGCATGATCTGAAAAGAAAAAAAAGTCATTGCCTGCCTTAGTGCTGACTAGCAACGCTGATGACAAGGACCTATGATCGGGCGCTATTTAGTTGCATTTAAATGCAAAGAAATACCGCTGGTTTCGTACGTGTATTCGCTCTTATGGGAGATCGTTACTAGCGTAAGTGAACTCAATATACCTTACTTTCAAAACAAAAATGTGCATTCGCTCTCAGTGTCCTCAGCGGGAACTCGTCATGGTAAACGTAGGCTATGTTATTCAAAGAGATCCACCACAAACATGCAATACGCGTCAATGAGAAAACCAGTATTTAGTATTGCAATTGCCACCACAGCAGCGACCTAATCCTTGGTCTTGTGGGGAGAGCACAGAGAACAGGTAGCGATAGCGCTTGCTTCGACGCAACTGTTCCTGTCGATTCGCTTTGGCAAAGTCAGCGAAGGTACGCCATTTGTGTGTGGGGACCGGTAACATCACTGTGCAAACAGTTTCATATAAAGTTGTGACGGATACTACTGTCGAGAAGGATAATGTGGCTGAAGCAACTAGAAGCAGGGAAACATTATTAAACCGTTGCTGGCGATTTAACACCAAATGACAGAGCTCAGAGTTCTGTATCAACTCCGTTTACCCAGTTTAGTAAAACAATATTTTTAGTAAATGGCATGGTTAGTACGTTGTTTGGTTGCTACCCGCACTCGTATATATGCGATGCTTCTGATGCACTTGGCCACCAACTTATATAAAGGCCGAGAAGATTCTGACCGGGTACTGACGCTGAACTGGCACTTTGGGCGACTATAAGTTAGTACAGTAGCCGTAATAGAGCCCAGCTACTAGCTGCTTGTCCAGTACGTACTCGCTATCATCGCGGCGCGAACTCAAAAATGTGGAGGGCACAAATATCAATCACTCAAGCAACACCAAGTACAGATCGCCGACGCAGCAATGAACAGTCAGCGACTTCACTATGATTGTATGCTTGTATGATTTAGAACTGAATTTGTTGCGGTTTAGTCATAAGCTGGACCCAAGACTACGCGCTCTTGCAGTTCGTACACCTTGCTAGTGGCCCTACCCGGTGCTGTAGTAATGATATGCAGGGTTTCGTTAAGATAAGTGATCTGTAGGCTGAAATTGAAGATATTAGTCAGTCTACCGGCTGAGAAAGAATCTCTGAGCTCCCTGTGATGCGCCCCTATCGAATCTGAACGTGGCGTCCTAAAGAAATACCAGCGGAACATCCGCATATTTGTAGGCCAATTTCGGTCACGCCAGAAGATACCACCGCATCAAGGAATTCGGATTGTTTTTTTTTGCGCTACGCCCATAAAACAACAGAATAATGTGGTTCTTAGAGTTCCTGCTTTTGAAAGTAGATGCAGCACATTTACTTGGTGATAACCTTACCACACTCCTTGTTGTAGTCCGTTCGGCGCCTGAATGCACTCGATGTACGAGTTTCTGGGTGAGGTTGGTCACAGACCAAACATTTCATCCGAAACGAGTACGAATCGCACATAGCGAGTGGAATGGCGGCAGTCATTAGTGTGCCACACTAATTAATACTTAGGCGGGATCGTTGTAAGCGTTGGGAAGATAAAAGCGATGGCACGGATAGTATTTTATGATCTAACCCATCGCTCTTTGGTCTGTACTAAAGACTCGTGTTGTTTAAATTTATTGTCCTAGCTGTCATCAGCTAGTGTTGATGGCTCTGTTGGACTCTTGCTTGGTGTCCTTGCGTCGTAGTCTATATACGCGGACGGCTGTATAGTAGGGGTGGTGTTTGTATTGTGTATCTGAGTGGGGGCACAGCTACGACACCCTTCTTTTTCTTCCTGGTGTTTTTGTTGCGTGGGGCCCACGCTGCGTGGCAGCAGTAATTGGATCGATGAACTCTATCGGATTCTGTCTCCTGCACTGGCCGGTTTTAGCTGCTAAATGTTCTTTGGCGCTTGTCACCCAGTAGGCCACGGCTCACTCGTAGAGTGCTTGATTGTTAAAAGGCCAAAATTGCCTTGTTGCGTCCCCAGCTACCGTACAGTCAGCTGCATAGTGCCGTCTGCACTACCAGCGTCCAGGTACGCATCAACTACGTTAATAAATGGGCATTTATTGTACTGTACACGGTCGAGGGTCATTTAAATGTAGGCAAATCATGGTGTGTATAAATGCATTATAGTAGGCAACAACTCGCAACCGTACACTTCCTATTCGATAAGCGGCATATGTGACGAGGCAGTGACTCTTCAAGATCTTTTGTGTCGGATTGTGTCGGATTGTGTCGGATTGGATCAGATACCGTGTCGAATGGATCAGGTAAGAGCCGTGCCGCATACAGTGCTGGTATTTCCTGTGTTTCCAGTAGGAAGCTTCGATTCGGTTGCGATCTGCCAAGGTTGTGCGGACTCCGTCGCACAGTAGATGTAGTGGCCCACTAAGTGGGGTCTCCACTGGGATAGACCCCGACACCGCGGGGGTGCTAACCATTTGTGCTGCCAAGTTCTACTAAAGTAAGGACCCCCTCAAATATAGGAGCGGGACTCGGAGCTGGCTGGCTCAGCCGCTGACTGAGTCAACGAGGCCGGCTTGGGTTGGCCCGCATGTCCATACAGTATGAGCTGACCTGCACACACGGAATGCGGATTCACGGGCCCCGAGGTCTTGACATGGGGTACAGTACAGTAGCATGGTGGTGGCGACAGTGTCGGTCAACTCGATTCATCCTGAATCAGGAACACCACAAAGGGATTGCTCGTGCCCAGCCATCTCCGCGCGGCAGTCGACTCCGCTGTCAACTGAAAAGCAAGGGCCGCTTTCTGCACCGCACAGCGTTTCTATTCGGCCCCCGAAACTTCAAGATACACCGCCCAACGTCACATTGCAAGCAGCCCGGTGCCAATCGGACAGGACCCGCCATGCGGTAGAACGCGGAAACGCAGGCCCCAGTCGCACGACACGAGAGAGCAGCGGGAGCACCAAGCAGACTCGGCGACGGAGTGAATCAAGTGAATCAAGTGACCGCGCGACTCAGACAGTGCCCGGACTTGAAGCGCCGGGGGTTGTCGGCTTTCTCTCGTCCGTCAAGAGGCATGACAGCCCGCGTTGCACTGCTCGCTGCCCTGGCGCCTCGAGGCGCGCGGGGGTGCGAATCGAGCAGAGCCTCCCTCCGACAGCACCGATCCTCACTTCCCATTTGGACAAGCATCAAGCAAGACTACTCCGTCTAGCAGCCAGCATAAGCATGGCGGACAACTACGCCGAAGCTGCTTCCCCCAAGGCCGCCAACGCCACGGCGTTCGACGAGGCCAACAAGGCCGCCGCGCGCCTCATCAAGCCCAAGACCATCCTGTACACGAGCGCTCTGCTGTCGTGGATGCAGCCGTTCCAGAGCGGTTGGTCGACCTCGCAGATGAACCTGTCGCAGTACAACGACACGGACGAGTGCAATGCGCGCCCCGTACGTGCCTCATGTTCTCGGGCCACTCGAAGCTGGAGTGGACGTTCGCCGTGAACGCATGGATCTTCGGCGCCATGATCGGCTCGCTGTGCTGCGGCCACTTCAGCGACAAGTACGGCCGCAAGAAGGCCCTCATGGGCAACTGCATCTTCATGATCGTGGGCGGCGTCGTGCAGGCGTCGGTGTCGAACATTTGGTTGTTCGCTCTGGGCCGCCTCATCGCCGGCCTCTCGTCGGGTACGGCCACGGCCACGATCGGCGGCTACATCAACGAGCTGTCGCCGCCGCACATGCGCAACACGCTGGGCCTGGGCCTGCAGATCTTCACGACGATCGGTATTTTGGTGCCGGCCATTTGCTTCTTCTTCGCCAACACGAGCTCTGGCTGGCGCTACCTGGCTGCGTTCCCGGTCGTGCTGGCCGTGATCTACCTGCTGCTGGCGCCGTCGATGTGCGTGGAGAGCCCCGCGTGGCTGCTGACCAAGGGCCGCAAGGAGGAGGCCAAGCAGGTCATCGCTCGTCTGTACGGCGAGGAGCACGTGCAGACGGCTCTGTCGTGGCTGGAGGTGAGCAAGGCCAGCGCCGAGGAGGGTCTGCTCGACTCTGCGCCCAAGAAGGAGTCGATGTTCGCGCCGCGCTACCGCCTGCAGCTTCTGGGCGGCATCATGCTGTCGATGGCGCAGCAGCTGTCGGGCATCAACGCCGTGTTCTACTACTCGGGCAGCATCTTCTCGGACGCCGGTATCTCGGACTCGCGCGTGGGCACGCTCATCATCGACTTCATCAACATCTGGCCGGCCTTCTTCACGGGCGTGCTGGCCAACCGCTTTGGCGCGCGCAACATGATCCTGTGGGGCCTGTCGGGCATGGTGGTCATGTCCATCGGTATGACGGTGGCGTTCATCGTGGACGTGTCTGCTCTGTCGATCGTGTTCACTGCGCTGTACGTGATCGTGTTCGGCGTGACGCTGGGTCCTCTGGTGTGGGTGATGACGGCCGACATTTTCCCGGACTCGATCCGCGCCAGCGCGTCGTCGCTGTGCATCGGCATCAACTGGCTGTGCAACCTCATCGTGGGCGTGTCGTACCCGTACGTGTCGGACGCTTTCAACGACTACGCGTACGTTCCGTTCGTGGTGCTGCTGGCGATCTTCTACCTGCTGGCGCTGAAGCTGGTGCCGGAGACGTCGGGCAAGTCGGCCGAGGAGATCCAGGCCGAGTACGACTCGCGTCGCGAGCAGTAGAGCGAGCGAGCGAGCGGCACGTGGGCAGTAGTTAGTGTGTCTCGTTAGCTTTCCTTCGTTCGATCGTTCGGTGAGACCGTTGTCTTCGACCCCATAGTTTCTTTCGGTGGTAAAAGCGATGGTACGAATATACTAGTAATTTGTTTTTATGATCTACTCCGTCGACGTTTGGCATGTGCTACAGTACATGATCATGATCTAGAGTTGTTGTCATTGGATGTCTTTTGGCGGCTGGTGTCGTTGGTCTTCGTTCGATTCTTGCAGCAAGAGTCTTGCTTGGTGTTCTTGCGTTGTGTCGGGGTAGTGCAAGTAGTACTACATGTTGGATTGTCATGGTTGTGGTGGTGGTAGTCAAAGTGGCGCCGAAGCTACAGCTCCTTTGTCTGTCTAGTGTAGGGTACTGACGCTGTACTGGCACTTTGGGCGGCTATAAGTTAGTACAGTAGCCGTAATAGAGCCCAGCTACTAGCTGCTTGTCCAGTACGTACTCGCTATCATCGCGGCGCGAACTCAAAAATGTGGAGGGCACAAATATCAATCACTCAAGCAACACCAAGTACAGTTCGCCGACGCAGCAATGAACAGTCAGCGACTTCACTATGATTGTATGCTTGTATGATTTAGAACTGAATTTGTTGCGGTTTAGTCATAAGCTGGACCCAAGACTACGCGCTCTTGCAGTTCGTACACCTTGCTAGTGGCCCTACCCGGTGCTGTAGTAATGATATGCAGGGTTTCGTTAAGATAAGTGATCTGTAGGCTGAAATTGAAGATATTAGTCAGTCTACCGGCTGAGAAAGAATCTCTGAGCTCCCTGTGATGCGCCCCTATCGAATCTGAACGTGGCGTCCTAAAGAAATACCAGCGGAACATCCGCATATTTGTAGGCCAATTTCGGTCACGCCAGAAGATACCACCGCATCAAGGAATTCGGATTGTTTTTTTTTGCGCTACGCCCATAAAACAACAGAATAATGTGGTTCTTAGAGTTCCTGCTTTTGAAAGTAGATGCAGCACATTTACTTGGTGATAACCTTACCACACCCCTTGTTGTAGTCCGTTCGGCGCCTGAATGCACTCGATGTACGAGTTTCTGGGTGAGGTTGGTCACAGACCAAACATTTCATCCGAAACGAGTACGAATCGCACATAGCGAGTGGAATGGCGGCAGTCATTAGTGTGCCACACTAATTAATACTTAGGCGGGATCGTTGTAAGCGTTGGGAAGATAAAAGCGATGGCACGGATAGTATTTTATGATCTAACCCATCGCTCTTTGGTCTGTACTAAAGACTCGTGTTGTTTAAATTTATTGTCCTAGCTGTCATCAGCTAGTGTTGATGGCTCTGTTGGACTCTTGCTTGGTGTCCTTCCGTCGTAGTCTATATACGCGGACGGCTGTATAGTAGGGGTGGTGTTTGTATTGTGTATCTGAGTGGGGGCACAGCTACGACACCCTTCTTTTTCTTCCTAGTGTTTTTGTTGCGTGGGGCCCACGCTGCGTGGCAACAGTAATTGGATCGATGAACTCTATCGGATTCTGTCTCCTGCACTGGCCGGTTTTAGCTGCTAAATGTTCTTTGGCGCTTGTCACCCAGTAGGCCACGGCTCACTCGTAGAGTGCTTGATTGTTAAAAGGCCAAAATTGCCTTGTTGCGTCCCCAGCTACCGTACAGTCAGCTGCATAGTGCCGTCTGCACTACCAGCGTCCAGGTACGCATCAACTACGTTAATAAATGGGCATTTATTGTACTGTACACGGTCGAGGGTCATTTAAATGTAGGCAAATCATGGTGTGTATAAATGCATTATAGTAGGCAACAACTCGCAACCGTACACTTCCTATTCGATAAGCGGCATATGTGACGAGGCAGTGACTCTTCAAGATCTTTTGTGTCGGATTGTGTCGGATTGTGTCGGATTGGATCAGATACCGTGTCGAATGGACCAGGTAAGAGCCGTGCCGCATACAGTGCTGGTATTTCCTGTGTTTCCAGTAGGAAGCTTCGATTCGGTTGCGATCTGCCAAGGTTGTGCGGACTCCGTCGCACAGTAGATGTAGTGGCCCACTAAGTGGGATCTCCACTGGGATAGACCCCGACACCGCGGAGGATTCTAACCATTTTTGTCGCCGAGTTCTATGATTTAGTGATAGGACCCCGCCCTCAAAAACCAGGACTCGGAGCTGGCTGACTCGGCCACTGAGGCCGGCGAGGGTTTAGAAACATGAATCGATCAATACAAGCCATTGAAAGACATCCAATGACAACAACTCTAGATCATGATCATGTACTGTAGCACATGCCAAACGTCGACGGAGTAGATCATAAAAACAAATTACTAGTATATTCGTACCATCGCTTTTACCACCGAAAGAAACTATGGGGTCGAAGACAACGGTCTCACCGAACGATCGAACGAAGGAAAGCTAACGAGACACACTAACTACTGCCCACGTGCCGCTCGCTCGCTCGCTCTACTGCTCGCGACGCGAGTCGTACTCGGCCTGGATCTCCTCGGCCGACTTGCCCGACGTCTCCGGCACCAGCTTCAGCGCCAGCAGGTAGAAGATCGCCAGCAGCACCACGAACGGAACGTACGCGTAGTCGTTGAAAGCGTCCGACACGTACGGGTACGACACGCCCACGATGAGGTTGCACAGCCAGTTGATGCCGATGCACAGCGACGACGCGCTGGCGCGGATCGAGTCCGGGAAAATGTCGGCCGTCATCACCCACACCAGAGGACCCAGCGTCACGCCGAACACGATCACGTACAGCGCAGTGAACACGATCGACAGAGCAGACACGTCCACGATGAACGCCACCGTCATACCGATGGACATGACCACCATGCCCGACAGGCCCCACAGGATCATGTTGCGCGCGCCAAAGCGGTTGGCCAGCACGCCCGTGAAGAAGGCCGGCCAGATGTTGATGAAGTCGATGATGAGCGTGCCCACGCGCGAGTCCGAGATACCGGCGTCCGAGAAGATGCTGCCCGAGTAGTAGAACACGGCGTTGATGCCCGACAGCTGCTGCGCCATCGACAGCATGATGCCGCCCAGAAGCTGCAGGCGGTAGCGCGGCGCGAACATCGACTCCTTCTTGGGCGCAGAGTCGAGCAGACCCTCCTCGGCGCTGGCCTTGCTCACCTCCAGCCACGACAGAGCCGTCTGCACGTGCTCCTCGCCGTACAGACGAGCGATGACCTGCTTGGCCTCCTCCTTGCGGCCCTTGGTCAGCAGCCACGCGGGGCTCTCCACGCACATCGACGGCGCCAGCAGCAGGTAGATCACGGCCAGCACGACCGGGAACGCAGCCAGGTAGCGCCAGCCAGAGCTCGTGTTGGCGAAGAAGAAGCAAATGGCCGGCACCAAAATACCGATCGTCGTGAAGATCTGCAGGCCCAGGCCCAGCGTGTTGCGCATGTGCGGCGGCGACAGCTCGTTGATGTAGCCGCCGATCGTGGCCGTGGCCGTACCCGACGAGAGGCCGGCGATGAGGCGGCCCAGAGCGAACAACCAAATGTTCGACACCGACGCCTGCACGACGCCGCCCACGATCATGAAGATGCAGTTGCCCATGAGGGCCTTCTTGCGGCCGTACTTGTCGCTGAAGTGGCCGCAGCACAGCGAGCCGATCATGGCGCCGAAGATCCATGCGTTCACGGCGAACGTCCACTCCAGCTTCGAGTGGCCCGAGAACATGAGGCACGTGTCCTCGGCCACGGGGCGCGCATTGCACTCGTCCGTGTCGTTGTACTGCGACAGGTTCATCTGCGAGGTCGACCAACCGCTCTGGAACGGCTGCATCCACGACAGCAGAGCGCTCGTGTACAGGATGGTCTTGGGCTTGATGAGGCGCGCGGCGGCCTTGTTGGCCTCGTCGAACGCCGTGGCGTTGGCGGCCTTGGGGGTGGTGGCCTCCGTGTAGTCAGCCATAGTGTCTCGCCTTGGTTGACTGTCGACTTGGGGGTTGCTTGGTCAGTTGGGAAGTGGGGATCGGAGCGGTCGACCGGCAGTGCCGGAGTCGCTCGCGAGCGGCACAGCGGGCTGCAACGCGGGCGGTCGAAGGACGAGAGAAAGCCGCCGCGAAGCTTCAAGCGGGGGCCGTCTGAGTCACGAGGCCACTTGATTTCTGCTTCGCGCTCGTTCCTGCTCTCTCGTTACACTGCGCTGCAGTACTGTACTGTACATACAGTACATACGGCATGTTTGTCAATCTTGCTGATTAGGAGCGCAATGTAACGCTCGGCTAGTGTATCTTGAAGTTCAGCGTCGAATAGAAACGCGGATGCGGTGTGCAGAGTGTCCGTTTTCAGTTGACAGGAGGCGTCGATTGCCGATACAGTGTACAGTACACACACAAAACTGCACCGCGCAACATAATATCTTGATACTTTCGGCAAGTCGAGCGGCCACGGCTACGGTTAGGGCGTCGCTACGCTACGCTACGTGCAGGCTCACTAAATGCGGCATTGCGCATCTGTCAATCTGCCAGCTGCGGTCGTTGGGCTTGCCTGCTACAGTACTGTATGATCTGAGCGGCCGCATTCCAGCGGTGTACGTGTACATGTATGCGGTGCGCATGCATGTACTTCTACAACCCAGTGCAGTGTACATGCGTGTACAGTACAGCATCGCTCTCCGCAAAAGACCTTACGGGCGTGTCCTGACACTCGTGCATTTAATATCTATTTGGTCTCGTTTAACGATGCCCACCAACTCCGCCATCCACGCAAAACGTTCCCAGATACAAACAAGTACAGACTCTCAGGGCAAACGTGCGAGTCTGGTTCTGTTGTCTGGACGCGGACGACAATCTCGCATTAAATGTGTACTGTACAAGTATTTAGCAATCTCAGCCGACTCGGCAATACGGTACGGTACCTACTGATGGATGACAGGGCTCTCGATGATACAAAAAAAAAACAGTCATACATACATGTACACAAAGAGCTCCGCCACCGCCGATTCACCGCGCTGGGGGCTGTATTTGGAGATGGCGCTGGCTGGCAACCTCATGGCCGGGGCCGCTTTTGCACACCGGGTGAGCTGAGCACAGAACTCCCTGGTCACGCGCGGCTTGCACCGCCATCAGTGCGAAGAGGCAGGTCGCGCACGTGGTAAATGGAACGCTTCATGTGGATCGGGAGGCGTGCAGCTTGAAGTTGGCGCGTTGGCGGGAGCGCGGGAAATGTGGTGTCGCCATTGGTGGCGCGGCGTGCGTGGCGCTGCTGCCTCCACGATGGGGGTCGCAGCAGAACACCTACCCTACTGAAGCTTCGACTGAGCCAGTCGAGGTTATGCGTCGAGAGAACGGACGGCGGGGCACTTTCCTTGTCGAAGCGATAACCGAGCCCTCTTGATTCACGAGTCCGTCGTTCAACGTAGCGAGCACCAAAAGGTAGAGTTGGTCAAAATACGTATACGTGTATGTAGTTGCGGAAGTGAAACGTATGAAGGTGTGACCGAAGAATAATGCATTCCTGTTAATAGCTTTGATAATGTGATATACCTGTTAATTCCGTTTGATAATTTAATTAAGGGTTAACAGAATTATCTACAGTACACCCGACAAGTACCGTGGCATGCAAACCGCTGCACGTGTCTTGTCTGCTGGTACATATATCGAGCACATACCGGTATCGTTTGTGGTTCGGTTGTAGTCTCCAGAATAGTAGCGTAAGTAGGGTATTATGACTACTACTATCACTACTATTGTTTCTTGAGGTTGGGGCTATTAGTACATGTAGTGTGTATCAAAGACAATCCTGTTGTTCGAGGTGGCTTTGTCGCTTTGGTTATACCCAACAAGTCAATATGCAGATTCTCGCCCGACGTGTGTGCATTGGTAGCGTTACTGGGGCACGACGTTTCAGAATAGAGTTATGCTGAGTACTTTCACAAAAGTCTTCTGCTTGGCCATGAAAAGACCGTGCCTAGCACAATCACCTTACAAGGGCTCAACATGAATGCATAGGAGAAGAAGTTTATCGGCATACACTCACTGCCAGAAAAAAGTAACAGGGAATTCAAGTATCTTCTAACCGAAAAAAGAGCCATCACCCCTAAGTGCTTGTAGCATGTTTTTCACGTTCGTGAAAGGCAATACCAGCCAAGGCGATTGCGAGGAGCTGGTATCTGGTTATTCAAGCAGACTGTGCGAGAGGGGAAATGTAATGCTCACGCTTACTGAGCAGCTTTGTGGGAACAATGTCGTGTCAGAGGCGTCCTCAATTCTGACCTTTATTGAATAAGGTGTATCTAGGTTACTTACACTACGCTGGTAATAATTAATCCTACCGCGCCGTGCTGAACCTGAACTCCCTTCCGTTCTCTGGCATCTTTTCATGGCCAAGCAGAAGACTTTTGTGAAAGTACTCAGCATAACTCTATTCTGAAACGTCGTGCCCCAGTAACGCTACCAATGCACACACGTCGGGCGAGAATCTGCATATTGACTTGTTGGGTATAACCAAAGCGACAAAGCCACCTCGAACAACAGGATTGTCTTTGATACACACTACATGTACTAATAGCCCCAACCTCAAGAAACAATAGTAGTGATAGTAGTAGTCATAATACCCTACTTACGCTACTATTCTGGAGACTACAACCGAACCACAAACGATACCGGTATGTGCTCGATATATGTACCAGCAGACAAGAGACGTGCAGCGGTTTGCATGCCACGGTACTTGTCGGGTGTACTGTAGATAATTCTGTTAACCCTTAATTAAATTATCAAACGGAATTAACAGGTATATCACATTATCAAAGCTATTAACAGGAATGCATTATTCTTCGGTCACACCTTCATACGTTTCACTTCCGCAACTACATACACGTATACGTATTTTGACCAACTCTACCTTTTGGTGCTCGCTACGTTGAACGACGGACTCGTGAATCAAGAGGGCTCGGTTATCGCTTCGACAAGGAAAGTGCCCCGCCGTCCGTTCTCTCGACGCATAACCTCGACTGGCTCAGTCGAAGCTTCAGTAGGGTAGGTGTTCTGCTGCGACCCCCATCGTGGAGGCAGCAGCGCCACGCACGCCGCGCCACCAATGGCGACACCACATTTCCCGCGCTCCCGCCAACGCGCCAACTTCAAGCTGCACGCCTCCCGATCCACATGAAGCGTTCCATTTACCACGTGCGCGACCTGCCTCTTCGCACTGATGGCGGTGCAAGCCGCGCGTGACCAGGGAGTCCTGTGCTCAGCTCACCCGGTGTGCAAAAGCGGCCCCGGCCATGAGGTTGCCAGCCAGCGCCATCTCCAAATACAGCCCCCAGCGCGGTGAATCGGCGGTGGCGGAGCTCTTTGTGTACATGTATGTATGACTGTTTTTTTTTTGTATCATCGAGAGCCCTGTCATCCATCAGTAGGTACCGTACCGTATTGCCGAGTCGGCTGAGATTGCTAAATACTTGTACAGTACACATTTAATGCGAGATTGTCGTCCGCGTCCAGACAACAGAACCAGACTCGCACGTTTGCCCTGAGAGTCTGTACTTGTTTGTATCTGGGAACGTTTTGCGTGGATGGCGGAGTTGGTGGGCATCGTTAAACGAGACCAAATAGATATTAAATGCACGAGTGTCAGGACACGCCCGTAAGGTCTTTTGCGGAGAGCGATGCTGTACTGTACACGCATGTACACTGCACTGGGTTGTAGAAGTACATGCATGCGCACCGCATACATGTACACGTACACCGCTGGAATGCGGCCGCTCAGATCATACAGTACTGTAGCAGGCAAGCCCAACGACCGCAGCTGGCAGATTGACAGATGCGCAATGCCGCATTTAGTGAGCCTGCACGTAGCGTAGCGTAGCGACGCCCTAACCGTAGCCGTGGCCGCTCGACTTGCCGAAAGTATCAAGATATTATGTTGCGCGGTGCAGTTTTGTGTGTGTACTGTACACTGTATCGGCAATCGACGCCTCCTGTCAACTGAAAACGGACACTCTGCACACCGCATCCGCGTTTCTATTCGACGCTGAACTTCAAGATACACTAGCCGAGCGTTACATTGCGCTCCTAATCAGCAAGATTGACAAACATGCCGTATGTACTGTATGTACAGTACAGTACTGCAGCGCAGTGTAACGAGAGAGCAGGAACGAGCGCGAAGCAGAAATCAAGTGGCCTCGTGACTCAGACGGCCCCCGCTTGAAGCTTCGCGGCGGCTTTCTCTCGTCCTTCGACCGCCCGCGTTGCAGCCCGCTGTGCCGCTCGCGAGCGACTCCGGCACTGCCGGTCGACCGCTCCGATCCCCACTTCCCAACTGACCAAGCAACCCCCAAGTCGACAGTCAACCAAGGCGAGACACTATGGCTGACTACACGGAGGCCACCACCCCCAAGGCCGCCAACGCCACGGCGTTCGACGAGGCCAACAAGGCCGCCGCGCGCCTCATCAAGCCCAAGACCATCCTGTACACGAGCGCTCTGCTGTCGTGGATGCAGCCGTTCCAGAGCGGTTGGTCGACCTCGCAGATGAACCTGTCGCAGTACAACGACACGGACGAGTGCAATGCGCGCCCCGTGGCCGAGGACACGTGCCTCATGTTCTCGGGCCACTCGAAGCTGGAGTGGACGTTCGCCGTGAACGCATGGATCTTCGGCGCCATGATCGGCTCGCTGTGCTGCGGCCACTTCAGCGACAAGTACGGCCGCAAGAAGGCCCTCATGGGCAACTGCATCTTCATGATCGTGGGCGGCGTCGTGCAGGCGTCGGTGTCGAACATTTGGTTGTTCGCTCTGGGCCGCCTCATCGCCGGCCTCTCGTCGGGTACGGCCACGGCCACGATCGGCGGCTACATCAACGAGCTGTCGCCGCCGCACATGCGCAACACGCTGGGCCTGGGCCTGCAGATCTTCACGACGATCGGTATTTTGGTGCCGGCCATTTGCTTCTTCTTCGCCAACACGAGCTCTGGCTGGCGCTACCTGGCTGCGTTCCCGGTCGTGCTGGCCGTGATCTACCTGCTGCTGGCGCCGTCGATGTGCGTGGAGAGCCCCGCGTGGCTGCTGACCAAGGGCCGCAAGGAGGAGGCCAAGCAGGTCATCGCTCGTCTGTACGGCGAGGAGCACGTGCAGACGGCTCTGTCGTGGCTGGAGGTGAGCAAGGCCAGCGCCGAGGAGGGTCTGCTCGACTCTGCGCCCAAGAAGGAGTCGATGTTCGCGCCGCGCTACCGCCTGCAGCTTCTGGGCGGCATCATGCTGTCGATGGCGCAGCAGCTGTCGGGCATCAACGCCGTGTTCTACTACTCGGGCAGCATCTTCTCGGACGCCGGTATCTCGGACTCGCGCGTGGGCACGCTCATCATCGACTTCATCAACATCTGGCCGGCCTTCTTCACGGGCGTGCTGGCCAACCGCTTTGGCGCGCGCAACATGATCCTGTGGGGCCTGTCGGGCATGGTGGTCATGTCCATCGGTATGACGGTGGCGTTCATCGTGGACGTGTCTGCTCTGTCGATCGTGTTCACTGCGCTGTACGTGATCGTGTTCGGCGTGACGCTGGGTCCTCTGGTGTGGGTGATGACGGCCGACATTTTCCCGGACTCGATCCGCGCCAGCGCGTCGTCGCTGTGCATCGGCATCAACTGGCTGTGCAACCTCATCGTGGGCGTGTCGTACCCGTACGTGTCGGACGCTTTCAACGACTACGCGTACGTTCCGTTCGTGGTGCTGCTGGCGATCTTCTACCTGCTGGCGCTGAAGCTGGTGCCGGAGACGTCGGGCAAGTCGGCCGAGGAGATCCAGGCCGAGTACGACTCGCGTCGCGAGCAGTAGAGCGAGCGAGCGAGCGGCACGTGGGCAGTAGTTAGTGTGTCTCGTTAGCTTTCCTTCGTTCGATCGTTCGGTGAGACCATTGTCTTCGACCCCATAGTTTCTTTCGGTGGTAAAAGCGATGGTACGAATATACTAGTAATTTGTTTTTATGATCTACTCCGTCGACGTTTGGCATGTGCTACAGTACATGATCATGATCTAGAGTTGTTGTCATTGGATGTCTTTTGGCGGCTGGTGTCGTTGGTCTTCGTTCGATTCTTGCAGCAAGAGTCTTGCTTGGTGTTCTTGCGTTGTGTCGGGGAAGTGCAAGTAGTACTACATGTTGGATTGTAGAGTTGTTGTCATTGGATGTCTTTTGGCGGTTGCCTTTATTAGGGGGAGTCGAACATCTCAAAAACGGCAAAAATAATGAGCAAAACCGAGCCAGAATTCTAAGCAGCAAAATGTCGAAAATATGAGCAATTTTCGAGGGGGGGAGTGGATGGGGAGAAGCTGAGGGAGAGGACCCATCACCAGAGATTTGGAGTACGCCACCACAGTTTTAGGCCGCATCACCACAGATTTGGTGCCAAGCACCAGTCGAACGGCTGGCGCCAAATCACCAGATATTCGGGCTGCAGCACCATAAGAAAGGGTCCCATCACCACTTTATTCGGCTACATCACCACCTGCAAATCTTCTACAGCGTAGTGTATCAGTAATGGCACTGCACATTATTGCCACCATTGTATTAGCGTTGTGTATGTGAATGAATGAGTGTGATGCGTACCGATACGAATTATCATGCATTGTTACGCCGATCCTACAGCAGCTAGCTAAAACCTACGTCGCTTGGTTTGATCGCATGATACCCGATTTGAATTGCTGGCAGGCCATGTTGCCGGGCGCCGTCCAGTGTCGTGTGCAAGTGGACCTCTCGCACCGTCGTCGGAGCCTTCGAAGAGTGGGGCGTCATACAAACCTGTTGGGCTTCGAGTAGGAAAATCCCATGTCGAACCCGACGGAAGCGCAGGAGGCTGCAACACGTCATGTGCAGCAGAGATGCAAGCGCGCTCTTCATCTCTCGGTGTTCTATCGGTGGGCAGTGGCTCACTGTTCGCTGCAATATATGCACCTACTGGTCGGTAAACAAAGGGCGCATCTGGACCCCACGGGCGACTGTAGATATATGCTGCTTGATGCACTGTCAGCCTGGTGGAGGAACCCACCGGCATCTCCATTGCCTGATGAGCGCTCCAGCTCTGGTGAGCGTTCCAATTTTGAATTCCATCCTCATACGTCTGAAAGGGCAGCATAGTTGCGTGAGTGTGGATCCGTGGGCTGATGATTGTACCATCTCGCGTTGATGTTGCTGTAGCTGATAGTCGAAATGGAGGTCCAATTGCGTCGTTGCATTCTCGGATTTGGTTGCTGTTTGTTGATTCTTGCGCCCACGGCCCATACACAGGCTGGTTACCTATAAATCGAGGAGGTTGGAGCTCGTCGCTCGTAGCACCGGCTACACTTTGCCCTTGGCGTTCCGCAGTCTTGTCGGTTCCCCTTCCACGTGGAGCGTGATTGGTGACAAAATCTTGCTCTGGTGCAGGCATTCCAGGGCAAGGTAGACCAAGCTCGCGTGTTGCGTGAGTTATATGCAGACACAGACCAAATTTGCCACTGAAGCGACAGCTGCAAGTCCTCGAAGCCGCATTGACAAACAACCCATCTACCGGCATACTTTGCCATTGTACGCGCAGTACATGAATGGACTTGAACGGCAGATTTGTCTTTTTCGGCTCGACGTAAAAATCATTTGCTGCACGACTCTCAGCGTTACCGTATCGGCTACGAGGGCGATGCAAAATCTGAACAAACTGGAGAGGGATATCATCTGCTCCAATAATCGGTGTTGCCGACAGTTCTTGCTTGCGTACAGCCATGGAATACAGAGCCTTTAAGCGTTGAGACACTGCAGGAGTACTTTGGAACGACACTTGCATCTGAAGAAACACAAGTCGAGACTGGTCCAAACGCTCCAGCATTTCAATTGGTGTAGCTTTCTTGTCCTTGTTTACGAGCTTGAGCGTCTTATGGTGCTGCTCAAGCGGGTTATTTGTCGCCGCATATCCTGGTGGCGTCCGAAAGGCTTGCCAGTGGCTGAAACGAGGGTGCAAAATCCATTGAGCAATGATGTCGCTACGTTTTGGAATGCCACACAAAACTTCGAAGCTGCGCGCCACGCAGCAAGCACATTCTCCCTCCTCTTCAAATATTCTTCTTCATTTCGGGAGTAGTGGAGGTTGTTGAGGTCGCGAAAAATCATATCAATGGTCACTGCTTCCAGTTTGCCTTGTGAGAGGTCTTTCACATTTTAGCAGACTGTTCATGAGTCTTCGGGGGCGCCGCCAATAGATGCACATGGACGAGGAGAACGTGTGGACACATCCGCCGACGACTCGGAGGATCCGACGGCAACAGGAGAGCCGGCGGCAGCCGGGCTCTGGGTACACCAATGACTGGTCAGGGAGACCCATATATACTAAGATCAAGTCAAGCGGAAACCGGGAGTAATCCGTCTGATGAGAGGCACCAACGAGCACAAGGAGAACAAGAAGGAAAACAGGAGGGGAAGACTAGAGAGTAGTTTGAGAGACGATAACATTTAATCTCACTTCGGAATTTGCCCCCTCAGCCACAAGCTACAAACCAACAGGTTAACAGCCGCAACAAGCTCAAGCCCTCCCCGACGACCGACATGACGACGTCCAGCAAGAAGGCCGAAGTCATCCTGGGAAGTGACAATTACTTCCACTGGGAGTTCGCGATGCGTATGACGCTCGCGAGGAAGGGGCTGCTGGCGCACGTCCAAGTGGTGAAGGACCCGACGGAGATGACGGAGGCCTGGATGCTCAACGACATGAAGGCGCTCGGTCTGATCGCTCAAGGCGTGGCTGTGGAACACCACACGAAGATTCGGTCGGCGACGTCGGCTATCCAAGCCTGGAATACTCTACGCAAGTTTTACAACCGGACGACGATGCATAATCGGGTCACGATGGCTCGTCGGCTCCACGAGTTCAAGATGGAGGACGGTGCGACGATGGCGAAGCACCTGGACAAGTTCGACGAGCTCATCGTGGGCCTTCAGACGTTTGGAGAGCCCCTCGATGACTCCCGACAACTCGTCATCCTGCTGCGCAGCTTGCCGACGGAGTACGAATTGATCGCATCCATCGTCGAGAACTCAAAGGACGTGACCCTCATCGAAGTGAAGGAGAAGCTGTTCAAGGAGTACGAGCGGCAGGAGAAGAAGGAGACCATGGAGCGCGCACCTCGTTCGGAGGTAGGGGCCAGAACGGGAAGTTCGGCAAGGGCGGCAAGGCATTCGGCCGCAAGTGCAACGGCGGACGAAAGGTCGGTGGCTTCAAGGGCAAGTGCTTCAACTGTGACCAAGTGGGCCAGATAAAGCGGGACTGCCCGGAAAAGGCAAATAGAGACACCGCCGAAGACTCGGTGTTCGCTGTGGCGGAGAATCCATCAGCGGGTTGGCTGATGGATAGTGGGGCGACGGCTGACATGACGCCTCACCGCGATGACTTGTTCGAGTACAACGAGTCGTCGGCGGACATGTATGTGACAATCGCGGACGGGAAGAAGATCCGCGTGGCAGGGAAAGGGTCGGTGCGCCTAACGGGCATCGACGGCAAGCGCATCAAGATGGTGGAGGTGCTCCACATCCCCGGACTCGACCGGCGACTACTCTCGGTTGGGAGGTTGGCTGAACCCGGCATGAGTGTCGAGTTCCAGCGGAAGTCGTGCGTCATCTGGGACAAGACGAAGGCGATCGCTTCGGGGAAGAAGGTCGGCAAGGCGTACTTGCTGGACTGCCAGCCGGACATGGCGCAATACACCGAGTACTCGGGAGTCGACGGAAAGTGGGAGCTATGGCACGCTCGTATGGGACACTTGAACGGAGACGCTATGGCGAAGACCCGCGAGGCGACGGACGGTCTCCCGACGATTCAACAGCAGACGAAGACCCTGTGCGGAGGATGCATGAAGGGCAAGCAGACGGTCGCACATTTCCCGTCGCGGTCGGTGTCGGCGACGACTCGACCGCTGGAACTGGTTCATACGGACGTGATGGGTCCTATGAAGACGAAGTCCAAGGGCGGAGCGAGGTATGTTCTCGCCTTTGTCGACGACTACTCGCGACACGTCGTGGCGTACTTCTTGACCAAGAAGAGCGAGGTCGTGACCAAGTTCAAGTCGTTCATGAAGCTGTACGAGAACCAGTGGGGGCAGCGCATTAAATGCCTGCGCTCGGACAACGGCACTGAGTTCGTGAACACGCCGATGACTGAGATCTGCCGGGTGAATGGGATTATGCATCAGAAGACGGTCCCGTATAGACCCCAGCAGAATGGCGTGGCGGAGCGGATGAACCGCACGATCATGGAGAAGGCTCGAAGCATGCTACACTACAAGGGCGTGGCTTCGAGATGGTGGGCAGAGGCGGTCAGCACTGCTGTCTACCTGATCAACCGGTCGACGAACAGCATGCACCCGACCAAGACTCCGTACGAGTTGACGTTCAAGTCAAAGCCTCGGCTGGATCATCTTCGAGTCTTCGGGTCGATGGGTTACGCTCATGTCGACAAGTCGAGACGCACCAAGTTGGAGCCGAGAAGCTTCAAATGTATGTTTTTTGGGTACGCCGACGACTCAAAAGGCTACCGAGTGTACGACTTGGAGTCGAACAAGGTGAAGGTGTCCAGGTCGGTGAAGCTGGACGAGCGCGAGGTGAACGGCATCTACGACACGTCGCCCAGCGAGAACTCGCCGAGCATTGAGTTGACGGAAGATGCCGAGGATGCGGCACTGCCCGAGGAGATACAACGACCTGCCGCCGACGAGCCGATGGAATCAGTGGAAGAGACCGTCGAGGACACGGAGATGCATGAGGTGGAGACGCCGGAGCCATCCATGCTGACAACGTACCGACGACTCGCGAGACCGGTATTGAATGATGACATGGTCTTCCACCCCGAGCCGGAACGGACCCGGCGCGCCCGAGAACCGGTACTATTACTTGGAGATGGTTCCGCAGACGGTGAGGAGTCGAAAGAAGATGGCCCCGATGACTCGGACATCGATGATCACTTCTGGCCACCGTCTCCAAAGCGACCCAGGGTGGACGAAGACAGCCTATTGGCTGAGGCGGTGCTAGCCTACGCCGCAGACGTCGGCGATGCCAATGACGCACCCACCACGTATCCGCAGGCCATGCAGAGCGACGAGTCGTCGGAGTGGGTGAAGGCAATGAATGCGGAGCTCAAGGCACACGCGGACAACGGATCATGGACGCTGGTCCGTCGGACACCGAGTGCTCGACCGATCGGTTGTCGCTGGGTGTTCGCAAAGAAACGCGACGAGCACGGCCGAGTCATCAGGTATAAGGCCCGCCTGGTGGCGAAAGGGTTTAAGCAGAAGTATGGCGTGGACTTCTTCGAGACGTACTCGCCCGTGGCCAACATGAACTCGATCCGAGTGGTGTTGTCGGTTGTGGTGGCCGAGGCGTACATCACCGAGCAGCTGGATGCGGACACCGCCTTTCTCAACAGCGGGCTGGTGGAGCGCGTCTACATGGAGATACCCTACGGAATCATCAACGCGAAGACCATGATGTGTCGGCTGCAGAAGGCAATCTATGGTCTGAAGCAGGCGGCAAATGCCTGGCATAAGACCATCCACCGAGCCTTCGTGGGCATCGGATTTCGGAGCTGCGGCGGTGACCAGTGTGTATACGTCAAGGGCGAGAAGGGCAGGTTCGTGTACGTCTGCCTGTACGTGGACGATATGATCATCGCAGCCAAGACGAGCAGCGAGATCCAGGAAGTCAAGGTGGCGCTCAAGAATGCGTTTAAGATGAAGGAGTTGGGCGAGGCCAAGTTCATTCTCGGTATGGAGATCGACCATGACTCATCGGCGAAGACTCTCATGATCAAGCAGACTCGATGCATTGATGATGTGGTGAAGCGGTTCAACCAGCAGGACGCCAAGGTGGTGGTGAACCCGTGCGAGTCGGGCATGAAGTTGTCGAAGACTCAGTCGCCGATGACTCAGAAGGAACGTGAGGAAATGCAGGCGAAGCCCTACCGAGCACTCATTGGCTGTTTGCTGTACATTACAACGTGCACCAGACCTGATGTGGCGTACATCGTGACCCAGTTGTCGCGCTTCCTCGAGAACCCCGGGCAGCAGCACTGGAAGGCTGCCATCCGCGTGCTCAGCTACCTGAAGAGCACCCGAGACATCGGCATCGCCTACAATGGGAACGCGAAGAAGGTCGAGGTGACAGCGTACACCGACGCCGACTGGGGCAGCAATCTCGACGACCGACGCTCGGTGTCGGGCATCATGGTGATGATTAGCGGGGCGCCGGTGGTCTTCAAGTCGAAGTACCAGCGCACGGTGGCGCTCAGCTCGGCGGAGGCCGAGTACATGGCGCTGAGCCTGTGCACGCAGGAGGTGCTGTGGACCCGCGCTATGCTCAAGGACATGGGTCACGAGCAAGTGGGAGCTACCCAAGTATGGGAGGACAACCAGGGCGCGATCGCTCTCGCAAGCAACGCTGGCTACAACGCGAGGACCAAGCACGTGGACATCAAGCATCACTTCATCCGCGAGAATGTGTCCCGAGGACTCATCTTCGTCAACTACGTGCCGACGGAAGACCAGCTCCCGGACATATTAACCAAGGCGTTGGGGGCGAAGAGGCTCCAGTACCTGATCAGCGCAAGCGGAATCATCGGGACGGTCGTGCAGCATTAGCGGCGAGTGGGAGTGTTCATGAGTCTTCGGGGGCGCCGCCAATAGATGCACATGGACGAGGAGAACGTGTGGACACATCCGCCGATGACTCGGAGGATCCGACGGCAACAGGAGAGCCGGCGGCAGCCGGGCTCTGGGTACACCAATGACTGGTCAGGGAGACCCATATATACTAAGATCAAGTCAAGCGGAAACCGGGAGTAATCCGTCTGATGAGAGGCACCAACGAGCACAAGGAGAACAAGAAGGAAAACAGGAGGGAAAGACTAGAGAGTAGTTTGAGAGACGATAACATTTAATCTCACTTCGGAATTTGCCCCCTCAACCACAAGCTACAAACCAACACAGACATGGAACCAACACATAAAAAACTTGGAGCCAGGTAGAGCAGCTTTGCACGCGTTGTATTGTGCATTATCCGCGTCGGACATGACAAACGCTGGCGAAAAACTGACTAAGAACTTCTCCCAGACGATGCGCTTGGTAAACTTGATGCGCCATTCCACATCAACTCCAGTGCGCTGAGAAGTACAAAAGTAAATAATCGGGAAAAACTTACACCGGCAGACCGAAACCCCAAACACGAAGACGGGATAGCACTGTTTAACGATGCTGTGGGTGCTATCGATGTGAAGCAGCGTCGTGCGCCGCGGATCTCGTTGTACAGTGACATAAGTTTCTAACAGAGCGTGGCATGTGACTCCAATACGAAAGGCCGACAACTTGGAGCCCGTGCCAATACTGGGAACCAACTGGTTGTCATCGGTCTTGGTGTCACAGAGAAGAATCATTTCATCACTAGTCACTTGTATGTCTTCTGCAGCGTCGTACATGTGTGTGCTACACAAAGCAACAACAGATTGTAAAGCTTTTCGCTTGTGAGCCTTTCTCCACTTCTTGACGTAGCTTTGAACTTGACTCAACACTGGTGCGGGTCCTGCCAACGTCTGACGCTTTATTTTCTTGCACAAAATCCCTAACAGGTCGACAGGCGTAAACCATACGTGATCCGATAGTCGCTCGTCGATGACTGCCTTCATTGCGTCGGACATCGGGATGGTCTTAGCTGTGGGTGACTCGACGGATGCATCAGGCATTGTGTGATGTCCATCCACGCAGACCGTCGCCAGAGAGCTGGATTCACAAGCTAGTATCCTGTACCGACACTGACACTTCACCCCGCTCTCACTACAGCGTGCTGACGTACACTCCGTGATGATTCTGCGCATCGGATGCCGCGTCATCAGGGTCTCGTCTTCATCATAGGTTGCGTGGTCCAGAGTACACCTCGGCACTTTATCGTTCCGTTGACGACTGCGGCTGGGCAGCGAATCCACAAACTCGTCTAGAGTAGCGTCACTGCTCGTTCTTCCACCCAAGGAACTCTTTCGCCACGTCGGCGAGGTTGACCGCTGCCGACGGAGGTCTGTTTGCATACAATTAACGGCGTAGATAAGTACTTGCCATAGTTGTCGACATACTCAGTACAATACTTACTGTAGTTATCACTTGTGTGGGCGGGCTCTTCATACTTCCAGCCAAATAGCACGGGAATCCCGTGGACCGTAGGAAGAGGGCAACTAAGTGAAGCGAAGAATGCCACGCTCGTGAAGAGACGTACTTGGGTTTCTTATCTGCGCTAAAAATAATTTGCAAACAAGAACACGACGAGAGCTTCCGCTCTTCTCTTTTTATAAATATTTGTGCGGAATGAATATAAACGTCCCTACAGTGTGAACATGTTTGCAAATGCACATAGTGGTGATTCGGCCCAATCCAATGGTGATTTGGGCCAATTTAATGGTGTGCGATTCCCCCAAATCAATGGTGATGATTTCCTTTTCACTGGTGGTAGGTTCCAAATCTGTGGTGATAGGGCCCCTCACTCGGAGAAGCTAAGGAGCGCCCAAGTCGGGAGCGCCCAAACATAAAATGAGGGGTCATATGCTGTTTATCCAATATGGTTATTAGTCATCGCTTACAGCTGTGTTACTACTACATCTACTCAGTAGCTGTATCTAGCTGATGCCAGCGTATCCCCACGCTCGAGTCGGCAAAAAAGCATCATTCACGCTGAGATCACCTTCGGCTTCTAAAAGAGCACACAGTGACTGCTCTTCGTCGTTGTCGCGTTCAAACCTCGAAGGTTTCCGTCGGGTGCCACTTGCGCCGTGCCCAGTCTTGTGTTGTTTCTGCTTTTTTGGTGGCCTCGTGTTGCGCACGGTGGCAGGCTCCAACACCCGTTCGGTCAGTCGCACGTCGTTCGAGCGAATCCACCAGTGTCTGTCGAAGTGCTCAGGCAGGATCTTCAGCCGTCCGTTCGACTCGTATATCTCAACCAGCTCGTGCACGCACGGACGCCCGAGTGTCCGACGAAACGTGCCGCTGCAAACCGTTCTATTTGCCCCCGAAATCACAATTTTCCGGGCCTTCTTCCACAACTTATCGGTCTCGGTAAGTGATCAAACGAATCACTGCGGAAAATCGGTCATATCGTAGGCACAGGGGTGGGCCGGTAGCATCTTTGGCAGACTGATAGCTGATCGCCTTCGTCGAACCAATCCACCACGGTAGCAGCTTTAGAAAGCAAGTGAGAAAGATCACCTTTGGAGCTCTTGAGCCAGCGCTTGATCTTCGAGTGCGTTCCCTCGACCGTTGAGGTGTCGTGGCAACCGAAGTGCATGTGCTGGCTGGTCCAGCAGTGCACAATCTTGCTCTTGTATTGTCACCACGTCCGATCCAGGTAATCAGCGGTTTTACTACTCATGGCGCGAAGACTATTGCGATGCTGCTCGAATTCCTGCTCATTTGACGATGCTACGGCCTCGTAAAACTTAGCCATGAACGCGTCTGTTTGCCACGTATTTCTTTCGTCTCTCCATTCGGACCTGGTGTTGTGAGTCGGACCGTACCGAGATCCTGCTGCACTCGTGCAAGTACATTTCGGTTCACATGCCAGCGGCACAGCAGTTTGGGGGTGAACGGAAATACGACATCACTTGCATTCATACACGCCAAGTCGCGATCAGATACCATGAGACGCAGCAAGATCTTGTGTCTGCGAAGATGTCGGTCGTGTTGGAGTAGTTGGACAAGGTGACGGTGTTGCGCTGTTACTGCGAAGACTACAGGAGAGTGTTGTCGGTGTTACTCAGGTGTTGTCTTGTGCTGCGAGGTTTGTGAATGTGGGGTAGTTCAAACTGACTAGCACTGTCGAAGTAGGAGAAAGTAGTCTTCACGTTCTGAGATGAGAATACAAAAGCCAGATCATCTTGTCTCTCACGACCACATGTCGGTACTTTTTATGGTTTGGGCGCTCCCGACTTGGGCGCTCCCGACTTGGGCGCTCCTTAGCTTCTCCCGAGTGGATGTTGATCCCTTCGGTTTTCGTACTTAATCGAGCGGAGGGAACTTTTCCGCCATCTGTCCCACTACAGATCCCGACCAGTTTCTTCAACAAATGATTGTGTGTAACTTTGTAGGGAATACTGATCATACGAGAGACATGTGATACGAAAGTCCATACTCAGAACAAGGTATTTTATGTAGACCTTTCTAACAGCGTTGAATAGCTATAACGTATATCACAGGATAATGTATAATAGGATAATTGGGAGGTATCTGTAGAGGAGGGAACAAAGAAGGGAATTGCTTATCTCTGAAATGAGTTGCTCAACTCAGAGATAAGCCACCTCGGGAGGTGGCTTGTTTCAGAGTTAACAGTAAGCAAAACGCTGTCGAGATTGTGAGCACGGCCAAGCTCAAAACTCGAGCACGTTTTTGGCAATGTTCGACTCCCCTTATTTTGGTTCTTATGCAGATCAGGTCTGGGATTTGAACGTTTTCCTTCACTTTGTCCTACGCTAACGATATGGGGCAAATCTGCATCATTCATTACGGCCGTAGTGCCGGCTGCAGCTTTTGTCCGAATTGGACAGGACCTAGAGTACCTATTCTTGAATTGAAAGTGGGGGGAGTGGAGGGTGGGTTGCTTGGTGGAGGGCGAAAGGCCGAATGAGCTCTTCGGTAGCTCGCTGCTCCGCTATCTAGCGTCTCTTGGTTCTGGTCGGTGGTTTCTTAACTGCCGCTTCTGTAACAGGGTTACACGCACAAGTGGCTACAGTCACTTGTAACTCTAACAGATACGACGTCTGTTAGAGGTTTGAAAGACTTTCTCGACCTTGGTGTAGACACACCAAATGCTACATACTTTTACGACCACCACGACGGGTGGTCCATAGAGACTTAGGATTCCTATTGGCTGAGAGCAGCATCTCTTAGCCAATGAGCGACATGCATAGCATTGGAATTCTGCCAACCAGCCGTTGGCAGATTCCTATCTTAGAATATTACATTTAGAGGAAGTCAGAAACATAAAACAAAAATAGCAGCTCTCATTTTAACCCAAAACATTATTTGGATCGTTTATTTAGATTAATCTATACTCGGAGGCACGAGTATAACTAACTCTACGTTAAACTAAGCTACGCTTCCTCACATACACGCGCACACGTGTAAGGTAAAGCCAAAGTAGGCCCATTACACCTGGTAGCACTTTGTAGTCCGTCCAACGACCGACTACCTGAGTTCGTACGTCACCGCACGAACGCGGAGCTGAGAACCTTCCCATGAATACGGAGGTGTCCATGGAGAGCTCCACTATGCCTGCAACTCACGTTGCACGCGCTGACTGTCCCCACCTGTCGGACCCAGAGTGGGAAGCTCTCCAACGACTGTCAACAGTCATTGGTGAGGCGGCTGTAGCTACGATGCTGCGTACGCTAACGCCGACAGAGCAACATGGTGTTGCTCTGGGGTTCATCATGAAGGAGCAGCGTGATGCTGCTTCCTCTACCACGGTGGCGTCGGAGACGACGCCGCGAGGACAATCGTTGAAGCTAAACGTGAGCAACTATGTCGGAAGAGAGGGCGAGCCTCTCCTCCGTTGGCTTGTCGAACTCGACACTGCCATCGCGGCTCGACGTATCGTCGACCCGTTGTCCAAGGTTGCGTTCGCTATGTCATGCCTTGGCGGACGAGCGAGAAGTTGAGCGTGTGGACGCCGACTCTCGGATCCTACATGCTTTAGCACGTACGAGAGTTTCAAGGAGGAGCTCAGACAAGCGTTTGAGCCCCCGCAAAACGCGTTCCGGTCGAGGGCGGAGTTCCTCGACCTGCAGCAGGGCAAGCATGATGTCCATGCTTACGCTCAGAGAGCACGGTACTTGGTCTCGAACATCGTGACCAATCCGATCGACGAGGCGACCAAGGTCGTCACGTTCATGAAGGGGCTGAGAGATGGGCCTGTGAAGACCTATCTCTTCCGTGAGTACCCGAGTACTCTCGAAGCTGCAATTACTCTTGCAATGCAGGAGGAATTTAGCCTGCGGCAGGCTAAGCTGCATGCACATGTGCCGAGGCCACAACCACGCCCGGTAGTGAGGACGGGAGGCCCAGAACCCATGGACCTCTCGAGTGCTGCAACTGCTGGACCCCAGCAGTCGCAGGGTAACAATGTGCGATGCTACCGTTGTGGTAGAGTCGGTTACTTTGCTCGGGAGTGCACGGCCCCCGTGCACCAGAAGGGTGGCTATCGCGGCGGTGCCGGGCACCGTCGCAACCAAACAAAAAACGCTGGACGCCAGTAGGCGCAGGGCGCCCTACTGGTAATGCAGTTCCACGTGTCGACCTTGGACACGCGACACTGAGGACTGCAGCCCCCAGTGAGGTTCATTCTCACTGCAAGAACCAAGATGACAAGCCTGGAGCTCGACATCTTGGCAAGAATCGAAGTGTCGCGTTTCGGACAAACTCGACATGTAACTTACATTTCATTGGATGAAATGTCTTTAATCCTATTGGTCAGAATGCATACTCTACTAATTACGACCCATAAATGATTGGTTGAGAAGCATGCTATTTAGTCATTCTACTTTTTGACAGCTGCCGCTCATCGGTGGCTCGCGAGTGTCGCTTACTCCCATTAACAGCAGTTTCGGGCTTACTCGACTGTGGGCGATTTCGGGTTTACTCGACTGTGGGCGATTTTGGGTATTCTCGACGATGCGTGATTTCGGATTTACTCGACTGTGTACGCTCGGCGGTTTGCGACTTCGAGAATTCTCGATAGTATGCCGGTCAGGCTTGACGAGCCAAAGCTAATATGTCCTGTGTGTCTGCAGGAGCAGGGTCTTGAATTCGGCCTGTAGCGAGGAGACACTTGTGAGCTGCGATGCGTTCGTTTAAAGCGCCAGACTTGTGAAGCGGACGCAACGCGCGTAGCACGCTCCCAGAACCTTTAGCATTGGACTTGACGTTCGTCTTCAGAAACGAGAGTATCGAATCTTCAGCACGGCGACCGAGTTGAAGCACCTGATCCTTGTAGTCGCTGGCCTGTGGTTCCAAGACAAAGCCCTTGTCGAGGAACAGCTTCATGAATGCGACGACGTGGCAGGACTCCGATTTTTTTCTGGCGGTCGGCAGAATCCCAAACGCGAGGCACACGCGTGTACCACTCGAATCAAGTCGCAGACAGGTGTGTAGCTTATTTCTTTCTTCGCTTTGGCTTGGGCTCTTGGTCTGACGATTCCATCACCTGCTCTTCTTCAGTGCGCTTTTGTTTCACGTTAGGATTCGCTTGTGTAGCCTCGACGATGGTTAGGCGCGCCGCCAAGAGCTTGTTCGTGGCGATAAGCTCATGAATGATAGCTAAAAGGTGATCCATTCGTGCGCACTTGTGTTGGTTGAGATCTTGTACTTGAGCTTGATCTTGAGCAGGTAGAGCAGCTTCGTTGTTGAGCGTAAGGGACCACGCCAGCACATCAGCGATCGGAATATCCGCAGCCGCCAAGCACTCTTCAAACCGCGTGGCGATCGGGGCCGATGGGGCGAGTTCCTTGAGCTGTGGACGAGGTAAGCCGTGAGAACGCCGAGGACCTTGGTGCTTACATTTAGACGTTGCTCTTTGAGTCCTGAACAGGAATGAAACAGCAATGCCTGCAAGCGGCCGAGGCGCACTCGACTTGAATGGTCGAGCTCCTCAACGTCAATCATTGTTGGCTTCTCGTCCACGGACCAACCACTCAAAACGCGAGCGACCTTTCTGTCCTCGCGCGCCGTGTTGGTAATGTAGGCAAAGGCCTTGTTGGTCTTCGTCATATCCCAAGCGCCGCGGTCGAAAATCCACTGGGCGGCTAGACGGTCATCACCGTTTGCGTGTTGAGCTCCGCCACGCCGGAAAGAGTGCGAGGTCAGGTCGGGTGTGGCTCCAGCCGGCTCAGCGACGCCCTTGAGCAATCGGTTCACATAAGCTTGAACGCCATCTTCCCCTCGTTTAACATCGCCGGTTGGCGCCTTGGTCTTTGCGGGTCCTGCTGGTGTTTGCCTGCTTGTACTTGTAGGTAGCGACGAGGGCTCGATCACCGGCGCCATCATCGTATCCGCAGCCACGACGGGTGCCTGGGTCTGGGTTAGTACAACTGCGACATCGAGCGAGGCCGGTTCTGCTTGTAGCAAGTCCTGCTGCGGAAAACCTTCATCAAGAGGCACGGCGGCGTCAGCCACGAGTTCGGCTAGTTGGGCCAGCAATGCCGCGCTTGGAGCATCCTGCGTCGCTAGTGCCACGGCGATAGCGTGCAAGGGGCACGTGAGAAAGTCGCTCTTGTCGGGAATTAAGGTAAGCCCTTGCTCTTCCGAAGTCTTGACGCGTAGCAGTCGAAGATAGAAGGTGCCGTCCGCTGATACCGATACGTATTGCTTTTGCACATATCCTAGATCCGAAGATCGGCCAAAGCAGTGCCACATCAGACACGCTAGCGCGGCGTCTTGGTAGTCGTCATGCACGCGTGCTGTACTGTAGACATAACGGACCAAAGCTTGTAAGTCCTCCTTAGTGCAAGAAGGAGCCTTACTAACTAAACTACCCTTTTCTCGAGGGGTTAAGCAATGCTTATCCAAAGTTTTCCCTTGTTTTAGCAAGATCAACTCCGTCGGGACGCGAAGATGCGGGTACATATCGAAAATCCGAAGCTTTACGTTCCGATGGGACGCAGTGGCAGTATTCCGAGCAAGCTTACCTTTCTTACCTTCATTCGTACCGAGGTAAAAGCCAAAACGGTCCATCGTCGCCGCCAAGCGCTTGCTGGAGGCGTCTAAGGAAATGCTAGCCTAGACAAACTCCAGGCTAACATTCGCCTCCTCCAGCATTCGCTTGAAAGCGGCAATGGCAGTGCTGCGGGCTTTCTGGGTGTTTGTTGGGACAAAAGCAGATAGACTCATCGAATCTCTGGTGTTTGTCTTGGTCGTTTGAGCTGTGTGGTCTGGGTGGTGGCTTCCTACTGCCCTGTGTCCTAAACTAGGGATATGCCTAGCTATATGAAATGTGGAAAATATGTATAAAATGCGTCTTATACTTGGTATTCGTACGAACATATTCATATTTTGAAGCTGATCCCGACAAATATTTGTCGGAATGCGTCGGAATCAGACCCCAAACCCTAACAAACTTCATTCGCCAAAACTCGGTTTTTCTGCAATACGATTGGATAATATATCGGTTTATGTGGCTCGACAACAATCCATAGTTTCTATTTGTCGGAAAGACCGCTATATTCGTCCATACCATGAAATATCCGACTATAGGACCTATCGGACCTGTACCAAAAACATGGTACCCTAGAAGGATGGACTCTAAAAACAAATATATAAGTTTGTGTATTATGTTGTGGGCCACACACCGATTACTTGTTCATTTTTGGGGCATAGCCCCCCTTATAATGAAATGTGCATAAAGATTTTTTACCCTTTTTACAGGTACTTTTTACTCCAATTTATGAACCCCTGTATTACAATTGAGAATGGAGTAGGGCAAATGAACTATCATAGCCTGCCCGGGGGCAATTTCGATCGAATTTTACCTCTTTTTAAGAACACACGAACTCATGTTGAACGGCGCCCAAACGCGACCCTTCAAATGTTACCTTGTTCGAAGGTATAACAAAGTTATACTGGGATAGGAAGCGACGAAGTGCTGATAGCCCAGCCCACACAGGATTAATTCGGGCACTGTCCCCCCGCCCAATCGACACCGGTGACGAACCGGTAACATGTCTTAGGTCAATTTACAGTAAGTGATGTCGATTGACCGAGTGTTTTAGACTTCTCAAGAATGATGGAGGCTGGTCCACTTCATTTGCAAATTCGTCGAGTTAAGATTCGTTTTATTGATTTTGCTCTAAAATCGGTTGTACGTCTGGTGATACATTGTCGGGCAGATTCTGCGGCTGCGAAGCAGGCGCAGGAGATGCCCGTGGAGCGTGAGGATTGAGTTTATCAATGACGGTTAAAGGTGAGTCAACCAGTCCTATCCCAGCCTTCGCGAAGCCCTAGTTAAACTGAGGTCAACTTTTTATCGAACCGGAGATCGCCCCGTTTGTATCAGCAAACAAACGATTGCGTTAATCGTTGAAGTTTAAGGTAAGAGTTGACGGGCTGCGAAGCAGGCGCAGGAGATGCCCGTGGAGCGTGAGGATTGAGTTTATCAATGACGGTTAAAGGTGAGTCAACCAGTCCTATCCCAGCCTTCGCGAAGCCCTAGTTAAACTGAGGTCAACTTTTTATCGAACCGGAGATCGCCCCGTTTGTATCAGCAAACAAACGATTGCGTTAATCGTTGAAGTTTAAGGTAAGAGTTGACGACCGACGATTTATGCACATGGACCGTGGAACCCTTTTCAAGGGGTGGCTGAACTCCGGTTAAATGTGGTAACGGAGGCAAATGACAGTGGAGCCCGCCGTAAAAAACATATGAGAGGTCAGGCAGCTCCGTAAAAAGTCTCCGCTAACGTACGAAACAATGTACTAAAGAGTCGTTTGGATTAAGTTATTCATAGATAACCTAATTAAAGGTATTGGTCAGTACACTGATAGATCCTTGGCAAAACTGGCATGGAGCAGTGAAGTCTAAATCCAAAGGCTATACTATGCTACCGCTAACTATTACGAACCACTCATGCGGAAGCAAGAAGGCAGCACTAGAATTAGTTGGTATATTAGTTGCTGCAATCGTTGACTGAAGAAATCTATAAATCGCTTGCTACACACAGTTCTGCAGAACCGATTACGAAGATTGGCATGATACAGAAAGCGGTGACTAGGCCAGACGTGCCATATAGTGGAGACAATAGCCAGGATGTATGCTCTGTAGCTGTGAAGAAAACGTGGAGAATTCTCTTTTTGTCCTGCTATTTGGTATATTATTCTGACAACCTTGATAAACAGACGAAGTATTGTCATTTGCGCAGGGAGTAAGACGTCGTTGCTCTCCAAAATCGCATGCTATCTCCTGAGCAAGTTAAAGTAGCAATGTGCAATTCTAACACCAACTTTTGGTCTTGCATGCTCAACACAAACGCCAAATGCATAGCTAACACTAGCGTTTGTTAAATGTTTGTTACTGTATAGTGAATCTGGCGAACATGTATGTGGAGTGAGACGTGTAGTCGTTCATCTTGAAGCTCTTTTAAATCACTTGCAGTGAGTTCGTGTTATTGTGAAAAGCACTTACGAGTTGGGGGCACACTGCTGGTTTCGCTGTTTCAATGATCTTTAAATTAATGTAATGTAATAGCAAATGTGCATACCGGTGATTGTTGAATGTAATGTGACTGAATTTTTCGCCATGAGTTACAATTTTACTGATATATTGGCTTGCTGAATGCTCGAGCACGATTTAGCCTGGTACTGTGGGGGATATTTAGCGGTCCACCCGGAAATTTGTTGCAATCGATTCAGCGGTCAACGGTGGCAACGCCAAAGCCACTTATAATGATTCGGAAAGTGTTTATTTACTACTGTAGCATGGAAACCAGGACTAAGCAAAAGACTATACATTGATTTACGGTTGAAAGAGGTTGAAAGTTACGGCGGCACTACCAAATGCGGCACGAGATCCCTTGCTGTTACGTCAAGCCTCATTCCTGTCTTCATTTATGGCGGCGACGGATGACTAGGACATGCAAGTTCTAGTTGATCAGCATGTGTGCAACGTCGGGAACACGCGCGCTGTCTACCAGTGCTCGCTATGGCATCGGTCCCCGCGCTGCCTATACCGTTTTCCATATTAAACTCCAAGCCCGGTCATTTTAATAAAATCTGATGCAAACCCGGCACTTCGTGCATATATTTTTGAGACCAATTTGGTAAAAGTATGAGTGTGTATAGGATACTTGGGGGCGGTGCTGAGAAGCTAAGATACAACATTTTCCGAAGCAATGCCCCTCTAGCAACCGGGGCGAAAATTCGCCGTGAGGACGCTGCTATACTAGTTATTCTAGCGTTAGGTGGTGGGCTTGCGTGGAGGGCAGAGTGCCGGAGGCGGCGGTGGCGCCGAGGGACTCCGGCCGCAGGGAGGCAGCGGCAGGTAGCAGGCTCCAGGACGACGGTGAAGCCGCAGGACGACGGCGGAGCAGCAGGACGACGGGGCAGGAAGGACTGGGGAAGCGGTGGCAGGTCGGCGGAGCGGAGGCAGGTCGGTGGTGGCTGGACGGCGAGGCGGCGGCGGCAGGGAGGCAGCAGCAGGACGGCGACTGGTTGGTGGGGCGGTTGCGGGGCGGACGGCTGCCCGGAGAACCTTGATGGCTTGTCCGGCAGGGTGGCCGGCAGGCTGCCCGTTGGGTGAGCGCCTGCAAGCTGCGGTGCGCCCTCCCGGCAGCCCCCCGCGGCTCGCGGAAGCAGCCGCCACCACTGCCGCCGCCATGAAGACCCCGCGAATGCTAGTGCCTTACCTGGTAGGGCTGGCGGCATGCTGCTCGGCCCAAGAGCTGCGTGCCGCCCGCTGCATTGCTATTCGTTATATAATAAACGTATATTTAATAAAACTCCTCTACTGTTAATGTACATGCTTAGCGGCTTCCCTTACGCGCTCATTATACACACCATGCACGCTCTTAGTTACATGCTACATCACGACATCGAGATGGCCATTTTCAGTTTCAAATACTGCATATGTACCTCAATTATGGTACAGGTCCGATATGGATGAATATCGTGACGGTGCCGACATACAAGAACTTGACTTGGCCACTGTATGGCGGTCATGGCCCAATCAGATGTCCAATACGTTTTTTCAGCGAATAAGCATCAGGTAGATCCCTATTTAGGCCAATCAATATGGTTAGGGGTAGGTATATTTGCTGCCGACACTATGCCGACGTATAATGTCGGCAACGCGGTCGAAATATGTATTCATCCCATAGGAAATCTAAGTAATAAGGATATAATATACATATCTGTTCTGCTGCCGACAAGTTACTTAGCTTTTGTATTGCCTTTGACGAGCTGATTTGAGCCGTTTGCAATAGCGTTTCAACCATTATCACGAACTCAATCGAGTTTCCTGGGCACGCCTATCGACCTACCCATAACATGAACAAGCAGCACTCAGTGAGAGCTGCTCATTCAGGAGTGTCGCTCAGGCGGAGCTTGCTGCATACCGCACGAGCGGTGCGCGCCATCTTCCTAGCCTCCACCGCGGACCACTCGCCCGCCGTCGTGCAGCCTACCGCCGTCCTCCCAGACACCACCCACATCTTGGCAGGCGGAACTATGCAGCCCCCCTTTTTTTTCGCCGACGTCCTTCGGCTCGCCGCCCTCCTTGATGACGCCGCGCTCCTCCATCCCCGCTCCTCCCACCCGCCGTCCTTGCCTGCATCTTGGAATTGACATTTGAGTCAAATGATTTGACCAATAGATTAACCGCTTAACTAAATGCTTATTTCTACCAATCACGACGCTGTCGGCCACTGTCGGCCGCTGTCGGCACCGTCATGGTATGGTCGGATAAATGGGAAATATGCGTGTGATACGAGTTTAACAAGTACCTCCGACCCGATACGTCCGATAGCGTCGGATATCGGACTTTCCTAACCCTATCGAAATATATTGGCCGAAACTCTTCCGTGGCCTCCCTATGATTGGCGCAAATAAATACAAATGCTGTAATTGGCTGTTAATAGACATACAATAAATAAGTAAGGTCGGATAACTCGTCATATTCATCCATATACACTCCACGACAAAAAGATATGGATGAATATAGTAGTTTTTCCGACAGATAGCTTAGTAGGATTGTACAGAACAGGAAATATATGACGGCCTGACCAATCACACAGTCGCTATTCACTATTTTCATCCAATCAAATCACACAGGGATAGGGTTTTAGTTCCGACAGCTTCTGACAAATATTTGTCGGAAGCGAGACGCAAATATGTATATGCACATAGTGAAATACAGTCAAGTACGTACTTTTCAAATATGCTCATGATTACAACAACTAGGCAGAAACCTATTTTAGGCCCGGAGCTCTAGTCAGTGGAGACACTGGTGGTCCTCCGCACATACACACATAGGCACTTTGAAACGGCAGAAGCGCCAGACAAAGATCAGCATGAGTCTCTCTGCACTCATCCCTGCGAACACGCAAAAAGCGCGCACCACAGGGATTGGTGCTTTTGAGCGCATGCTAGAAGCAGAGAATGTGTCTATGAATGTCATTCAAGCCTGTGTGCGTGGTGACAGTTCTGGCAAGAGCTTTGCTGCCATTATGGACCGCTGTGGCTACTACCTCGCCACGTATGAAGGTAAGAAAGGTAAGTTGGCGTCTAACACAGCCATTTCATACTTTAGAAACGTTAAGCTTTGGTTTTTCGATGAGCATCCTCATCTTCGGGTTCCTACAGAGTTAAACCTGCTAAAGCAAGGCAAGACTTTGGAAAAACATTGCTTGAAACGGGACACTGGGGGATTTACTAACAAAGCTCCGCCTTGCACGAAGGCGGATTTAAGGTCACTAATTCGCTATGTCTACAGCACGGCGTCTGTCGCCACCGACTACGAAGATGCGGCGCTCGCGTGCCTCATGTGGCACTGTTTTGGGCGCTCCTCGGATCTCGGCTATATCAGCAAGCAGCACATCACAGTGTCAGCGGACAACGTTTTCTACGTACGCATGCTTCGTGTGAAAACTGCCGAAGAGCAAGGCCTCACCCTCGTACCTGACCGCGACGACTTCCTCACCTGCCCCCTGCAGACGCTGGCCGTTGCTCTGGTGATGCAGGAGGCGCCCTGTGTGTCGCTGCTGAGTCAGCTTCCCGCTCTCGCCACCACCGCTGGAACCTCGCTCGACGCAGGTGCGCCTCTGCTCGAGGTGCTGCGGATCAGCGTCGCGGATAGCAGCGACACCGCGGCGGCCTTGGAAGCGTCCCTGTCGCCACCCAACACCGCTTCCCTGCTCCCCACACCAAGTCCGCCCAGCTCCAACCCGTCGCAAGCCACCACCGCCTCCCTGCCAGCTCAGCTCACAGCTTCAAGTCCCGCGAGGAGCAGCCTCGGCCGCGGTGAGAACGGAGTCCAAGCGTATGTCAACCGCTTTTTGAAGCGGGTGGCTGAACCCGCCGGTGCCACCAGCAACCTGACCTCGCACTCCTTTCGCCGAGGAGGTGCCCCGCACGCCAACGGAGACGAGCGGCTAGCAGCGCAGTGGATCTTTGACCGCGGGCCATGGGATATGACCCGCACGAACAAAGGCTTTGCCTATGTCTTCAACACCCCCCCCCCCCCCCCGCGAAAACCGAAAAATCCCCCCAATGCTGAACGGCTGGAGCGCCCACCAAACCCCCGTCATTGCGGACGTTGCAGCGCTGGACCATGGGACGCAAGAACCCCTGGCGCGCTTGGAGGAACTGCTGTTCCGTTCCTGCATTGGACTGGCAGACGCAAAGCTAAACGTAAGTCGCAAGGTTATCGGAATGCTGACCGCGTACCTGATCAAGTATTTTCCGCAAGTGAAGGCGCTGGCGCCCGACACGCTGTTCGTTGCGCGTATCGAGGAATGCTTGGGAGCGGCTGATATCCCGGTCGCCGACATGCTGTCTTGGTCCATGGCAATCAATACGTCTGCTGCTTCGAGTCCTGAACAAGCACACGAAAAGTCGGAAGCAAAGAGCAACTGCTGTCATGCTGGGTGTCACCATTTGGCTGTCATTAGCGAGCTTATCGAGAGCAATCGGCTCATGTCTGCGCGCCTCCTCGCACTGGCGACGATCATCCTAAAGCAAGCGCCATCTGTGAAGCCTATTGAAGAAGCGTCAGAAGAGCAAGCGTCGTCAGAGCAAGCGTCGTCAGAGCAAGCGTCGTCAGAGCAAGCGCCACCCGCAAAGCGAAGAAAGAAAGCTGCTACGAACCTGTCCTCGCTGTGGTTCGAGTGGTACACGAGGCTGCCCCGTGTCTGGGACTCGAGTGACCGCCAGAAGAAGTCCGACTACCGCCTGGGCGTTGCGTACATGAAGCTCTTTCTTGACGGCGGATTCGTGCTGCGCGAGGATGCTGTCGACTTCAAAGATCTTGTCTTCGAAGTAGGAAAACGCGCGGAAGCAGCGGTCCTTAGGTTCTTGAGCGAGCAGGGATCCCGAGCAAAAGGAGCTGGCAGCGTGCTGCGCGAGATGCGCAAGCTTCATCGGTCTGGTGCCCTCGACAGTCGCATCGTGGCGTATCAAAGCCACCTCGCCCTGGAAAGGATCGTCGACCCAGCGCCGGCTGCAACCCAAAACATACTACAAGTCGTCGGACACGTGTAAGGCACAAAGTTCGGGGCAAATACATATATTCATGAACAAATACAAGACAGTTAGCTTACGAACGCGCAGATCAAGGCCATGACCATCCTGCCAACCATCGCCCAGAGACCGTCGGGCACTCAGCGCATCGCTCTCCATCCGCTCGTCGCCGCTTGCCCGGACCCAAACACTGCACACCTTGGAAGGCTCCCATCAATCGTGATTGGCGGCGGCGGGCTTCGATCCCGCTCCGCAGGGCAAGCCCTGCGCTCATCCATTGAGCTTCGTCGTCGAGGGTGGAGCCTCCGGCTTGGCTTGCGGTCTGGGGGGTTCGGCTTAAAAAATCTAGACTGAAGCCGCGGGGCCTCTGTCGGCGTTGCCTCCGAGAGCTTGACTGCGTGGCGCTTTTCTATTGGCTTAAATAAAACCTCATTGAGGTTTTTAAACGAGTGGCTCTGGAAGAGAGGGTCACTCTTGTGAAGTGTAAATATCACTGTTTAAAGACAATCAACCCAAATAGTGGACCCACCACAGGATCCTGGCTCTCATTAATGAGCTTGCCACCTCGAGAGTACATTGCTCCGAGTCGATTTTGCGCCTAGATGCAAATTGCCGTTTTTCTCGGCCCACAGGCCTCTAGAGGCGATTTCCTCGCGGCTGTGAGCACCGCATGAAAGCTGACAAGAATCGATCAAACGGCCCCCTAGACCTAATTTACCGTACATAATATCTAATTTCCGATTTTTCACTATTTCCGATTTTGCACTGGCTTTGACCAATTGCCTACTTGTCGGAATATGTAGGGAAGTCGGAACCGTCATGATATGGATGAATATAGTAGTTTTTCCGACAGATAGCTTAGTAGGATTGTACAGAACAGGAAATATATGACGGCCTGACCAATCACACAGTCGCTATTCACTATTTTCATCCAATCAAATCACACAGGGATAGGGTTTTAGTTCCGACAGCTTCTGACAAATATTTGTCGGAAGCGAGACGCAAATATGTATATGCACATAGTGAAATACAGTCAAGTACGTACTTTTCAAATATGCTCATGATTACAACAACTAGGCAGAAACCTATTTTAGGCCCGGAGCTCTAGTCAGTGGAGACACTGGTGGTCCTCCGCACATACACACATAGGCACTTTGAAACGGCAGAAGCGCCAGACAAAGATCAGCATGAGTCTCTCTGCACTCATCCCTGCGAACACGCAAAAAGCGCGCACCACAGGGATTGGTGCTTTTGAGCGCATGCTAGAAGCAGAGAATGTGTCTATGAATGTCATTCAAGCCTGTGTGCGTGGTGACAGTTCTGGCAAGAGCCTCACGGCGATACTCGCGACGTTAGACAAATATCTGATGGCATTATCGTGTACTAGAAGGTGTGTTTAGTGATCTGTAATAAACACATCGATCATCGCACAAAACTGAGCAAGTAGTAAGCAATTGAAATTTCGAGTGGTGGCTACCATGTATTATCTGATGATTTGCGAGGCACGTTCAGTTGCATCCTAGTTAGTGCCAATTTGTAGCTCTGTACGCTGCTATCTTTTGGATATACGATTGTCTTCTCCATTCTAAACTGTTGGTCGATGATATATGGCTCAGTACTAAGGTAGAGTGGAGAAATCATGGGTTCCTTTGTCGCCCCATACAAAGTCCAAGTCGTATCATTTGTAAGGGGTTTTGGTTTATATAGGATTTTGTATGGGGATTAGCTGTCCATAAGTTTTGTCACCTGGGCAGAACCAGTGATTTGTATGTGAGCTACCCGAAGAAGCGCAAAAGCGCGCGTGTTAGCAGCGTGCAGATCTTTATCAGCGTGTTCTGCAACTCGAGTCCAAACCGCACCTTAAAACGATAAAAAAGGACGAAGTTACAACCACTTTTGGTGGTGTCCATATCTTTTTGTCGTGGAGTGTATTAGGAAGTACGAGGTCTAGTTAAATCAATACAAACTGGGATGAAAAGTTCTGAAATTTGAAAATTTTGAAATGCGGGGCGCTTTTGGGTCAGTGCCAGAAAACACCAGAGACTCAAGAGCCCACGTGCTGCCGCTCCGGACGCGCCGCTGGAGAAGACGCTGGCAGTCGCCGCCATCATGGACGGCACACCCTCCGGTGCCTTGCTGTCCACGACCGTGCTGCTGCAGTAGGAGGGCGTGGTGCGCTCGAACTTTGGCCCTGACACTGACACCAGGGACTCGCTGGACTCGCCAACCGTGGCCTCCCTGGGCGAGCTGCTGGCCACCAAGACGCTGATGGCTGCAGGAGACAAAGGGCGTGGTGAAGACGACTTCCGTGGCCATTGTAGGCACGCTGGACACCGAAGGCGAGCTGCTGGAGACCAAGGACGTGCTGGACCCGAAGACCATGGCCCCCGTGGACGAGCTGCCGAAGACCAAGGGCGTGCAGGACCCGACGACCGTGGCCGAGCTGCTGGACCCGAAGACCATGGCCCCCGTGGACGAGCTACCGAAGACCAAGGGCACGGTCAAGCTGCTGTACATCAAGCGCGTGAAGCGCGGGACGCCCGTGGCCGAGCTGTGGTACATCGAGGGGACGGCCGAGTCGCCACTGCACATGAGTAGTTGGGTGTAATACGAGATGCATTATGACGGCTAATTGATATGCAATGTATTATCCGAGAACTCGATTTGTTTGCATTCCTCGCACGGCCTACGCCTACTTACCGCATGTGCGCTTGTTGTGTCCTTGCCGGTTACACTTGGTGCAGGTCATTTTTCGCTTCGCCCTGCCAACGCTCTGCGTCGTATCTCCACTGCTAGGATACCGTCGCTGCTTGTTGCGACCAGGATTCTGATTTAGTTTCGGGGGCAGATCGTCCTTGTTAACGGCTAGTAGATCGTCCTTGTTAACGGCTAGTTCTTCGTCCAGCACAAGTTCGATGGGGCCTTGCGCGTTAGATCCATGTAGCACCTGGAAGGAATCGAGTTTGAAGCAGTCATCTACTACGTCAAACATTTCGGATGAGCGGTTGACATGATGCAAAGCCACTATGTAGTGGCGACAAGGAATTCGTGTTGGTCGTAGTCGTTGCAACTGCAAGATCGAGCAGTAATATCAACTCGCCGTGTTCGCACAGGATAGCCACGGAGGTTCTCCACAAAAACCACGTCACCATCGGAAGGCCGGACTTTGTAGTAGACTGAAAGCTCTTGTTGCTTCTGAATTTTGGTGTGTAGTCTGTGGGTCAAGCTCACCTCCTTTTTTATCCACTCTGCGGCTAGTTGTTGGTGTTTGTACTCGCTATCCATAATTTGCTTCATAAAGAACGAGAAAAACCCAAAGGGCAACAGGAGGCGAGGTGCCAGGGCAGCCGCATTCTGCGATTCGACAAAGTTTGTTGTACGCCATCCGTACAGTCGGTTTGTCCTGAGAGCTGGGTACAAAACCCACTTGCTGGGGTCAATGCCTTCAATGTAGTCTGCAGTGTTGGGGTGTGTCAGTCTTAAACAGTCAGACGTGACTTGTATTCTTCAGGGCTAGAAGCTGCTTGCAGTCCGTAAAGTACCTTGGCCATATCAACGGGGCACTGACCCTTGAACATTTTGTTTATATTCTGTAGAATATGTCTGGTGCAGAAGCGAACGTTTTTGTATCCAAGAGTGTGGAACGCTGCAAGAATGCCAGTACCTCTGTCTGAAAAAATGGTTAACTTTCTAAGAGGGACACCACTTCGCTCACAACAACGCAGGAACCACACGCAATCATCTTCAGATTCTGACGCGCAAACGGCAATCCCCAACTGCACATTAGCCATCTTGCCATCTCTCCCCACCAACAACAACTGTGTGCTTTTGTATTTGCCATGCTTGATGAATGCCCCATCAACCCCAACGATATTTTGGCCATGGTCTTGATACTCATGAGCATACGGATGCCCCAAAAATGCACGTCGAAATCGGCCATCGCTATCCCATCCACGTAGACAGCAGAGAACGTAGGCGGTGAAATCCGTCCTCCACAGTCCCAAACAGATCGTCAAGAATCAACGCTTGCCACGGTAGGCCTCCTTCAAAGGTATGTTCGCGCCCGATAGGGCCTTCACCTGATCCACAATCGTGCGCCCCGACACATTAGGGTCCGATGCCACCAATGTACGAATCGATTCCATAGATCGCAGTTGCGATGCCGCAATTTTAGACCGGCCGCTGCACATGTTGTGTTCAAGGTTGCATTTGCTAATGTGATAACCCCGCTGAGAATTGGACTGTGCACGGCACGCAGCAACCTCAAAACGACAGAGGTCACCTCCTTTGCACTGGTAGCGAAGGTAGGCTCCTCCAGCAGCAGTTGGATCCAGACGCACAGATTTCCCTGTACTTGAGGCAAAAGACTTAATTGCCTTGGTACAAGCACGTTGAGAACCAAACCACTGGCCGACCGATATGAAGGATGTATCACCTGCACTGTTGACACCTTCAACACCTTCCATCGCCGGGAAAACAACCCGAGCTACCCTCAGACGGTTTCACCTTTTTTGCGTTTTGAAAACAATGGCAAAGCGACTTGAACACTGGACATTTCTAGAAATGGAATTGCTATATTTACCTACACGCACGGTTGTGCCCTCGATGTACCACAGCTCGGCCACGGGCGTCCCGCGCTTCACGCGCTTGATGTACAGCAGCTTGACCGTGCCCTTGGTCTTCGGTAGCTCGTCCACGGGGGCCATGGTCTTCGGGTCCAGCAGCTCGGCCACGGTCGTCGGGTCCTGCACGCCCTTGGTCTTCGGCAGCTCGTCCACGGGGGCCATGGTCTTCGGGTCCAGCACGTCCTTGGTCTCCAGCAGCTCGCCTTCGGTGTCCAGCGTGCCTACAATGGCCACGGAAGTCGTCTTCACCACGCCCTTTGTCTCCTGCAGCCATCAGCGTCTTGGTGGCCAGCAGCTCGCCCAGGGAGGCCACGGTTGGCGAACGTTGTCGAAGAAACGCGACAAAGTGAGCGGGTCGCTCGGCCAAGCAGAAATCAAGTGAGAGCCTTTCCGTGTGCCGACCTGCAAGAGCTACCTGCACGAGACCGCTATCGGTCTCCGGTAGGTCTCGACGTTGAGTTGGTATCGGTCACTCACTTTCCATTTGGCCAAGCAGTCGCCAACCAAGTCAAGTGAATCAAGCAAGCGAGCGAGCGAGCGAGCTAGTAGGAAGGCAAGCATGGCGGACAACTACACGGAAGCCACAACGCCCAAGGCCAACACCACGGCGTTCGACGAAGCCAACAAGGCCGCCGCACGTCTGATCAAGCCCAAGGCCATCCTGTACACGAGCGCGTTCCTGTCGTGGCTGCAGCCGTTCCAGAGCGGCTGGTCCACCTCGCAGACGAACCTCTCGCAGTACAACGACACGGACGAGTGCAATGCGCGCCCCGTGGCCGAGGGCACGTGCCTCATGTTCCCGGCCACTCGAAGCTGGAGTGGACGTTCGCTGTGAACGCGTGGATCTTCGGCGCCATGATCGACTCTCTGTGCTGCGGCCACTTCAGCGACCGCCTCGGCCGGAAGAAGACGCTGATGCTCAACTGCATCTTCATGTTTGTGGGCGGCGTGGTCGAAGCTTCCGTCTCCAACATCTGGGCGTTCGCCGCCGGCCGTCTGATCGCCGGTCTGTCGTCGGGCACTGCCACGGGCACCATCGGCGCGTACGTGAACGAGCTGTCTCCGCCGCCCATGCGCAACACGCTGGACCTGGGGCTGCAGATCTTCACCACCATCGGCATCTTGTTCCCCGCGATCTGCTTCTTCTTCGCCAACACGAGCTCTGGCTGGCGCTACCTGGCCGCGTTCCCGTGCATCCTGGCCGTGATCTACATGGTGCTGGCGCCGTCCATGTGCATTGAGAGTCGCGCGTGGCTGCTGACCAAGGGCCGCACGGAGGAGGCCAAGCAGGTCATCGCTCGTCTGTACGGCGAGGAGCACGTGCAGACGGCCATGTCGTGGCTGGAGGTAAACAAGAAGCCGGAGACCGCCGAGGAGGGTCTGGCTGCTCCCAAGCAGGAGTCCATGTTCGCGCCGCGCTACCGCATGCAGCTTCTGGGCGGCATCTTGCTGTCCTGCGCGCAGCAGCTGTCGGGCATCAACGCCGTGTTCTACTACTCGGGCAGCATCTTCTCGGACGCCGGCATCTCGGACTCGCGCGTGGGCACGCTCATCATCGACTTCATCAACATCTGGCCGGCCTTCTTCACGGGCGTGCTGGCCAACCGCTTTGGCGCCCGTAACATGATCCTGTGGGGTCTGGCCGGCATGTTTGTCATGTCGGTGCTCATGACGGTGGCGTTCATCGTGGACGTGTCTGCTCTGTCGATCGTGTTCACTGCGCTGTACGTGATCGCGTTCGGCGTGACGCTGGGTCCCCTGGTGTGGGTGATGACGGCCGATTCTTCCCGGACTCGATCCGCGCCAGCGCGTCGTCGCTGTGTATTGGCATGAACTGGTTGTGCAACCTCATCGTGGGCGTGGCGTACCCGTACATTTCGGACGCGCTCGACGACTACGCGTACGTTCCGTTCGTGGTGTTGCTGGCGATCTTCTTCCTGCTGGCGCTGAAGTTGGTGCCGGAGACGTCGGGCAAGTCGGCCGAGGAGATCCTGGCCGAGTACGACTCGCGTCGCGAAAAGTAAGCTGGGTAGCCGGATTTTTAGGTCAATCCTACATTTTGGTCACGTGTCAAATCCTTACTTTGGTCACGTGACCTAAGGGAATGAGGTCACATGTAATTCACAAACGATCTAGAAGCAAAGTAAATGTATTATATCGATTCTGCTGCAACGCCATCCTGAACGATAGCGACTTCCGCACCATTATACAATTGCTGATGCATCGCCGTCGTAGTCAAATGAGTTATCTGGACTGTAGTCTACCGTATCGTGATCCATCTCAGCAACGTCGTACTCTGAACCCGGCGCGCTTGAGCAGGATGCAGGGTCATCCGTGGCGATGGTAGGCTGCTCGTCTTCGTCTTCGCTTTCCTCCGAATCCACGATGTCGCCGACCTCAGGCAACTGCGGCGCACGCGGTAGCTGGAAACGTTTCCGTTGAGGTGGCCTGGCGAGTCCGGACTGGATAGCAACACGCTGCGCCACATATTCGCGAGAAATACCTTCTAGCGTGTCGACGAAGCTGCTCATGGCAGGGTGTGGAGCTTTGATCTTCCCGTTCAGATGCCGGTGGAAGCGCTCGAGAGGGTTGTTCGTTCTACTAACAATGTCACGACGCATGCCGAACACGTTCCAATACGTTGGCGGAAACATTTCTAGCCAAGTCCGTCGGAAGTAATCCCAAAACTTACGCCACTTTCTGCGAGAGTAGGTCACATGCTTCGCCTCACAAACTTTTTTAATCTTGGCCTTGACCCACGCAATCCCTTGAACTTCGATTTTACTTGGGTCGATCACCGTCAAAATGTCAAAGACATTTGGGGCCATTGCTAGCTTGGCTTCGTCTCTTGGTATCTGGTACTCCTTCAGCTTTCGGCGACACGCTTGTTTAAAATGAAACAAACATCCGATGATACGGATGTCGGGGAAGTATGCTCGTATTGCGCCGATGAGAGCGGCCTCGAAATCACACACGACTTCCTTAGGAGTCAACTTCCGACCGACACAGTCCTCGATACAGCGCAACAGCTTGATATAATGCTCCTTCTGCATGGAGGTGGCTACCGTGAAGATTGCAGGGATGTAAAGATCGGTAGATGGATCGTGGACCATAATTGTCACGCACTGTTTGTATCCAGCAGGAGCACACCCAAACGTGCCGTCAAGGAACCACAACAGGCTCTCGAAGCGCAGCAGATTGCGCCCATGCCAAAATTCGACCAAAACCAAGTCGTTTTACGCCTTCATATCATCGTGCCACGAGTACTGGAACTGAAAAAATCCCTGCATGGATCCTCTCAGGAGGGAGCTCAACAGATCGATTGCGGTTGCCACCGGTTTCTTTTCCTCGAGCATACCTCACTCGATTTTCAACCGCGTTCTTGGATACCCCACGGACCGGAGGCCCCGACTGCATGTAGAATTTCTCCATAACGTGCAGCCAGATATCCCGTTGGGTCATATTCGTTTCAACAGCGAGCTGGTCGACCTCCTCTAGTACAGCCTCGCTCACATCTTCACAGGGGCTCCCATCAGCTTGAGCGGTCCTGCTTTGAAGTGCAGCACCCGATCGACAGGTGAAACAATTGGCGGGAACCTGGGTACCCATCGGGACCCCGGTTCCCCTAAAACTACCGGTACACATGTATATTGAAGTGTTGGTCTATGACCTACATAGAACGCAGCTAAAGCTCAGTAGGGGAACGATATGTTAATTCACCTTCGCCCTCGTCCTGTGTCTCTCCACGAAAATCCAGACGCTTGCCTTGTGCAGCGGTACAGTGCTTCCCGGTCTCATCGCTATCCTCCTGCTCATGAAAGATAAACTTGGACATGGTAAGGTATGTTATTTGGATCTATTCAGTACCGGTGGCATATTTTGAGGGCAGTCCTTCATCGACAGCACTTAGAGCATCTCCAGCGGTGGGTCTTATCCTAAGTCGTAACAGGGTCTTTGAGACCACAATTTTACAGTTGAGACCCGCGCAGACGGACTTACTTCCAGCGGTGAGTTCTAAAGCGAGTCTTATAAGTCCATTCCCGCATGTGAAAATTGCATTCAGTCTTGGTGCAATCTTTTAAATACGGCGACTCTTCAGTTTTGTATGATGGCATTAAGATTGTGGTCTTATTTTAAGACTCGAAAGCCAATCTATAGGTCCCGGTGGAGCTAAAACCTGCAATAGGACCTTCTGGTGGAAGCCTTAAGTCTCGGCCAAGTCTTAACAGCGTTACTTTTAGGATAAAACCGTGTTTGAGACCAACCGCTGGAGATGCTCTTAGGTATGAGGGTTTAACTTGCCCCGAGGGTACCAATATGGAGACCAAAAATAAAATAAATAATTCGCGATTTGGTCGGTATCATTTGCGGGAACCCGGGTTCCCGCCAATTGTTTCAGGTGTGGGGGACGAGTTCACTGAAGTCGAACGATGCCGTGGCAGCCATGTACACAAATCGCGCCTTGCATTTCTGTCGATACGAGCTACAACGATACGAGATCTTGACGCTCGTAATGTTCGCCTGAGCGTACGAGAAACCCTGGTAGTACACCTTCGTATGTCCATCTCGCTTGTTTGACGTCGCCCGGATCCGTCCCACCGTCGCGTTAGTACAACCCGTTGGGGCACCATTAGCTCCTCCAGCTTCTTCCCGCAGGTGGCCGCCGTCCGCCGGTTGTGATAACAGCATCTCGGGCACTGTGGAGCCCGAGGGATCGAGTAGCATCGTCGTTGACGTCCGCGACCTTGCCATGTCGTCCAGGCAAGGCGCCTCTACAGATGCATACGAAGCCTGCGCACGCATGCTAGTCGTATCCGCTGTAGCATCGAGGAGATCTAACGACGCTTGCGTCGGACGCAAATCGGCCCCCACAACACCGTTGTCGGACAGTTCATGGACGTCGGGGACTTGCTGGCTCGGACGTCGCGAACGGATACTCCGCCGAGTCAGCGGAGAGAAACGAGGACGTGATTGCCGATTCGAGCGGCGAGAGGATGGGTTGATCGTCGGTGGAGAAGTCGTTTTGTTCCTACAGCGTGTCATCGTGTAGAGCGAGCTCGCAGAGACGGAAGAAGCTGACGGAAGTGCCGTGTGCTGGTTGAGGAAGCTTGGTTTATGATTCCTGAAGAGGCGGCTAGCGATGTGGCCTTTGTCCGTTTTGAAAAGCGCAAATAGCTTTAGGTTGGTTTTGAAACTGCTTCCGTGGATGCATCTCCCTACCATTCCCATGCGCGTGTGCGCGCATCTGACCTTCTCTATCATAAGTATCTCGTGGGGGTGTGACCTGGTAAGTTTGGTCATGTGACCTAGCGTCCTGATGTGTGACCTATTTGGCCATCATACCCGTGACCAACTGTTAGGATTGACCTGTTTTCCCCTCTTCGGTAAGCTGCATGTACAACGAGTCTTCGTGTGGATTGTTTACGTGCTACTAGTACTAGAAAGTAGTAGTATTGGAAATATACTATTTGCTAGTGTTTTGAACGATACAGGAAGTACTAGTATGTAGTACTACGTAGTAGTGTAGTAGCAGTTCGGTGTGTTTACAATACTAATAGCATCATAAAGAAATGATGTGTGCTACTACCGTATTACTACTAGTAAATGTAACAGGAATAAACACGCGTTTCTCACCTACCGTACTGCACCTCACAAAGCGTCCAAATGACATTTCAGTCGTCTAGAACTTGTAGCGAGACTTGAGATGCTCCAGGACACGACGCAGCATCCAGTCATCACTGTCCGTGACAGTTGGGGAACTCCCGGCCATCATGATGCAGTTGGGCCATTTTGAAATTTTTTATTTGGCGTTGGGCTTGTCGGTAGCCTCATAGAAGTCAGGAAGCCCGAAGCCGTGACCGATCTCGTGGGCGACAATTGTGAGTTGGTCCTCGTCGAGCATCGCCAACATGTTCTCGAGGTTTACCTCCTGGCCCCAGTCGAATCCGAATCCACCTGCCAGTCCCTGTTTGGGCCACAGTGAAAGATCAATCGGCTCACCCTTGCACCCGCTAGTATCAGTCCACGCGTTGATGCCAACATCGTAGAAGCGGTAGCACTTTTGGTCGCACTGCCGTACGCCATCCTTGTCGAGTCCCCCCTCCCCACCGTGATCGTGTGGAGTGAGCCGTCTTCCTAAAAAGAATGATACTTACAGGGCTGTGTTTCAGTTTAAAAAACTACTAGTGCAGGCCTTACATGCGGCGGGACTAGTAGAAATAATATTACTACTATACTCTTTTACATATCACTTTAGAGTAGTACATGTAGCAAAACAACACAATAAAGCTAATTCATGATGATGTCGTACTCTACTACTGTAGAGTTGTTGTCCTGGGTTGTATTTTAGTGTCCTTGTGTACAGTACACTCCACGACAAAAAGATATGGACACCACCAAAAGTGGTTGTAACTTCGTCCTTTTTTATCGTTTTAAGGTGCGGTTTGGACTCGAGTTGCAGAACACGCTGATAAAGATCTGCACGCTGCTAACACGCGCGCTTTTGCGCTTCTTCAGGTAGCTCACATACAAATCACTGGTTCTGCCCAGGTGACAAAACTTATGGACAGCTAATTCCCATACAAAATCCTATATAAACCAAAACCCCTTACAAATGATACGACTTGGACTTTGTATGGGGCGACAAAGGAACCCATGATTTCTCCACTCTACCTTAGTACTGAGCCATATATCATCGACCAACAGTTTAGAATGGAGAAGACAATCGTATATCCAAAAGATAGCAGCGTACAGAGCTACAAATTGGCACTAACTAGGATGCAACTGAACGTGCCTCGCAAATCATCAGATAATACATGGTAGCCACCACTCGAAATTTCAATTGCTTACTACTTGCTCAGTTTTGTGCGATGATCGATGTGTTTATTACAGATCACTAAACACACCTTCTAGTACACGATAATGCCATCAGATATTTGTCTAACGTCGCGAGTATCGCCGTGAGGCTCTTGCCAGAACTGTCACCACGCACACAGGCTTGAATGACATTCATAGACACATTCTCTGCTTCTAGCATGCGCTCAAAAGCACCAATCCCTGTGGTGCGCGCTTTTTGCGTGTTCGCAGGGATGAGTGCAGAGAGACTCATGCTGATCTTTGTCTGGCGCTTCTGCCGTTTCAAAGTGCCTATGTGTGTATGTGCGGAGGACCACCAGTGTCTCCACTGACTAGAGCTCCGGGCCTAAAATAGGTTTCTGCCTAGTTGTTGTAATCATGAGCATATTTGAAAAGTACGTACTTGACTGTATTTCACTATGTGCATATACATATTTGCGTCTCGCTTCCGACAAATATTTGTCAGAAGCTGTCGGAACTAAAACCCTATCCCTGTGTGATTTGATTGGATGAAAATAGTGAATAGCGACTGTGTGATTGGTCAGGCCGTCATATATTTCCTGTTCTGTACAATCCTACTAAGCTATCTGTCGGAAAAACTACTATATTCATCCATATCATGACGGTTCCGACTTCCCTACATATTCCGACAAGTAGGCAATTGGTCAAAGCCAGTGCAAAATCGGAAATAGTGTACGCTGCTATCTTTTGGATATACGATTGTCTTCTCCATTCTAAACTGTTGGTCGATGATATATGGCTCAGTACTAAGGTAGAGTGGAGAAATCATGGGTTCCTTTGTCGCCCCATACAAAGTCCAAGTCGTATCATTTGTAAGGGGTTTTGGTTTATATAGGATTTTGTATGGGAATTAGCTGTCCATAAGTTCTGTCACCTGGGCAGAACCAGTGATTTGTATGTGAGCTACCCGAAGAAGCGCAAAAGCGCGCGTGTTAGCAGCGTGCAGATCTTTATCAGCGTGTTCTGCAACTCGAGTCCAAACCGCACCTTAAAACGATAAAAAATGACGAAGTTACAGCCACTTTTGGTGGTGTCCATATCTTTTTGTCGTGGAGTGTACCAGTAACTAGCCCCTTGGAAAATGTGACTCTTTGCAGGTTTCTCCGCGAAGTACCACGTGCGCCACATACACTCGTCTAGGTAGCCAGCTACCACTGTTTTCCGCATACCACGAGCAGCTTTGATGCGCTGCTTGATCTTCACCTCCCAGACGCCCTCGATGCGGTTCGTATGGGCGCCAGTCGTGGGGTCCTTGAAGTGTTTCGTGTGGTTTACCCACAGGTGTTGGTACCGCATCCCACGCAGGTGCCTGTTGTTGGTAAGGGTGTATAACATTCCTTTGTTGCGCCCTCTCTGGACTTGGGTCACGTACGCCTTAAACATATCGGAGACAATCAAAGTACTGATAAACATGCATAAAGCGTTAGATATCTTGTCAAATCATACACAGTTATACAGTCATTACCCAGGTTTGATGTGAGCTTTAATCAAAGCAGACAGAGTCGGCTTCGTCCGGTCGTTTTAAACGACACGAGCGAACCACTTTTTAGTGGTTCGGTCGACTCCGCCGAAGACCCAGAAGTCTGGGTGGCGGGTACCACGTCGGTACTTTTGCTTCTTCTTCAGGGACGTTTCGTCGATCTCGACCACGTGCCCAACCCCTCCGATCTAGCAGTTTAACATCATTGTTCAACCCGTTAAAAAACTACAACCCAACACTGCTAACTAAATAATATTTAGCAACAGAATAATGTACGATTTTACCGTCAGCAACGTCCGCTTCATCTCGGCGGTGCAGATGTCCTGGGCATAGACATACCACTGCCCTGCCGTTGTCGGCGACACCTCGGCCTGCTGTGCTGCCGTTGTGACTGGGTGTAGGAACGCCCAGAACAACAGCAGCTTGATCAGCTTCGAGAGGGGAGCTGATAGCCGGGCAAAGAAAAAGGAGGCCCGCACGCTTCTCTCCAGACGGCACCCCGTGCGGGAGCAGCGCCAGCGCGTCCGCTTCACAGCGACGTACAACGTCATGCTATTGGTGCAGGTAGGACACAGAGGCGCGCTTGCCCGAAGCCCCACGCGCTGCGCCCACTCCAGCGCGCCCTTCTCCGTCGCGCACGCGCTCAGCACAGAGTTGAAGGTGAAGAGCGCGTTGGAGGAAACATCATACTGGTGGGGGATGGGTGTGGCGAGGGGGCTGCGACCCGGGCGGGCGGTCTACGTGGTGCGGGAAGTGCGGGGGGCCATGGTGCCGTGCTGGATGCGGGGTGATTCTGGTTGTGTGGCACTGACTCATGGTTGCCAGAAGTTCGAAAGTATGATTTAGTTCTAATCTTTCTGAAATGTGAAAATTTTGAAATGCGGGGCGCCTTTGGGTCAGTGCCTGTTTTCTGCAGTGAAGGCTACCTCTACGATTCTATAGGCTGGTCTTGGGAATAAGTTTTCCCACAACTCCGTGTTTGGTCGCAAAAGGTTGAAAATGTCAAAAGTTTCCCCAGCACTCCGTATTTTGGGAATTACCCGCGAGGAGCACGATCGCGTACTCTCGCCCGCCTGGCTCAACCTTGCCATGCCTGAAGTGTTTTGCAGTGGTACAACCGCTAAATAAAAGCAATGCGCGTCGTGGAGGCATGGACTGCTGGCTATCGAAGCAAACGATAGAACAAGTATGCGTTAGAAAATTTGAGTGTCGAAGGACTTTCATAAATTATGTGGAGCATAAGCGGTGTATAGAAGGGCGAACTTCAGAGAATTTCGCTTCAAAAAGCATCATCAAGATGATTCGTCCCTCGTGCATCGACGCTTGAAGTAGGCAGAGAGAGCGGTCGCTTGATGGTCGCCAAGAGCGCGCCATCGCCAAGGCCCCAGCTCTTTTGCTGCTGAAGGTGCCTGCCTCGGGGCCCACCAATAGTATCAGCACCAGCGCAGCGCCTCGACGGCCTCCCGAAGACATGGGCGGGCGACACCTCTCTCGGCGTCGAATTCGCCGCGCGAATCGTCGTGCCAGCTGGTACCTCTTTCGCGACGAGATCCAACACCGAGATCTCATTAATGTTGTTGTACCGGCTCATGTCGTTTTCAGCGCTGTGGAGGACACCTTACGTCTCCTGCACTGCCAGCTTCGTGCGGTTCGCCCGGTGCCCTTTCAATGCTGAAGCTGCTGATGCCCTCAGTCGTCGTGATAACAAGTCACTGTCAAGTCGCCGCTGGCGCACGAACTTAATTTGTCAGCTCAATTTGATAGATCGCCATTGAGACAGTGGTACTTGCCCACCTTGTCGAAGAAACGCGACAAAGTGAGCGGGTCGCTCGGCCAAGCAGAAATCAAGTGAGAGCCTTTCCGTGTGCCGACCTGCAAGAGCTACCTGCACGAGACCGCTATCGGTCTCCGGTAGGTCTCGACGTTGAGTTGGTATCGGTCACTCACTTTCCATTTGGCCAAGCAGTCGCCAACCAAGTCAAGTGAATCAAGCAAGCGAGCGAGCGAGCGAGCTAGTAGGAAGGCAAGCATGGCGGACAACTACACGGAAGCCACAACGCCCAAGGCCAACACCACGGCGTTCGACGAAGCCAACAAGGCCGCCGCACGTCTGATCAAGCCCAAGGCCATCCTGTACACGAGCGCGTTCCTGTCGTGGCTGCAGCCGTTCCAGAGCGGCTGGTCCACCTCGCAGACGAACCTCTCGCAGTACAACGACACGGACGAGTGCAATGCGCGCCCCGTGGCCGAGGGCACGTGCCTCATGTTCCCGGCCACTCGAAGCTGGAGTGGACGTTCGCTGTGAACGCGTGGATCTTCGGCGCCATGATCGACTCTCTGTGCTGCGGCCACTTCAGCGACCGCCTCGGCCGGAAGAAGACGCTGATGCTCAACTGCATCTTCATGTTTGTGGGCGGCGTGGTCGAAGCTTCCGTCTCCAACATCTGGGCGTTCGCCGCCGGCCGTCTGATCGCCGGTCTGTCGTCGGGCACTGCCACGGGCACCATCGGCGCGTACGTGAACGAGCTGTCTCCGCCGCCCATGCGCAACACGCTGGACCTGGGGCTGCAGATCTTCACCACCATCGGCATCTTGTTCCCCGCGATCTGCTTCTTCTTCGCCAACACGAGCTCTGGCTGGCGCTACCTGGCCGCGTTCCCGTGCATCCTGGCCGTGATCTACATGGTGCTGGCGCCGTCCATGTGCATTGAGAGTCGCGCGTGGCTGCTGACCAAGGGCCGCACGGAGGAGGCCAAGCAGGTCATCGCTCGTCTGTACGGCGAGGAGCACGTGCAGACGGCCATGTCGTGGCTGGAGGTAAACAAGAAGCCGGAGACCGCCGAGGAGGGTCTGGCTGCTCCCAAGCAGGAGTCCATGTTCGCGCCGCGCTACCGCATGCAGCTTCTGGGCGGCATCTTGCTGTCCTGCGCGCAGCAGCTGTCGGGCATCAACGCCGTGTTCTACTACTCGGGCAGCATCTTCTCGGACGCCGGCATCTCGGACTCGCGCGTGGGCACGCTCATCATCGACTTGGCCGGCCTTCTTCACGGGCGTGCTGGCCAACCGCTTTGGCGCCCGTAACATGATCCTGTGGGGTCTGGCCGGCATGTTTGTCATGTCGGTGCTCATGACGGTGGCGTTCATCGTGGACGTGTCTGCTCTGTCGATCGTGTTCACTGCGCTGTACGTGATCGCGTTCGGCGTGACGCTGGGTCCCCTGGTGTGGGTGATGACGGCCGATTCTTCCCGGACTCGATCCGCGCCAGCGCGTCGTCGCTGTGTATTGGCATGAACTGGTTGTGCAACCTCATCGTGGGCGTGGCGTACCCGTACATTTCGGACGCGCTCGACGACTACGCGTACGTTCCGTTCGTGGTGTTGCTGGCGATCTTCTTCCTGCTGGCGCTGAAGTTGGTGTCGGAGACGTCGGGCAAGTCGGCCGAGGAGATCCTGGCCGAGTACGACTCGCGTCGCGAAAAGTAAGCTGCATGTACAACGAGTCTTCGTGTGGATTGTTTACGTACTACTAGTACTAGAAAGTAGTAGTATTGGAAATATACTATTTGCTAGTGTTTTGAACGATACAGGAAGTACTAGTATGTAGTACTACGTAGTAGTGTAGTAGCAGTTCGGTGTGCTTACAATACTAATAGCATCATAAAGAAATGATGTGTGCTACTACCGTATTACTACTAGTAAATGTAACAGGAATAAACACGCGTTTCTCACCTACCGTACTGCACCTCACAAATCGTCCAAATGACATTTCAGTCGTCTAGAACTTGTAGCGAGACTTGAGATGCTCCAGGACACGACGCAGCATCCAGTCATCACTGTCCGTGACAGTTGGGGAACTCCCGGCCATCATGATGCAGTTGGGCCATTTGGCGTTGGGCTTGTCGGTAGCCTCATAGAAGTCAGGAAGCCCGAAGCCGTGACCGATCTCGTGGGCGACAATTGTGAGTTGGTCCTCGTCGAGCATCGCCAACATGTTCTCGAGGTTTACCTCCTGGCCCCAGTCGAATCCGAATCCACCTGCCAGTCCCTGTTTGGGCCACAGTGAAAGATCAATTGGCTCACCCTTGCACCCGCTAGTATCAGTCCACGCGTTGATGCCAACATCGTAGAAGCGGTAGCACTTTTGGTCGCACTGCCGTACGCCATCCTTGTCGAGTCCCCCACGGTGATCGTGCCGAGTGAGTCGTCTTCCCAATCCAGCAAAGTAGCGTCCTTGACAGCTAATCCCACAACGTTGGTCTTGATCTTGTTGTACGGTCAGCAGTCGTAACCAATGAGCCAGTGGTTCCACGCTGCGTACTGACGCTCCAGCATAGCCTGGAATTTAGACGCTGTCGCCTTGGAGAGCTTTTCCGTGCTGTCCCAGCGCACGCAGTAGTTAAGCATGCCCTTGTTTTTCACGATGCGGTCCAAGATCCAGTTCTTGTTTTCCATGACGTTCCAGTTGACATTGACCTTCACCTTCGCGTCGGGTCCAATTCGATTATCCCAGACCCCAATCGACGTCGGCCGCGCTCACGTATTTGTTTGGGCTACCGATGACGCACTCACCGGACTTGGACGTGATGATGCCAAACGTGGCGTGATCTCCGCTGCTGGAGCTGTTGGTAGACGTCTGCGTCACATCCGAACCGTCCTGCATTGTCGACGTAGGGCCTGAGGGGGAAGCGGTCGGGGGCGTCTGCGTCGCTAGCGACGAACCCTGGTCGGCATTTCCGTCACTTTCGCTGGATGCTGTCGATGATGCAGTGTTCGGCGATGACGTCGGGCTTGTACCTTCGGTCTCGCCGGAATCTACCGGGGTGGTCGTATCGGACGATGCAGCCGTGGACGAGGGCTGCGACCAAGTTTGATCGCCGGTTCCACTCGAGATCGAGGGGGTGGCTCATTATTGTTCGAAGAGCTTGCGGTTGAAGTCGAGACCGACGGCTGCGATCCCTGTTCCTCTTGGTCGTCGGAGCCACTGCTATCGTTTCGTCGGAGCCACTACACTCGAGGCTGTACTCTTCAGTCTCAAGTGTCTCGGCATCGCTCGAACCGCTGCACTCCAGCGAGAAATCCCCTTCGTCGCTCGCCCCGTTAGACAAACCGCTCGTCGGGGCTGAATTATCGGTCGAGGTCGGTTGTGACCATCCCTGGTTGCCGCTGTCGGTAACTGGGCCATTTGTCGGGGTCCAAACTGACGGTGAATTCGTCGTCATCGGCTGGGGCCAGCCTTGCGATCCGCTCACGCTGGAGGGGGCGTTGAAGACCCAGGAGGCACGCCGGCCAAAGAAGAAGCTGTCTGCGGCCACTGGTTCGTCGATTCATCACCAAGTGCGACGGTGGCTGCGGACTGCGTGATCGCTCTGGTCGCCGAAGTCAATGGCGGTCGATGACGCCACTAACGTGGCGGCAATGAGAACTGGGAGGCGATATGTTGCCATCGTAGGGAAACCAAGAATGGGGACGATCGAAAGTGAATGTGGAGCGCAGGTCGCCTCAATGCTGACTCCACGACCATCAGGGCTGCGAACTCGCAGGACAAAATCCCCAAATTCTTGATGCTGACTTACATTACTGTAAACCGCCGTCCGTATAATACGGGAAAACATACCCGATAAATCACGCAGCACGCTTCTGGGTGTCCTATTGGGTGGCGTGCAGACTACTTTCCCCACTGGTGGAAATCGGCGAAGCTGGATCCCTAAGTAAATATTGTATAGGCTCCTGTAAGCGAACTTATTCCTATTACGTCAAATGAGCAATACACCTGGTATCCAAAGTACTAAGTAGCAGTAGTAGCCGTACAATAGTTTAACCTTCTCCTGCCCTTAGCTACGAGAGCTATCCGTAGACTATCCGTAGGCTGGGATAGCTAAGAACATTTGTGTGAGGTGCCGCCTAATTAATCTGTGTTGGGCTGGCCACAGCACTCTCTCTGCGGTTACTGCTACTCTAACCATTAGTGGTGCCAACAACAAACGGCAACAAATGTGCCGGAAGATATCGGATTTCGGCCGAAGCTACGGGGAAAAGAATGATTGGGAAATCACAAAGGGACGCAAAGTCGCCTTGAAGAATGGTTTTTCTAGGTGTCCTGTTGCGAATTTCCTGACAACACACGATTTTGTTTGCTCGTTACTTCATCGAAAACAACTCGCGGAAGCCGACCTTCTGTTCGTCCGAAAGCGTCTCGGGAAACTGCACGTGGAACTTAATGTGCAGTTGGCCCCTCTCGGATGGGAAGTGCTGCTTCGGCATGCCTTCGTCCTTCAGCACGGTCACAAACCGCGGAGGTGTCACCTCGTCGCGCACTACCTCCACTCGCCGGCCATCTAAGTGTGTGAAAGACTTGGTAAAGCCCACAAGCGATTCACGCAGAGAAATGTCCATATCCATCCACAGGTGGTCGCCTTCGCGCGTGAACACAGGGTGTGGCGCCGTCAGTACCTGCAACCGGACGTGGCCTGCCGGTTGGCCAGGGATCTCATCCGCGTAGTTTTCCAGCTCCACTTCAAAGCCGTCGGGCGTACCCTTCTCCAAGTCGACGTCGAAGTTGAGATCGGCCATCTCCACCTTGCGGCCGCCACACACGGGACACGTGCTCGTGTAGATTTTACCCTTGCCGTGGCACTTGTCGCACGTGGTTTGGAACTGCTGAATGAAGCCGGGGCCCACGCGGCGAGTCTTCATCTTCACACCTTGACCGCCACAGGCCGAGCACACGTGGACGTCGTCTTCATGGGCCGCTCCTTTGCCATGGCAATGATGACAAATAGTCTACAGGTGCACAAAACACAAAAAGATGGTCAATTTCTTCACTTCACGAAACTCTTGCAAACTCGAGCGCCTCCTACCTCACGGCGGATAGAAAACTGAAGACTCTTGCCATTGTACAGATCCGCCAGGGAGACACGCAGCGGCATGACCACGTCCGGGCCGCGTGAAGGCTCCCGCTCTCGGCGTTGGCGGCCGCCACCGAAAAACTGCGAGAAAATGTCAAACGGGTCGTGGCCGCCGCCTCCGCCGGAGTTGCTCAGCCCCTCCTCCCCGTAGCGGTCGTACTTGGCCTTCTTTTCGTCGTCCGAGAGCACGTCATAGGCTATATCAGGTATGAGAGATCCACGCGTCATTACACCAAGTCACAGATGCCGAATCAATTGTGAAGGACTGTACGCGTCGGACTCACCGCTGGCCACCTCCGCGAACTTCTTGGCTGCGTTCTCGTCCCCCGGGTTTTTGTCCGGGTGGTGCTATAAGATATGACGAGCGGCAAGTTGCAGAGAGAAAATAAAAGTTAGGAGACGATCGCCACGGACTGCGTTGATGCAGAGCGCACCCACTTTGAGCGAGAGTTTGCGGAAGGCGCGCTTGATCTCGGCCGACGACGCGTCGCGCGACACGCCCAGCACCTCGTAGTAGTCTTTGCCGGCCGCGGCCAGCGCCACGAAGCACGCCAGCGCAAGCAGCAGGCGGAAGCCACGCGTCATCGCCGGATCCTGCAAATTTGTTTTCTAGAAGGCGATATCAACTCTCGCACATCATTGATACACAACTTTGGTCAAGATGGCTACAATGGTCAAGATGGCTACATTTCGGCGGTGCAAGCAAGTTGAAGCCATGTTTCCGTCGCTTAGATGGCCGAGCGAGTGGGGAGGTGCACGCTGTCGTCGCCCTCCGTGGGTGCGACGCTGCACGTGTCATCCTTCTCCTCTTTCTGCTTGGCCGAGGACCAGACCGAGCCCTGTCCGTCGATGTGCGTCCCCGCCGTCGCCAGAGCTGCCACCGCCACTAAGATGCTCAAGTACTTCAAGGACAGGGCGCGTTGGCCTACTCCCTTGAACAGGAAGCCCCAGCATAGTCCGCCTACGTTGCCGCCAGCGCCCACGATGCCCGACGTCGCACCTGTGTACTCTGGCAGGACGTAGGGCACAATGCCGTACGTTGTGCCGGTGGACGCCTGCACGAAGAAGCCGAAGACGATAAGCAGCGGAACGCTGGCCCCCAGCTGCTGCGTCGTGCTGTACAGGTACAGGAACAGCGCCTGCCCTGCGAACGCGACGAACTGCGTCAAGATGCGGCCTCGCATTCCGATGCGGCTGTTAGCGACGTCCGAGGCGTAGCCCCCGGCAGCGCGCGCGAAGATGCACATGAGACCGAAGAGCGACGAGATGAGACCGGCCTTGGTCTGCGTCAGCAGGCGGCAGGCGTCCGCAGCCGTGGACGGGTCACAGTCCGACCGCTTGAAGTCCTCGTAGTAGTAGAGACTCAAGACGTTGTGCACCTGCAGCTCGACGCGGAAGGAGCAAGCGTACTGGAGCGCAAGGATCCACGTCGCAGGCTTCTTCGCTACCGCCCACAAAGCCTTCTTCATGTCGATCTCGGGCTTGGTGGCCGCGATGCTCATGGCGTTCGCCTTCTTCAGGTCGGCGTAGTTCCCCTGAGGGCAGTCGTCGGTGAAGAAATACAGAGCCACGCCCACCAGCACCATGAAGACGGCGGGGAAGACGAGAGTGATTCGCCAGCCGTAGTTGTCGGACACCGCGCCGTCGATAGTGACCAGGTCGAAGAGCAGTGGAGTGATGAGGTAGCTCCGAGGTTGCCCCAGCCGGCGGTGATGGCGTTGGCCGTGCCCACCACTTCCTTGGAGAACATGACGGACGACCAGTACGCGGTGGCTACGAAGGACGAGCCGACAAGGCCGATGACGAGCCGCACGACCATGAACCCGCCGTAATTGACAGCAAAGGCAGCCGAAGCCACGGGGAGGGCCCCCACCACCAGAAGCACGGCTTGAACCGTGCGCGCGCCGTACTTATCGCACATGGGTCCAGCAATTACACGACCGACGATCGTGCTCGCTACTGACACGATGTTCGAGTTGCTCACTTGCGCCGGCGTCAGCTTGAGCTGCTTCTTGATGGTCGGCATGAGCGGCGGGATGGAGAACCAGCCGAAGAAGGCGATGAAGAACGACAGCCAGGAGAAGTGAAAGGCGCGCATGTGAGGACGCGCAGCACTGAAGAGCTTGATCTCCGTGGCGCGGTCGGCTTGGTCCGGGTCGGTTTTGAGGTCGAAGACCGTGCGCCGATGGAAGCCGCCAGCCTCAGCATTGGTCGGCGTCAGCAGCTCTACATGATGCTGGTTCGGAGTCATGCCCTCGAGAAGATGCTTGGTGGTTGGAGAGCGAAACGTAAAGTGAGGTTTTCTACACGCCGGTCATCATACCTTCCGGAAGTCGTGCTCTTGTGTGGTGCGTAGCGACTAGTTCACCGACTAGTTTGGCGGCCGTTTCGTTACCTGCGCAGAGGAAGAGTAGCTGGAAGAGCGCATTGCTGAACTCCATGGGCAGCTACGACCAATGGGGGACATGCTCGCCGAGGACACTGCATCCGTCACTGCCTGGGGGCTGCAGAGTATCGATAGCTGCGAGCTCGCGCAGAAATCAACCGCTGCTTTCGAGGACGATGTCGCTCGCTAATTGGGATAACTCACAGACCAACGCCCGCTTCACGCCCCAGCGTGAGTCATCTGAAGCTGCGGTGACAAGCCGCTTAAAACCAGCTAGGGTGTCTTGATTGGCGGCGCGACTTGCTGACGCGTTCCGCTGTTGAAGGCGACATCCTGCTTCGACCTTGTCGGCTTGAGCGTCAACCTGGAAACTGCAAGGCGAAAACTACGCTGCGCTTTGATCGTAAACAAATGTGCACTAGACCTCGGGTATACGCAGCAGCCCGACCTGGAAATCTCTGCCCAGGGTTTTTCATTTAGCTTCACACTAACATGCAGACAAACGAATACTACACAGAATCACACATAAAAGGCTTGAACCGTTTGGTCGGTTCGACGCCGCGAGTAGCGGGAGGGCTCTCGACTCCATAGTGAGCGCTCCCCTTTCACTCGAATGAAGGCGGACAAAATGGCCGACCCGATGACGAAGAAACTCAAATACCGGAACGACAACGCTCGCTCCCCGACGATCTTGAACAGAAATCCCCACATGAGTCCGCCCATGTTTCCTCCAGCTCCAACGATCCCAGACGCGACACCAGTGAAGTCGGGGCAAATGTAGGGCACGATTCCATACGTCGTGCCGGTTGAAGCCTGCGCGAAAGCGCCGAAGGCGACGAGACAGGGGACGCTCCATTCCACTACGCGGATGTGGCTGTACATGTAGAGGAAGATAGCCTGCCCCGTGAGGCAGACCAGCTGAGCGGAGATCCGGCCTTTCATATCCCAGTGGCGATTGCACACGTCCGAGACGTAGCCGCCGATAGCGCGCGCGAAGATGCACATGAGGCCGAAGCAGGACGAGATGAGGCTGGCCTGCGTCTGGGACAGTAGGCGGCAGCTATCCGCGTCCGTCGCTGAATCACACCCCGCCTTCTTGAAGTCCTCAAAGTAATACAAGCTCAAGACATTGTGAACTTGGATCTCCACGCCGAAGCAACACGCGTACTGGAAGGCCAAGATCCAGGCAACCGGCATCTTCGCTACTGTCACGAAACCCCGAACCATCTCGGCCTTGGGTCTCTCCGCCATCACGTGCGTCTTCTTCATCTCCACGTAGTTGCCCTGGGGACAATCGTCCGACAAGAAGAACGTGCACGCGCCAACGGCCACCATCAGCAGTGCAGGGAAGGTCAGCGTGACTCGCCAGTCGTAATTGTCCGAAACACCGCCGTGCAAAGTCACCAAGTCAAACAGCAGCGGCGTGATCAGGTACGTCGCGCCGGCACCCAGGTTCCCCCAGCCAGCGGTGATGGCATTCGCACTACCGACGACTTCTTTCGAGAACATCGAGGACGTCCAGTACGCAGTCGATACAAACGCACACCCGACGAGTCCGATGAAGAACCGCACCAACATCAAGCCGGTATAACTCGTCACTAGCGCGGCGGAGGCCACAGGGATCGCGCCGATTACCAAAAGCGCGGTTTGCACAATACGGGCGCCGTAGCGATCGCACAATGGTCCGATCAAAAGACGTCCGAGAATTGTACTCGCGAGCGAAATGATGTTGGAGTTGTCCACCTGCGCTTGAGTGAGCTTGAGCTGCTTCTTGATGGTCGGCATGAGCGGCGGGATGGAGAACCAGCCGAAGAAGGCGACGAAGAAGGACATCCACGCGAAGTGGAACGCTCTCATGTGCGGTCGGGCGAAGCTGAAGAGCCGAATCTCCGTCGCTCGGTCGGCTTGCAGCGGGTCCGTGAAAAGCGTGAAAGACGGTCGATTCGACGAGTTGACGCAGTGGTGGAAGTCGCCGTGGCGATGAGAGACGCTGGTTGCTGCGCTCTGGTAGCTGGCGCTGTCGCGCTTGCTCTCAGGGAGCTCCAGGTCCACTACGGTGATGGTCCGTGTTCGTTCGCGTCGAGTTTCAGCTGGGGGATAAGCCCCGAGTTCCTGCAGCGTGGAGGCGAAGCATTCGTGCGCTGGGTGTGTGGAAGGCTGGCGGCTGTTACCTTTCGGTGAGACGCGCCATTGAGGGGCAAAGCTGAAGTCCTGGCTGCGGTGATGATAGACCATGGTCGTTGAAGTGATCGACACTCGAGACCTTGCGAAATGACCGCGAGAAACCTCCAGCTGGGGACGGCTACAGGTTCAGGCTCCTTCTCGAGCGCTGCACTCGACGGGGAAAGCCACGTAAATGTCGAAGGGAAAAGACCACCCCCTGAAAAGCAAAGGTGGACCATCCTCCATTGCGCTGAACGGAACGGGCCGCAGTTGATCCTGTGCGCTCGACGTCGCTAATGAAACACGCTGCAAAGCCAGCTGGGCCAACTCTACGCTGTCCATTCTGTTTTGGCGTGATAGTTTACCCCTGAACGGCGGCACAGTCATCTCGATTGAGGGCATTCCCTGCGGCTACATGTCCAGCATCAAGGGGATCTACCTGGACGCAGGCAAACGTCATGTGGCCCGTGCGGACGGTGTGTGACTAATTGGACGCATAGGGGGCGTGCGTCTAGCACTGCGCTCCGAGTTGTAGCTGCAGCTTCAGAGAGCTGCTGCTCCGATCTCAATCCTCGGAGTGGATTGTTCTGATGCGTCATTCAAGGGCGTCTCCATATACAGAGGAGCGTTGTCCGTGAACTCCGAGAATGTTGCGTTAAGCTCCCTTCGGTCGCGTTGCCGACGGCGACAGCCTCCTAGTGAACTCGTGCCGAGTTGAGTGCTTACTTGTTGTGTGTTCACATCCCAGACCATCAACTTACTGCAGTCTGCGAGGATAGGCGTGCTGTCTTAGTGGACGGAGCCTAAGGTTGAGCACCAAATACATTTTTGAAGCATCACGGTGTCGTATGTAGCAGGTGAAAGCTCCCAGTTCAGTCCAGTTGAGCTTTTACGGCCAACCGAACTCTTTCAGCTTTTCTCCGCGACCTCCTCCGTGAGCATTCCGACCATGTTTTGTCTCGCCGAATTCAAACCGTGGGCAAAGTCTCAGCATCCCGCAATGATGAGTCTTGCCTCAGCATGGCGAAGGTCTCACTTCCACTATATTTGAGAGCAGTAACATATTTCAACGCAGCTACCATTCGCCTCGGCGGCACCACAAGCGGCCAACATACCCATCGGAAGCTTCACTCTCTATTTGTCTTCGAACCCCCGACCAGAGGTTGCGTCTCCACTCAACTCAGTGGCAATGGCCGAGTACTTCGACGACGGAAACCCGCGACTTACTGCAGTCCGGGTGCCGACACGTCACGACAAATTCAGTCTGTACGCCCAGGACACGTTGGTCGCAACGCCTGAGAATGTGAGCTACCTCCAGCACCAACTCGGCGGCGGTAGCTTTCCTGCTGCACGCGAATCGTTCGATATCTCGACCGACCCGCTCCAAGCGGACAAAGCCACGGAGATTCGGCTCTTTAGCTTCGCCCGGCCTCACATGCGAGCCTTCCACTACTCGTGGATCTCCTTCTTCATTGCCTTCTTCGGCTGGTTCTCCATCCCACCGCTCATGCCCACGATCAAGACGCAACTCAAGCTCACGGAAGACCAAATCGCCAACACCAACATCGCTGCGTTGTCCAGTACCATCGTCGGCCGCCTCATTGTCGGGCCGCTGTGCGATCGCTATGGCGCTCGGAGTGTGCAAGCGGTGCTTCTAGTGGTGGGCGCGATCCCAGTAGCCTCCACAGCACTCGCTATCGACTACTCGGGGTTCATGCTCGTGCGCTTCTTCATTGGGCTGGTCGGGTGCACATTCGTGGCCACTGCGTACTGGACGTCGACCATGTTCTCGAACGAGGTAGTCGGAAGCGCCAACGCTATTGCAGCTGGATGGGGGAACCTCGGCGCGGGGGTCACGTACCTGATCACCCCGGTGATCTTCGACTTGATCACGCTCAACGACAAGATCTCGGACAACTACGGCTGGCGCCTCACCCTGCTGTTCCCGGCCCTCATGATGGTGCTCATCGGAATCTGCACCTACCTCTTCTCGGACGACTGTCCCCGCGGAAACTACGTGGACCTGAAGAAGAACCACGCGATGGCCAACCGTCCACACCGAGACCTGTACGTCGACTTCATGGCGGTAGCGAGGCTCCCTGTCACGTGGATCCTCGCGTTTCAGTGCTGCTTCGGCGTCGAGATCCAAGTGCACAACGTGCTCAGCCTCTATTACTACGACGACTTCAAGCGGTCGCAGTGTGACCCGTCGACGACCGAGGACGCGTGTCGGCTGCTCTCTCAGACGAAAGCCAGCCTCATCTCGTCCTGCTTCAGCTTGATGTGCATCTTCGCGCGGGCGGTGGGCGGCTACTTGTCCGACGTCGCCAACCGCCACTTCGACATGAAAGGTCGAATCGCAGTTCAGTTCGCTATGCTCACAGGCGAGGCGGTGTTTCTCTTTATCTTCAGCCAGGTCCGGGTGTTGGGGGGGAGCATCCCCCTCCTGGTCGCGTTCGGCATCTTCGTCCAAGCGGGCACGGGCAGCACCTACGGCATTGTGCCCTACGTCTCTCCAAGACATACTGGAGCGACATCGGGTATTGTCGGTGCCGGGGGCAACATGGGGGGCTTGGCCTGGGGGTTCCTCTTCAAAGCAGTCGGGAGTCGAGCCCAATCGTTCCAGTACCTGAGCTTCTTCATCGCTGGAGCTGCGCTCACGTGCGGCGGCATGAATATTGAGGGCGAGAGCAACTTGTGGACTCGTCAAGTTCGTAGTTAGATCAGACGCATTTGCATATTACCGAGCAGAAGTTATGTATGTATGGAACTTTGGAGCTTTGTCCTCATCGATGATTGGCCAGGTCGCTTCAGCGGCAACTTGATCCCGTCACTAAACCGCGTCCCAGGTCACTATCTCAAGGTAAATCTCGTGTGCGCCACACCAAACCGTCCGTCGATTGGCCAGCATGCCAAACGACTGGAGCCCAACCAACCAAAACAACACTTCGGTCTTTGACACCCGTAGAGCAGCAGCATCGCGACTCTGCTCTGCTCGACTCGACTCGACTCTGCCTCTGCCTGCGTCTCTAGCCAAGTGAAGGAATCATGCCGACCAAGCGCGTGAAGGGCAAGAAGAAGCTCAAGTCCATCAAGGCCAAGCAGACCGATGCCATGGGCAGCAAGCGCCGCCTGGCCAAGCTCGGCAAGGAGCAGCGCAAGGGCATGCGCGGCTCGGCGGCCAACTACATCACGCGCAGCCAGGCGCTCAAGCGGCTGCAGGTGACGCTCAAAGACTTCCGCCGCCTGTGCATCCTCAAGGGCATCTACCCGCGCGAGCCCAAGAAGAAGCCCTCGGGCAAGGACAAGACGTACTACTACATCAAGGACGTCATGTTCCTGGCGCACGAGCCCGTGCTCGAGAAGTTCCGCGAGTTCAAGACCTTCATGAAGAAAGTCAAGAAGGCCATGGGCAAGAAGGACTACGAGGACGCCAAGCGCAAGCACGAGAACCGCCCCACGTACGAGCTCGACCACATCGTCAAGGAGCGCTACCCGCGCTTCGTGGACGCGCTGGGCGACCTGGACGACGCGCTGTGTCTCGTGCACCTGTTCGCGCTCATGCCCACGGGCAACGGCATACACGCCGAGGTGACGAGCATGTGTCTGCGCCTCGTGCGCGAGTGGCAGAACTACGTCGTGGCCACGCGCGCGCTCACCAAGGTGTTCGTGAGCATCAAGGGCATCTACTACCAGGCCAACGTGCAGGGCCAGACCATCACGTGGCTCGTGCCCCACCAGTTCACCCCCACCGTGGACAAGCGCGTGGACGTGCGCGTCATGCTCACGTTCCTCGAGTTCTACGAGGTGCTGCTCAAGTTCGTCAACGCCCAGCTCTACATGCAGATCGGCGTGGCCTACCCGCCCAAGATCAACCTGCAGCTGGATGCCGCCGGTGCGCAGCTCGCGGCGATTGAGCTGGAGCGCGTCAAGGAGGACGAGGACATGGCGAACGCTGAAGACAAGGACGACGACGAGGATGGCGAGGCCCCCAAGGACATTTCCCAGCAGCAGAAGGAGTCCGAGAAGCGTATCAAGACGCTGAGTGGCGCCATCGCCAAGGACGTCGCCAACCCCGTTGAGGAGTACGATGAGGAGGACGAGGACGAGGCCTCGTACGGCGAGATGAGCGAGCCTCTTGAGGCCGCCTTCGCGTCCAACCAGCTGGCTGCGCAGATCTACAGCGAGCAGCGCAAGGAGCGCAGCGAGAAGAGTCTGTTCAGCGGTCTGACCTTCTTCCTGTCGCGCGAGGTGCCGTCGGCCTGCCTGGAGCTGGTGCTGCGCTCGCACGGCGCTACGCTCGGCTGGGACGGCGCCGGCTCGCCTTTCGACGAGAAGAGCTCGCGTATCACGCACCACATCATGGATCGCCCGCACCAGGGTCACCGTTACTTCAACCGCGAGTACGTGCAACCGCAGTGGGTGTTCGACTCCGTCAACAACGGCATTCTGCTGCCGCTGACTCGCTACGTGCCCGGCGCGGAGCTGCCGCCTCACCTTTCGCCCTTCGTGAACGACGACCAGGAAGGCTACACCCCCGAGTACCGCAAGGAGCTGGAGAAGCTCAAGTCGGCCTCGCAGGTGCTGCGCGAGGTCGGCGCCGTCGGCGACGAGGGCGCTTCGGACTCCGAAGACGAGGACGCCGAGGAGCAGGAGGAGGCTTACGCCGCTGACCTTAAGGCCGAGATGGACGGCAAGCACGCTGAGAAGGACGGCAGCGATGACGAGGAGGAGGACGGCGATGATGAGGAGGAAGAGAGCGGCGATGAGAAGGATGCCGACGAAGAGGAGGAGGAGGAAGAGGAGGAGGAGAAGACGTCGTCGCTGAAGCGCAAGGCGGACGCTGCCACCACCGACAAGAAGTCGAAGCGTGCCAAGAAGGAGGAGGAGGCCGCGGAGCTGAAGGAGCTGGCCAAGACGATGATGTCGAAGAAGGCCAAGCGTCTGTATGACCGCATGCAGTACGGCCTGGGCAAGAAGGCCGACAAGATTCAGAAGCTCGAGGACAAGCGCGCCAAGCTGGAGGCCGAGAAGAAGACCAAGGAGGCCGAGAACACATCGAGCAAGGAGGTTTCCAAGAAGCGCAAGCGGAAGACCAAGGGCAAGAACACCAATTAGACTTAAGTGCCAATGTATTCATTCGTTTACACAACTTCAAAGACTCATACACACATCCTGTGTCGCGAAGGCTACTTCGATGGTAAAGGCCTAAGGTGTAGTTTGTACAACCTCGCGCAGATCTACGCGTGCGGAACTATGATCTCTCTTCATTGAAGCTGTCGAGAGACGCTTGTGCTCTTCGGTGGTGGAATGTCACGAACGTAGTATTTCGTTACGGCGTTGTGGCAATGGTGAACAGATAGGGCAGTTGGACGAAGCAATAGCTTGCCGACATACGAGCCCTTACCCGTATACCACTACATAGACGCAAATGAATTCCGGTGAGATACAATGCTCATAGAAGCCCCACTTTCGTAGGATATCTCGTCCTTGAACATGAACCGCTAGAAGTAGTATCCCTCGTCGGTGGGGGTATCTGAGGTTTGCACCGTTCTACAAGTACGTGCGTGATCCCAAGTCTCGAGCAATGTGGCGTCGGTTTTTCCTGAAGGCAGCAATCATACATCCGAGCCCCTACGCCTTGGCTTCGGCTTGCCACTTCTTTCGGAGCTTCTTTGCCAACTGTGCTATCTTTTCATTACTAGAAATACAAACAAGCAACACCATAATTCTAAGTTAGATCTGTTCACGAGGCTAGGCATGGCAATGGACCGACAATTTCGCTTTACCTGGACTTGCGCAGCTTGGATACAGGGATGCCGACCTTCGAGACTATGATGTCCTGAGTATTAAGCGACATGCTGTGCAATTGTTCAAGCGCAGTCAATTGCTTCACTTGAAGCTTGTGGGCGTCCGCGCCATCACTCTGCTGCTCCAAGATTCGGTTGAGAGCCTTGAGAATTTTGAGCGGGCCTGAACCGGAATCTGCTACACAGTCGAGACACACAATAAAACCAGTGAATCAGAGGCTGGCCCTACCGTAGATGGTCTTCCAACACACAGTACCGTTGTCTGCATTAGACTGCTTGATCCACTTTTGCCGGAGCTCCTGGGCTTTAGCAGAGACCTTGTCATTTCTGTAGTTGACGTATTAACATTCTGTTAGAGACACACAACGGAGGCTGTCGAAGTTAAACCAACACTTACCCATGCTGCCGCAACTTGGACACTGCGCGCGCGATTGCCGTCTCCTTTAAGTGTTCTATTGTCACAACCATCTGGTACCGACAAAAACACATACAATGAATGAGCTCACAGTTGAAAGAAGTCTCCAGACACTGCAAACTCACCTGGTCCAGCTGGTTCAAGCATACAAGCAGCTCGTCGTGAGAGGTCTCAGAGTTCTCCAGCTTCTCCTTGTGGCTCAATATTTCTTCGTTCGTAACAGGCTTCGGAGCTGGAACCAAGTCCTCAACATGCCATTTCTTCACCAAGAGTGATACAAGCTCGGAGATTTTTGAAGACCGATGCGCCCTCAGTTTTACGAGCCTAGGTTGCAAGGTCGAAGCCGCCAACACGTCCTTATCCACACTGTCAAGAGTCTTCAGCGAGTTGAGCGCGTCCATGATCTTTGGCTCCAAGTCAAGCGCCAACGACAGGTTCTTGGACGCTGCCTCGAGCTGCTTCTTCGTTTTCTCAAGCTCGTTCGCACGAGCAGCTTCCTCGTTCACAGCGGGTTCCGCCTCCTTCTTCACCTCACCATCGGGCGTAACAGGCACAGCAGTCTCGTTCGTTTCGACCTTAACGTTTGCCTTGGTGTCCTCAGCAGGAACAGCTGCAGACTCATCAGGCGCAGTCGAAGCCGAGTCAGCTCCATCCTCCTCCTCCATGGACGCGATCACGCGCGCGACGCCCTCCTTGATCGACGCCTTCTGGTGGCGGAGGTCCATGTGCAGGCGGTCCTCGAGCAGCTTCCGCACAGTCTTGGTCGTCATCTCCTCGAACGGGCAGTTGACGAGGATCCAGCGAATCTCCTTCTCCAGAATAATGCTCAGCGCCTCCGTGGTCATGTCGGCCGGAGGCGGCTTCTTCTCGCCAGCTTCCTTCTTCGCCGCAGCGGGCTCGCTCTTGACGTCTGTCTGGTCCGCCGTCTTGGCCACCTTGGACGGCGATGCACCCTTGCTGTCGCTTGCAGCGTCGCTCTTGCGCTTCTTGTCCTCGTCGTCCTTGCCCTTGCTCTTCTTCGTCTTCTTCTCCTTTTTCTCTCGCACCTTCTTCTCCTTTTTCTCCTTCTTCTCGCGCTCCTTCTTTTCCTTCTTCTCTCTTTTCTCGCGCTCCTTCTTCTCCTTCTTCTCCTTGGCCGCCTTCTTCTTGTCCTCCCTCTTCTTCTTGCGCTTCTTGTCCTCGTCCGACATCTCGGCGTCCTCCTCCTCCTCCGGCGCGCCGCCGTCGTCCACGTCCATGGCCTCCGCGTCCTCCTCCTCCTCCTCGGGGTCCTGCGCCACCTCCTGAGGCACGAGCTCAGGCGGCGGCGGCTCCAGCGTCGGGTCCAGGTCGGATGGCACCATGTGCTGCGGTAGGCGGATGTCCTCGGGCTGCGAGAGGTACTCCTCGGCCTCCTGCACGGCCTCCAGCAGGTCGTCCATCACGCCCTTCTTCTTGGTCAGGTGCTTGGGGTGGCCCTTGAGGAACTGGTCCTTCTGCGCGCAGTCCCATGGGCGCAGCACGCCCTTCTTGAGCCCCACGAGCGAGCTGTCGAAAACACCGCCGCACAAGCGTCAAAAACGCACCAGCGCCATCACGACAACGTCAAAAACACCCCCTCGCATTCCGTTATCGACACTGCCACGTACAAGTCGTGCGAGCCGAAGTAGTAGACGACGATGAAGTCGTCGGGGAAGTCGCGCGCCTTCTTGAGGATCTTCTTGTGGCCGCTGCCCAGCAGGTGCAGGTTCGGCCGCAGCTTGGTCACGTCGCAGATGTACACGGGCCACCACGGGTACCCCTCCAGGATGTACCAGCCCACCGAGTTGGGCACGATCTCCTCCGCCATCGCTTCTTCGGTCTTCGGTCTCCGCTTTTGGCGCCGTTGAGCCGACTGACAGAGCGAGTGTTGAGTGAGGACGACAATAGGCTAAACGCTAGGTTTTGCGTAAATCGCTATGTTTTGGGTAAAATACGATGTTCCCGCCTAGGTGCGATGTTGGAGGTTTGGTGTGCGCCACACAGGGACTCGCCCGTTGGGTGGCTGTGGATCCTTACGGCTCGCCCCCTGGCCTGGGATATCTTTGCGGCTGCATCTTAGAATTTGTATCGCCCGAGCCAAGACAAGATGCCTTCGGACGACGAGCGCAGTGTGAGCGACGTGAGCGACGTGGAGGAGGAGGTGCAGGCCCCGGCCGAGGAGGTCGAGGACTGCAGCAACTCGGACGTGGTCACCAAGTACCGCCTGGCCGCCGAGATCGCGCAGTCGGCGCTCGAGGGCGTGCTGTCGCAGCTCGAGGCCGGCAAGGACGTGGTGGAGCTCTGCAAGTTCGGCGACCTGATCGTGGAGCAGCGCTGCGCCGCCATCTTCAAGAGCAAGAAGATCGACAAGGGCGTGGCCTTCCCCACGTCCATCTCGGCCAATGAGATCATCTGCCACTTCTCGCCCCTGCAGAACGAGTCGCTCGTGCTCAAGGCCGGCGACTGGGTCAAGATCGACCTGGGCTGCCACATTGACGGCTACATCGCCGTCGTGGCCCACACGGCCATCGTGCCCGCCGAGGGCTCGGCCGCCGCCGCCGAGTTCCCGGAGCTCAAGGGTGAGGAGGCTGACGTGCTCAAGTGCGCGCACGACGCCGTGGAGCTCTGCGCGCGCCTCATCAAGCCGGGCAACACGAACCTGCAGGTGACGGAGGCGCTGACCAAGCTCGAGGAGTCGTACGGCGTCAAGAGCCTGCAGGGCACGCTCATGCACCAGCTCAAGCGCTTCGTGATCGACGGCAACAAGGTCATCGCCCAGAAGATGGACGTGGAGAACCGCACCCCCAAGGTGACGTTCGAGCCCAACGAGGTGTACACCATTGACGTGTGCTACACCACGGGCAGCGAGAAGCCCGTGAACAGCGAGCGCCGCACCACGGTCTTCAAGCGCCAGGTGGACAAGCAGTACCGCCTCAAGATGAAGGCCTCCCGCTACGTCTTCAAGGAGATCAACAACAAGTTCCCGACGCTGCCCTTCACGATCCGCGCCTTCGAGGACGAGAGCCAGGCCCGCATGGGCGTGGTCGAGTGCGTCAAGCACGACCTGCTGCAGGCCTACCCCATCCTGGAGGGCCGCCCCGGCGACAAGGTCGCGCACTTCAAGGTCACGGTGCTGCTGCTTCCCAGCGGCACGACCAAGATCACGGGCCTCACGTTCCCAGGCGACCGCGTGCACTCGGAGAAGACCGTAGACGAGGAGACCGCCAAGATCCTTGCTTCCTCCCTGAAGAAGAAGAACAAGAAGAAGAAGAAAAAAACGACCGCTTAAGTCGTCGTCACCTTCTGCCGGCCTCGGTGCGCCTCCTCCCACGCGCGGCTCGCTACCCAGCGCAGCCTGACGTGGAGAGCGAGCAACTCGGCCATGCTCCCTTCCTTTCAGCCACCGAGCGCAAGCGGCCAGGGTGCTGAATCGACGGCGAAGCAAGCGAATCGGGGAAAAATAGTCGCAGCGTGTGGTTCTCGTCCTTCTTCTTCTTCTTTTCCTTGCGGCTGCTGCCGTCTCAGCAGCTTTGCCTAGAGCGTAGGCGAAGGAGGAAGCCAATAGCTCGTTCCTTCGGAAAGCAGTAAGATATTTCCTTTTCCCCCTCGGACATGTGAGACCATCACTCTTGACAACTTCAACTTCAACTACTAGGATTTTGATTGGCTTTACAAGTGTCTGTGTGTGCACGAACTATTACCAGTCCAGCGTGACGGGAGCTGCCGCCACCTCTGGGGGTGCAGGGCTGCCCCCTTCCTGCGCGACGAACTTGGAGGTCGCCAGGCGGGCATCCACCACGTCCGTGGGAGGCAGCAGCACGTAGATGGTGCCGTCTTCCTCCTTGGCCTCGAAGGTCTGCAGCCGCAGGTCGTCGCCGCTGAGGCAGCAGCCGTCGGCCAGGTCGTAGTTGCGCTTGTGCATGGGGCAGGCCACCTTGGGCCGGCCGTCCAGGTCCCCCACGATGCCCTGCGCCAGCACGAACGAGTGGTCAAAGGGGCACATATTCTGCGTGGCGAACCACGAGACCTTCTCGATGCCGTTGCAGCTCTCGACGATGTTGAAGATGGCCAGCTGCGACTCGCCGTAGAGCACGGCGCCGCCGCCGTTCGCGTCGAAGAGGTCCTTGCTGCCGAACGAGACCCACTCCGTGTCGTCCAGATCGGCCAGTATGGAGGACGAAGACGCGGGAGACGAGGACTCGATGCCCGTGGGGCTGCTGCTGCCGCTTTTGGCCTTGGCTACGAAGGTCGTGGGCATCCGCTGGTCGCGCACCGTGTGCATTTGCACCTCCTTCTGGGTCTCGCTGGTGTTCTTGAACTGGGCGAACTGCGCCATCAGCTCGGGCGACTCGATCACCTTCTTCCACTCGCACTCGTACGTGCCCACGAGGTAGCTCATCTGCTTCTCCAGCGTCGCGCAGATCCCCAGCGAGTCCTGCATCACAACACGCCGGAGCTGCTCAATGCCGCCCTCAAGAGTGTCCAGCCACTTGGACGTGCGTTGCAGGCGGTCAGCAGTCATGATGTAGTACATGATGTAGCGATCCAAGTACTTGACGGCCAGGTCCTGCGGGACATCTGAAGCAAGGAGCGTGGCATGACGAGGGTTGGTGCCGCCATTGCCGCCCACGTACACATTGTAGCCCGTGTCCGTGGCGATGCAGCCGAAGTCCTTGCCCCGAGCCTCTGCACACTCGCGGGTGCAGCCGGAGACGCCTCCCTTGAGTTTGTGAGGCGAGCGGATGCCGCGGTACCGGTTCTCGAGGAAGATCGCGAAGCCGACCGAGTCCTGCTGGCCATAGCGGCACCACGTCGTACCGACGCAGCTCTTGACTGTGCGTAGGGACTTGCCGTACGCGTGGCCCGACTCGAAGCCGGCCTCCACCAGCATCCGCCAGATCTCCGGGAGACCCTGCTTCTGCGCACCGAAGAGGTCCACGCGCTGTCCGCCGGTGATTTTCGTGTACAGATCGAACTTCTTGGCGACTTGCCCCAGCACGATGAGCTTGTCTGGTGTGATCTCTCCACCAGCGACGCGCGGGACGACGGAGAATTGTCCCGACTTCTGCAAGTTCGCCAAGAAGCGGTCGTTCGAATCCTGCAGCGGAGCACGGTCCCCTTTGAGGATGTGGCCATTCTGAAGACTCGCGAGAATGGAAGCCACCGTGGGCTTGCAGATCTCGCAGCCGTAGCTTCGAGGATCGTGCTGCTTGCGGCCATGCTTGGCCAACACCTCGGCGAAAGTGGAGTATTGCTCGACCTGAATGATCTGGTAGAGTTCCTGACGTGAGTAGGCGAAGTGTTCACAGAGAGACTTGTCGACGGCAGTGCCAGCAGCTGCAAGTTCAGCCTCCAAGATATCCTTCACCATGGGGATGCAGCCGCCGCAGCCGGTCCCGACGTTGCAGACCTTCTTCACGTCGCCAAGTTTGGTCAGCTTCTTCTCCTTGATGGCCTTGCAGATGTCTCCCTTGCTCACGTTGTTGCACGAGCAAACTTGAGCTTCGTCCGGGAGATCAAGCACCGAGTTACCGTCCCCTCCACCACGCTTTCCGAGCAGGATCTCGTTCGGCGGGTCCTCGAGCGGCTTTGTGTCTTTCTGCTTGTACATGAGTGAGAGACGCACGAAGTCGCTTGTGTCGCCAACAAGGATGCCCCCGAGCAGCTTCTTACCGTCAGCTGAAAAGAAGAGCTTTTTGTACACCTTCTCCAGCGGGTTGTTGTATGTGAGGGCCTCGAACGGCTCCTTGATAAACTCGGGAAAGTAGTCACCGAACGAGCCGACCTCCATCCCCATGAGCTTCAGCTTGGTGGAGACGTCACCACCGGGGAATGCGATACGGTCCTCCGGGGATCTGCACGTGAAGTTCTTGGCCAGAGTGTCGGCCATCTCGTAGCCGGGGGCAACAAGGCCGTACGTGAAGTTGCGGTGTGAGATGCACTCTCCAAGCGCGTACACACTCGGCGCACTGCACTCCAAGTAGTCGTTGATGAGGATGCCCCCTCGCTTAGCCAGTTCCAGGCCGCTGGAGTGCGCGAGCTCGTCGCGCGGCTTGATTCCCGTCGCGAAAATGATCATACACACATCATCAAACCTCTCGCCGTTGGTGAACTGCACTGCCTCGACGCCGTTCTCCTCGCTCCCGAGGATCTCTTGCGTGGACTTGTCGTAGAGTACGTCGATGCCGAACTTGTTCACGATCTCGTTGTGGAGAACCTTTGCGCCATCAGCGTCGAGTTGGCGTGACATGAGCTGAGTGCCCCGGTTGATGACCCGTACGGCCACCTTCAGATCGTGGACGGCCTTAGCGGCCTCGAGACCCAGCAGCCCGCCACCGACCACCAGCGCGTACTTCTTGGGACCGCCAGCAGCTTCGAGTTTGGCTTGCTGCTCGCCGTGCGCAATGATGTTGTTGAGGTCAGCGATCGAGCGGTACACAAACACGCCCCGCAAGCTGGTGCCGGGGAGTCGGGGCACCAGTGCGCTGGCGCCCGTAGCGATCACTACGCGGTTGTAGGGCACTTCAAACTGTAGCTCTCCCTTCGATGCGTTCTCGTCGCCGAGGCGTTGACACAGCACCTTCTTGTTTGCCGTGTCGATGGCAAGCACTTGAGCGTTGGTGAGCAGGTCGACCTCGTTCTCGGCGTACCAGTTGGGCGGGGCCAGCTTGAGCTTGTCGATGCTCAGATGCTCGAAGTACTCGGTCAGCAGCATGCGGTTGTAGTGCTGGATGGGCTCCTCCCCGATAGAGACGAGGGCGTAGCGCTTGCTCGTGTCGTACTTGCGCAGTCGCTCCAGGAAGCGGTGGCCCACCATGCCGTTGCCCACGACCACGACCACCTCCTTCTTGGTAGGAACAGCGTCAGCCATGTTGAAGGTCGCTCGCTGTACGCTGCTCGGAGCAGATTTCAAAGTGAGTCGAGGGAAGTCAATCGTGCGGCCCGTTATCCTGGAGGTGCAGGCGACGTTGCTGCCGTTTTCATGCTGTGACGCGCCTCGAGTGCCCAATCGAGGGCCAAGGGCAACTTCTGTCCAGGTCGAGCGTAAACGCTGCAGGAAGTGAGTCAATGTTGGCGCTTCCAGTGAGTCATCGTTAAAAGCGTTTGAGCATACCCCTTGTTTGGGGAAAGATTCACTTTTGAGGATTGCTGTGCGGCAGCGTGAACTTGCACCATCGGATTGTGGTGGTTATGCTTTCCTTTGAGACTTTTGAGACAAGGTGCAACGTGGTTGCTTGGTCACCAAGCATGCTGCTTAAGCTTTGCAGCCGCACAGAAGGAGCATCAATACTGTAATGCCTGTAGCGAGAAACTGCTTGCCGTCAGCCGTGGATTTTCATGCTTAAGGCTCAACAAGTTGCAACGCTTTGATACTTTAATGGGATACAGAACTCACGTGCAGCCAGCCGCCTAAAAGACGGTGATCTGCGTCTTCAAGTCGTAGTTTAGCTTGGATAGTGCCGGCTTGCAGGCGTACTCGATCATGCCCTCGGGTCCACACATGCCGACATGATCAGCGTCCGAGCCAATGATGTTCTGCACCATGGCGAAAGTGAGTCGGCTTTTGCCGTATGCCCACTTTCGGACACTTGGGTCGCTCCTGTCCAAGCCTTCCAGGTCAGACAGCGTGTAGAAGATCCGGCATTGACCTGGCCGCAGCTTTTGCAGTGCCTCGAGCTCTTTTCGCAGCAGCAGGTCACGCTCTAAACGTACGCAATAGATCAGCGCGACCTTGGTGTTGTCGCTCGGGTTCTCGAGGATGGCACGCATGGCCTGATAGACGGGCGTGATACCAGTGCCACCGGCGATGAATCCGAACTTGCGGGCGTGGAAGTTGGTCGACTCGAGAGAGAAGTTGCCCTCTCCGTGATAGGTGAAGTGTCCTAGCGGCCCCTTGATCTGAATCTGCTGGCCGAGATGCAAGCCGTCGAGATACTGCGAAAAGAGTCCTCCTTCTGGATGCACCGGGTTCTCACCCGCGAAGTAAACCTTGATGAGGAAGGACACAAATCCCCGGTCGTCGCTCTCCGATGAAATGGGCGTGTACGCACGCACAACCGTCTTGCCGTTGATCTTGGCATACAAGAAGACGTGATTGCCGACTGGAAGACCCAGTCGTAGGTCTTTGGCCGGCAAAGCGAACTTGAAGATGCGAGCGTCATGGCTGACCACCTCTCTCGAGATCAGCACAATAGGCACCTTCGTAGCGCCCTTAAGAGCGACGTCCGTTTCTTCGTGGTCGGCCGAAGACGATGCCGTATCGCTGGCGCCAGAGTCGTCGCCTGCACTTGGGCAACGACCGATGCAGTACTTCTTGAGCATCTGCCAGGCCTTGGTGGAGTGAATGCTCTCGAACTCGTCGGTGCAATCGGTACCGCCGCACAGTAAGATGCTCGTGGCGCCACCAGGGTGCTCGTCGAGGAACGGCGTAGCGTCGTACACGAGGCCGCGGCAGATAAACCAGCAGCTCTCCTTGGTGTTGTGCTTGGCTACTTCGTCAGCAGAGATAAGAGGCAGCCCGCTCAGCTCGTCGGGAGTTAGACCAGGCTTTGGCGTCACAGCACTGTTTGCATCTCCAGCAGACTCCACCAGCAGCTTCTTGCCACGAATGGGCTCTTCGTCATTGTTTGTCATGATTCGCTCCTTGGTCATCCATCCTCCCTTCTGGTTACCGGCCTGGGTAGGATGCTCGAATCGTAGCTGGTTGGTGTCTTCTTCGTGGTGGATCTTGACACGATACCAGGGGTTGTTCATCATGCCCATGACATTCCACGTTGGGAACTCGGGCATGAGGTTCATTGAGCTATCCCAGGCTCGAACGGAAATCTCTCTAGCTCGGAGCAGGCTGCCTACTGGGACAACCAGCTCGTAATGCACCCAGCACCACATCTTCCCGTATGCGTTTGGCTTCTCGTGGTATATAATGCGAGCTAGCTGCCACGTCGCGCCGTCGTCCAGAGTCACCTCCACACGGATGACTCGTCGACCACCCCCCGAGTACGCGTACCCCTTGATCGTGAACGTCTCGATGTCATTGACCGCACCGTCTTCGCTTAGAGCCAAGAGGTCGTCGTGGTTTGGCTCAATTATCGCAGCATTGATATTGAGCTCCATGATGGCGTAAGGCGACTTGGCCCACCAGCCCTCTGCAGTTGCAGTCTCTGCTGTAAGATGCGAAGGCAACACTCGGTTGTCCATGATGTGGTGGTGGTTGCTGGACTCGCGGTCGCTCACGTGAATCCGCGCCAGCCACTTGACCATCCGCCCACCGATGTGACCTGGAATAATGAGACGCACAGGGAATCCGTGGTCGGGAGTTAGCAGCTCGCCGTTGGCTTTCCACGCAACCAGCACGTCACAGGACGGGTCGAGTGCGGTACTAGCTCGGATGCAGGTGCCGTACTTGTCGTGCGGCAAGTCCTCAGTGCTTTCGAACCAGACCCACTGAGCCTTCTCTCGGTCGACGCCGCAAGCTGTGAGCAGCACGTGAAGAGGGACCCCCGTCCACTCGGCGGTGGAGCAGCCAGCAGCGCCCCAACTGAACCCGATCGTCTTCTTGATCATGTTCTGCTCCTTGCGTCGATTGCCGGCGCACACGAGCAGCACCGGGAACGTTACCGTCTCCGTTGAGAAGGTGGAGACGAGCTCGTCCATGCCGAAAGTGCGCGGCTCCTTGACAAGTCCGTCGATGGAGAACGTGTGGGTATCCCACTTGAGCTTCGGCACGGGGCCGTGGTTGCGAACGTAGTGCAGCGCCATGGGCGTGATGAAGGTGCTCGTGTACTTGAGCGGGGGCTCGCAGTTGAACGGATGTCGCCCCGTCAGTCGGATCAGCTCCGGGTGGCGCGGGACCCATTCGTCGGGGGTTCCAACATCTCTTGGGTCAATCTGCGCCATGGTCGCACTTGCAAGGCAAATTCAATGTGAGCACTCTCGCTACAGGCCATGTGATGGCTCGTAGACTTCCGCTGCTGGGACCTAGTCGGCGACAGGCAGCGCATGACCCTGCGCTGCCGCCTGTGCGTTTCTATTGGCCGGTAAGTGTGCATCGCTTGCCGCGGAATTACGGATGACTCACTTCTGCGGTGCTTCGAGCTGGTGCCGCCGAGATGGGCCCCCTCCTGAGCGTGAACATCCGCGCTTGGGCCGAAAGATGACGACGGGATCCCGCGGTGCACCGCCCGAAAAGCGCCAACATCGCGCCGAACCTGCGGTGATTGTGCTGCGCAGGAAACGACGCTCGTGCCCCCCCCCCCGCGGCCCGGTTCAGTGCGCAAGGCAGATCGCGAGCGCGTCATGGGCAGGAGCGGCCAATCACCCGGCCGCTGTTGCTCACGCGCAGCTAGTCATTGCCGGTGCTCCCTGTTCAGGCTGAAACGAGGCGTTTCCCGGACGGTACGATTGCAGCTTGAGGTTGCGCTCCGTCGAGGATCTTTGCTGGTGCTCGCTCTGCTGCTGGCTGTTGCTGTGGAGAACGATGCGATGGGCCTGGAATTCCCGGATTCCAAGCAGCCCACTTCAAGCTCGCGTGCCAATGGGAATTCAGGCTGACTCAAGCGAGACGTTAACGACCGAAACCTTCTGGGCGTGACGCGGCGAGTGTCGGCGAGTCAAGGCCTCTACTGTTTCTGCTGCTGTTTGACAGTAAGGTGAGCCCGCCATGGAAGAGGTCCGCCAACCTGCTAGGCTAGCAGCAGTACCGCCATGTTGTCGTTGCCTGTTGATTCAGTGTCATGTACCACCAAAGCTCACTTCCCAATCTGCCTCGAGCTGCAAACCACCACCAAAAGCATCAACAAAACAGCCGCGATGCAATCGCAGGACCAGTACGCTGGGCTGGTCTCGCCACCGCTGCATGCAGATGACGCCGGTGTCCACCAACGCCGCACGACGTTCCCCATCCGAACGGACCCGCTGCAAGGTGACAAGGCCACGGAGATCAAGCTGCTCAGCGTGGCTCGCCCCCACATGAGAGCGTTTCACTACGCGTGGCTGTCCTTCTTCTTTGCCTTCTTCGGCTGGTTCTCCATCCCTCCACTCATGCCGACCATCAAGAAGCAGCTTGGACTGACGGCCGACCAGGTCTCCAATTCCAACATTGTGTCCGTGGCGAGCACCATCCTCGGTCGCGCCGTGGGCGGGCCTCTGTGCGATCGCTACGGCTCACGAACCGTCCAGGCCGTGCTGCTAGTCGTCGGTGCGGTCCCAGTGGCTTCAGCCGCGCTTGTGACGAGCTACACGGGGCTCATGTTCGCTCGGTTCTTCATCGGTCTGGTCGGCTGCTCCTTCATCGCAACAACCTACTGGACGTCGACCATGTTCTCCAAAGAAGTGGTGGGGAGTGCCAACGCTCTCGCCGCTGGGTGGGGCAACCTGGGTGCTGGAGCCACTACACTAATCACCCCTCAGCTCTTCAACTTGGTCACCACGGGCGGCGCACTGTCGGACAACATGGGCTGGCGTGTTGCGCTTCTGTTCCCGGCCTTCTTCATGGTCGTCACCGGCGTGGCTCTCTACTTCAACTCGGACGACTGTCCTCAAGGACAATACAAAGATCTCCGCAAGAACAACGCGATGGACGTCACGGCGACGAAACCTGCCGTCGACATGAAGCAAGGTCTGCTCCACGTCGCCAAGCTGCCTGTCACTTGGATTCTAGCGTTCCAGTACGCGTGCTCCTTCGGGGTCGAGCTTCAGGTGCACAACGTGCTGACGGAGCACTACTACGAGGACTTCACGCACTCGGACTGCGATCCTCTGACTGACCCCAACGAGTGTCGCCGTCTTACGCAGAGTCGCGCCACTCTCATCTCGTCGCTCTTCGGCTTGATGTGCTTGTTCGCTCGCGCACTGGGCGGGTATTTCTCCGACATAGCCAACGGCCGCTACGGCATGAAAGGCCGAATCGGTGTCCAGTTCCTCGCCTTTGCCGGCCAAGCCATCTTCCTCTACTTCTACAGCACGACGACGAACCTGTCCGCCAGCATCCCGCTCCTGGTTTTCTTTGGTATTTTCGTGCAGGCCTGCACAGGCAGCACCTATGGCATCGTCCCCTACGTGCTGCCGTCGTTCACGGGGGCCACGTCCGGGTTCGTTGGGGCTGGTGGCAACGTCGGCGCGCTCTGCTGGAGCCTGATGTTCAAAGGCGTTGGCAACCGCGCGACTTCGTTCAAATACTTGAGCATCTTCGTCGCCGCTGCTGCGTTTGCCACTTTCGGTATCAAGGTGCCTGGGAACGCAGCGCTCTGGGAACAAGACGACTCGGTCCACGGTGGCCTGGCACCGACGGAGGTTGACGACGACAGCGTCCACAACGGGAAGGCGGCAGCGTAAGGCAGGAGTGTACCTTAGTATTCACAACATTTCATTTTCAATCAACCGATCATTGTTCCTTCGCTTCTAGGCTTCTAAGCTTAGCCACAAGTTGTGTCGTGCCATTTACAACTTCAAATGTCAACTTGTTTAGGTTTTCGATTCTATTGAGACTATCTAACGTTAGCTCTAGCTTGATGATGTCTTCCTCTTCTTCTCCTGCTGCACCGCTGCTTTAATCAAGGGCCCCCACGCCTGACTAAATGCGTCCTGGTGCGTGTCCTTGATCCAGCTCTGCAGCTCCGCCTTGAGGAAGAGCTTGCCGTCGGACTTGCTCCACTTGGCGACCAGCGCGCGGCGAGACGCCACGCGATGCTGCTGCAGCTTGGCGACCAGCAGCTGGATCTTCTTGTCGAACTTCTTGCGGATCAACGTGTGGCTCGGCTCCTTGAGCGCGGCCGAGAACGGCAGCAGACTGGGGATGACCTGGCCATCCAGCAGGAACTTGGCGAACCACCGGTACTTACCGGCCAGACCGTCCTTGGCGTCCGAGGCATCGTGCTCGGGGTACGCGATGCGCATCGCAGGCAGCGACCACTGGTGGATACCGTACTGCGCCTTGGCGTAACACTGCACCTCATCCAGCTCCGAATGGTAGAACGGGGCGGGCTCGGTGAGCGGTGGCGCGTACTTACACAGCGGCGTGTTCTTGCCGATACCCGCGAGCCACTCGGGCTCAATAGCCGTCACCATCTTCATGTACGCGCGGGTCGTGCGCATGATGTGCTGGTACACGACGAACTGCGGCAGCTTGGACGGGTTGGGCGTGAAGACGGACGAGTGCGGGTGGATGTACACGGGCTCCTTCACGTTGGCCGTCGCAGCGACGTACGCGCAGTTGCGCTCGATCTTCGTGCCTTCGGTGATGGTTCCGGCCGGCACGCGCTTCGCCACTTGGTCCAGGAAACCAGCAGCCACGATCTGCCGCAGTACGACCTGCGTCTCGAGGTCGGGAGGCGGCATCTTCGGCTTGAGCTGAATCGCACTGAAGCCTTCTTCCTCCGGGTACAGCTTGTTCACGATCCGCGTCAGCTGCTGGCGCAACTTGAGCATGTTCTGCATGGTCTTCTCGTGCAGGTGGTTGTCCTTGCAGAACTGACTGCTGCCTCCAGTGTACGCGTAGGCGCCAGCAGCTCGCAGCAGACTCAGGACGTCGCTCTCTTGGTCAATCCACTGCGCGTGCTTGCGCATTTCTTCGGCCTCGCGCCACTCCTTCTCCATCTCCTCCAGCTCGCTCTTCTTCTCGTCTTCCTTCTCTTCATCTTCAGCTCCCTTCTCCTTTTCGCGTCGGTCGACAACGTGGATGAACGGAGAGTGGCCCGAAAGACCAGCAACGATGGCGATCGTGTACTCGACCAGGTTCAGCTTTTGTGCCAGCAACAGCATTTTGGCGAAGCGCGCAGCCACCGGGAACTTCACAAGAGCACGGCCGAGTCCAGTGATGGACTCGTCCGCACCCGCGGAGACAGCGCCAAGATTCACCAGCGTTGCAAGAGCATTCTTCACTGCCTGGCGGTCGGGCGGTGTCGGGAACGGGAACTGCAGGACGTTGTGAATACCCATGGCCTTCATCTGAAGCACCAAATCGTCGATGGGTTGGCACAGAATCTCAGGGGACGAGAACTTCTGGAACTCCGTGTCGTACACTGCAGACGAGTACAAACGGTAGCAGTGGCCAGGGCCAGTACGACCTGCACGGCCTGCGCGTTGGTCAGCACTAGCCTTGGAGATCCACGTGACCTCGAAAGACGAGATCCCGTTGGCGAGATCGAAGACGCGCTCCTTCGTTCGTCCAGCATCGACCACGTACTTGATACCCGGAATGGTCAGCGAAGTCTCAGCCACGTTGGTAGCCACGACAACCAGTCGGTGGTTCTCCGGTGGAGCGTCGAACACCTTCATCTGTTCATCGTTGGGCAGCAGCGAGTACAGCGGGAGGACATGCAAGTACGGCACCGCCAGATCCTCGTCCATGTCTTCGTCTTCGTCGTATTCCTTGTCGGAGGCGCGCTCCTCGTCCTCCAGGTCGTACGCAGCATCTTCGTCATCGACTTCGTTTCCGTATACTTGGGCGTCCTCCAAGTCTGCCTCCTCTTCGATGTCATCGTGCTCACGGAGAATGTGGTCCTTGCTGCTAGCCGTTTGCTCGGGGGTCGGTTGTCGGCGCTGAGCGCGGAACGCTCGACTGCTCTTGAGCGCTGCCGCCTTCTTGTTTCGTGCAGCAACAGAGTACGCGCGGGAAAGCTTGCGGCACAACTGCAGGATCTCACGTTGACCCGTAAGGAAAACCAGCACACCGCCCTCAGGTAGCTTCTTGTGAATTTTCAGGACCTTCTTGTAGGCCTCGTCCACGTAGTTGTCCAGCTCCGTGCGCTTGTTGAAGTGCACAGTCACAGGGTACTGACGCGCGTCCACGCGAAGCACAGGGGGCGGAGTCGGGAACAGTCGGTGGTTCTGCGTGAAGTCCTCCACGCGCAATGTAGCAGACATGATCACAAGCTTCAGGGGCTTGATGGGCTTTTCCGCGGTCTCCTTCTCCTCTTCCGACAGCGATTGGTACGCTTCCTCCTCCTCTCGCGACATCTGAGCGCGCAGCGGGGCGATGCGAGACAGCAGACCGATAAGGATATCGGTATTCACGTTACGTTCGTGAGCCTCATCCAGCAGGAGGATCGAGTACTGACGCAGCAAGAAGTCCTGCTGGATCTCCTTCAGCAGAATACCGTCCGTCATGAACTTGATGCGCGTGTGCTCACTCACGTGTTCCGCATCGTAACGAATCTGGTAGCCGACGTGGCCCTTGGGCGCTCCGAACGGAACATTCAGTTCTTCGGCAACACGCTTGGCGGTGGAAACTGCAGCAACACGTCGCGGTTGCGTGACACCGATGCGTCCGCTGTTGCTCGGGTGGTCCGGGTGGCCATAGCCAGCTTCGTACAGGAACTGCGGCACCTGCGTAGTCTTACCACTACCCGTCTCACCGCAGAGGATGATCACATCATTTTCATCAATGGCCTCCATGATTTCCTGCTCCGAGCTGCACACGGGGAGCTGCATACGCGCCATCTGAATCTCTGGCTTGCGCGTCAGCGTCACCAGAGTCGTCTTGTACGACAGCTTCGTCTTCTTGCTCAGCTCACGCATCTCCTCCGCGCTCTTCATCACGATTGGCTTCGGCACGTACACATCTGCAGGATCAATCGTTGGCTCCTCTTCCTGCTTTGGGGCAGCAACGCTAGTAGACTTCGCCTGCGCAGCAGCAAGCGCCCTCAATCGGCGTTTCTCCTCGTTCTTCTTGCGCAGAGCCTCCAGCTTCGTCATGGCAGCGCTTTGCGAGCTAGCGCGCTTGGCTGCCTCCTCGGGGTCTTCCTCTTCGACGGCCAAGACGGAAGCTGCAGCATCAGCGCTTTCCGACGCCTCTTCACCCTCTTCTTCCTGCTGCGTAGGGAGCATCGGCACTGAGCGACCGACGACCGCCTGCTTTTTCTTCTTGCGCTTCTTCTTGCCCTGCGTGGCATCGTCGTTGCCACCAGCAGCCGCAGTCTTGTCCTCCTTCACCACCTTGACTTCAGCAGCAGGCGCCTCGACGACAACCGCCTTCTGCTTCGGCTGCGTCGCTTTCTTCTTGCTCTTGACCGGCTTGGTCTCCTCCCCCATCGGCTCATCATCGTCCTGCTCCTGCTCCTCCTGGTCGCTCTCAGCCCTGTCCGTCTTCTTCAGCAGCTCGCTCTTGGCGTCCTCCGACAGCTCGATGCCCGCCTTCTGGCGGTTCAGCGAGCGCTTGAGCCGCTCGCGCAGCGTCTCCTTGTGGCCCATCTGCGACGTGCTGTACATGAGCCGTAGCTGGTCCTGCGAGAGCTGCTGCTTCTCCAGCGACTTGTACAGGTCTGCGCGCCTGGCCTCCTTGACCTTGCGGGCCGCGATGGCCTCGAGCTTCTTGCGCTTGCTCTTGCTCATGTGCTGCGCCTGCTGCAGCAGCTCCTCGGGCAGCTGCTCGACCTTCTTCTTCTTCTCCCGGCGCCCAGGCAGCACCAGCGCGCCGCCGGCCTCGTCTCCGCCCATCTCGGCCATCAACTCAGCCGACAGCAGCCCCGATGCCTCGGAATCGGCGGCAGGCGCGGCCTCCTGCGGCGGCACCTGCTGCTCCGCGTTCGCATTGGCCTCCTGCGGCTCCTGCGGCGCCGATTCGGCCCGCTCCTCCGCGGTCGTCACCTTCGACGCCTTGGCTTTCTTGCGCGCCTTCGAGTGGCCGCCCTGCTTGCGCTTCTTGCCCGCCATCGTCACGCACACGCAGCGAGTCCGATCCTGCGGCGCCGTGTCAATTGCCAATGACCAGGCTCATGGCCACCAACGGCTACGAAACGTCACACCTAACCCGACGAGACTGTACCGCAAAACGGGTACAGCGTGCGATTGGCGTTGCGGCCCGACTTATGGATTAGGAATGGCTCGGGCGCGCCATAACGCCAATCAAAACGCCAATCAAACGTTCGTTATCTAACCCGATAGGTACAATGTACCACCTCGATTGAAGCAAGTGTACCCACTTGATCAAGGAGCTCAAGACATTTTTTTTAACTAGCGGAGCATCACGGTCGCTGCGCTCATGTTGCTTTAGGGGTCGACCCCCAAAACTATGCTGACCACAGAGTTTTGGACGACGTCCCCACTTGAGGAATTTAAGTACAAAGCCGCTTGCAAATTCTAGCGCTTTATTTCCTCTTTCACGCTCCCCGATTTGCTGGCTATTTTGCAAACAACATAAGTACTATTCATACGTTGTTAAACGGTAGACTGATACACCTGACCTGTGGTTCGAATGCCAGAACACTTGTATTTTACTTACTTAGGTAAGTGTAATAGCAGAATGTGCACACTGGCACAACGAAAAGTGAATAAGGGGTCAAAAGAAAGCCATTGTTGCTACCAAGAAGCACCGACACGGACTCCGGCTCGTACACCCCAGCTCATCGTCCTGCTCGTCATCCGCGCATAGCCTTCAATGTAATTTAGAGAAGTTGCTGCTCGACAGTACCCGGTCCTCAGCATGCAAAGCTGCTTGCTACTTGGCGTGGTGTTGGCGCTTCCTTGAGTCTGCTTGTTGATGCTTGGACTCTGTTGTGCGCTGGTCAAGCGATCCCGAAGGGCCGCAGACTTCTTACCAACGGCCGCAGAGCGACCCTTCTTACGACAGCATAAGGTTTGAAAGGCAAATAGGCTTAATAAAGGGTCCTAAGTGGGTCCAAATAAGGGTAAAATGTCACGTTTAAGTCTATTTCTGATGTCCTCCATACTAACGGTCGAATTTGCTGTTTCATAACTTCGAACCTGTGGTTTTATGGCATCTAGTAATAGTGACGTCGGTTCAGCTCAAAAAACTCCGTGCCGATACCACCTTCCGATAAGCATCCAAATGTTGTTTAACCGAGGTATTTTTTTCATTTTTTGGTCCGTGTGAGCGATTCTAAATTGTGACCCTAACCCATTCGCAGAATTAATGTAAAAAGTAAAGCGGAGTGTATATAAGAGACGTAAAAACTACATAAAACGGAGTCTCATGATTATAGGGGGACTTCGTCCCCAACAAAAATGTCATGATAAGATCGTCACTTTAGCCGAGAATCTTTTCTCCATCTCCTGTTGTATGAACAAAGCCCCAGGTAAGATATGTTGCCTCAATCCAACATAAGTACTTTGACCAAAAAAAGCAGCAAGAAATCTTATCGTGAAATTTTCACGACCGATTCGCTTTATTTGTGCTCATGGGCATTATTTGTGCTCATGGGCATCGATGACAAGATCGTGGACAGCTTGGAATAGTGCTCTTGAAAGCGCAGCGCAGAGTGACGGGGTGTCTGCTCGCCGTCCCAGCAAAGCTAGTGCGATTCAAGCTGCGCTGCTCAGTCTGAAGCGAAGGGCGACAAGGCAGCAAAGGTGCTGGCGATTCAAGTACTGTATCGTCGTCAGGCTTTGGCGTTCTGCGTGGAGTTGAATACCGCCCTTTCGACAACCCCCTCCTACGTATTTCTTAAAAACGTAGTTTAATACGACCGTTGTGGGGCCGAAAACCTGGAACCACGGGAGCTCTGCCGCCGCATAAAGGATAGTCCTGAGCATGCTATTTAGCACCTGTTTAGGGAACATACACGCTGGTAGCAAACTCACGGGACTCGTAGTCAGCACCAGGCGGCTTCACTAATCGGAGCGGGAGGTGGGATCAGTGGACTTGTCAAACGCAACTTTTGACTTCTGCTGGGCCATACTCGAAATCGAGTCTTCATCATTCCTCACCGCCTTCAATCGGCTAATGCGGGCTCCTTCGCTAAAGCAAATCTCGCAACTTGAGGGGGCGAGCTGAGCGAGTCAAGACCGCCGCCGAAACTGAAGCTGCCAGCCGGAAGTCCCGTCGACTGCAGGCCCATGAAGTGCACGGCCAGCTCCTCGGTGAAGAGGTAGCCGGCCGTGGGGTAGATGGTCCCGAGCATGTACTGGTCGTCCATGACAACCGGGCGCGTGCAGGCTAATTGGCAACTAGTCGGCAGCGGATCTCGTGGCACGCGCTCGCAGTCTCCAGTCTTCGTTAAAATGGGTAAGACGACGATCTCCCAGCAGTCATCCGGGGCAAATGCTAACAACACTGGGCTGCCCAAAACGACGGGGCATTGGACATGATGATTGCTTTTGCTAAGAACACAGCCTACTAACAGCGCTGATAATGATTGCCGCTTGTTATTAAGGTCAGTAGATGCACGAGTATATGGTTGGAAAGCGCTACTTCGAGCGACGGTTCAGCGCCAGGTTACCTTTTTTACAACCCTTATTTCACCCTGGCCGGAACTTTTACCCGGAACTCTTTCTTAGTGAAAAAGAGCGCATGTTTTCAATGACCTGAGAATAACCCGGAGAAGATATATTTGCCAAGTTCATGCGGGCATATATATCATCTACATCGCCATCTACCCTAAGAAACTATTATTATCCAAATCTCTCACAAAACTGTACTTATCCGCAGCATTCTCGCATGGGAAGGCCCCATGGGAAGGCCCCATGGCAGTACTGGTAAGGCAGCAGCACATACCATCTTCCTGCTTTCCGCACAAGCGCAGCTCCCTGTTCAACCACAACCAACTCTCGAGACGTCTACACCTTTGCCCGGCCATAGTTGGTCTAATTTGCTAGCAAAGTTGTCATGAATATTGGAGGTACCAGAGAGTACATTACATTCCCTAAAGTATGACTTTCGTTTCAATCAAAGTTGTCTAATTCCCACCAACGACTGTTGACGTAATACATATTTTCCCTCGCAAACTCAAGACTTTTGGCGTACTCTGATAGAGTGCGAACTTCGCACTGCGAAGTGACGCTAGCACAGAGGCAAGATGGCAAAGGCGTGTGTGCGTGCGTGCAGCTTCTTGAGTGTCCGATCCGCGTCTGCATGCCCTTCATCAAGCGGCAGCTGTACGCGCGCGATCTCTCAAGGAGGGGAACATGGGGGCGCGTTAAGACCGCCCCTCACTGAGCAGGGGGTGAGACGTGCTTTGCGGCTACATGTGGTGCATGTACCTCTCGATGGGAATTAGACAACTTAATGAAACGAAAGTCATACTTTAGGGAATGTAATGTACTCTCTGGTACCTCCAATATTCATGACAACTTTGCTTGCAAATTAGGCCAACTATGGCCGGGCAAAGGTGTAGATGACCCGTCAGGGCACCCAGCAAAAGGAGAAGCGCTCCGTCCGTCGCAAGGTCGGCAATGATGCGAGTGGGAACACTCTCGAGTTGCAAGCGCTGTCCCTTGATGATCCATCTGATTAAGTCCAAGCTGCCGGTGGTCACGTGATGCTACCCCCTGCTAGCCAGGAACCCATGCCATGAGCCAAGAAAAAGCGAGGGTCGAAAACGATCAAGATCTACAAGGGCTTTCGATATTGCAAGAACTGGTACTCGAAGAAGCACATTGCATATCGCTGCAGTACTTCGAAGACTTCTGGCTGTAAGGCCACGCTCAAAGTAACCCCGGCCGCTGTTTGGTGGGTGGAGGGTGAACACACGTGCCGTCCGGTCCCGGTATTGAATGGGCAACTCAATGATGAGACCGACGCAATGAAACGAACTACAGATCAGCTAGCAACCCAAAATCCAACAATGCCAGAGGGCGACATTTGGGAGCAAGTATGCGAGGCGTTCTACGGTCCCGATAGAGAAGAGCTGTTAGACGGATTGACAGAGGAGCAAGTTATCGGGCGTATCCGTCGCATTCGCCGCCGATACTACGGTGGTGATATTCACGGAGTTGTGGAAGTCCCTCCCTTCTCCAAAGTGAAAGACTCGGCCATCCCATTCTTCCGGTTCCATTTGGTAACGGCCCACCCCGATCCTAAGAAAGCACCAAGTCGTGTGCTAGGCTGGGCCCATCCTGCGCTGAAAGAGCTCCTACTCTACAACAGCGTATCTCTTTTCCTCGACGGTACTTTTCGATCTGTACCACGAGGATTTCGCCAGTGCTTGATCTTAATGGTGGATGACCCAGCGCGTAACCTGTTCACACCGGTATACTTCGTGCTCTGTACGTCCCAGACTGAGTCCATGTACGACGATATCCTACCGCGACACCGGCAAAAAGCTCAATCCTGCAGAAATTGTATGTGATTTCGAGTTTAGCCTCATCTCATCTGTTCAGACCCGGTTCCAGAACGCTGAAGTGGTGGGCTGTTTCTTCCATTTTAAACAAGCCATTCGCCGGCGACTGAAAGACGAGCGCATCTCCGACGACGAAGTGACTATCGCTATGGAGTCTGGCGTCTTGGACATTCTCACTGTAATTGATCCAGACCTCGTCGATCCGAAGGGCATCGCATGGGTGAAGCAGGAGATCAAGCAGAGGTGCATCGCGAACAATTGCCCATACTCACGCCGTGAGTGGAAAAGTTTTTGGGTTTACTTTAGAAAAACCTGGCTTGAGCGATACTACATCACAGAGTGGAATGTGTTTGGTATCACCAATACTATCGTGGCGCGCACAAACAACCCCTTGGAGAGGTTTAACAGGGAGATGAACGCCGCGTTCAAGCCCCACCCCAAGCTTCGACACTTTGTTTCTACAATTGAAACAATTGGCGGGAACCCGGGTTCCCGCAAATGATACCGACCAAATCGCGAATTATTTATTTAATTTTTGGCCTCCATATTGGTACCCTCGATCTAAGTGCTGTCGATGAAGGACTACCCTCAAAATATGCCACAGGTACTGAATAGACCCAAATAACATACCTTACCATGTCCAAGTTTATCTTTAATGAGCAGGAGGATAGCGATGAGACCGGGAAGCACTGTACCGCTGCACCAGGCAAGCGACTGGATTTTCGTGGAGAGACACAGGACGAGGGCGAAGGTAAATTAACCTTCCGTTCCCCTACTGAGCTTCAGCTGCGTTCTATGTAGGTCATAGACCAACACTTCAATGCATTTGCTCATACATGTGTACCGGTAGTTTTGGGGGAACCGGGGTCCCGATGGGTACCCGGGTTCCCGCCAATTGTTTCAATTGCCAAAATTTCAACTGCTTACGCGCAGCGGCAAGCCAACATCACGCGCGGTCTACGCAAGAAGAAACAGCGTCCACCACGCATTGAGTTGCCGGCTGCCCCCGACTTAGCAACATTTGAAGTTCCGCCTGAGTCGGAAGATGAAGGTGACTATGATGAGCTTGGCGACCAGTCCGACGGCTCAGTCGAATCAGCTCGTAGTGGCGAAGCTGATCACTCTTCGGAGAAGATGAGCCATCCCGAAATGCGCAGTCGGCCGAAGACTTGCAGCAGGAAATTGATGAGCACGCTAACACTTACAACTTCTTCCTTGACTCGGACAGTGACCACGATCCAGATGAAGAAAATGGCGTGGAGGAGTGGTCATTCTAGCCCCCAGACTGCGATCATGCTGCGACGCGCTGAATCGTCGAGCTACGCACCTGCATAACTCAACACCCACCATAACTTACATTAAACACTGCTATTAAATATCACTTCAATGCACACTCTTGCTTTACCCGGATGTTTGGCCTGACCTGGTGTTTTACCCGGGAAAAAGGTCCGGGTAAAAGTTCCGGTCAGGGTGAAATAAGGGTAGTAAAAAATCCTACCCAGCGCCAAAGTTTGTTGTCTTCGGGTCGCAAATGTTGACGGATGGGTCCACTCGGAAATGAGATCGTTTCCTAACCGAACCTACCTGCTTTGAAGCAGTTTTCCATGAAGCAGCTATTTCGCTCAAGCTGTAAAAAAGACAGATTATTATGCGAAATAGCTCCAAAAACGCTATTTCAACTCGACCACAGCCTATTTACAGTTAATGCATGTACAGAGTAGCGCTACCAAAACACATATACGAAGCAAAACCAAAGCCAAAACAGAACAGCTCGAGAAGCTCTATTATTCGCTCGAAACGGCAAAAAAATCACATGCTGCTTGTTCAGGACTCAGGTCTCCACACTTTCGCAGCAGTTTGCTTAGTAGCCGTGCTCCGCGCGCCACGCCGCGTTGTACGCCTCCCGCTGAGCCTTTTTGTTTTCCTTGATGTATGCGTTGACGCGGTCAATCCATTTCTGCTGTTTTTTCTCTGAGAGCCTTACGACACCGTTAACTAGATCATCGTAGCTGTGGCCCCACTTATTGGCCAGTTTGGTAAGGCTCTCGATTTGTCCCGATGTCAAACCGCGTTCCTCCGAGTCATCATCCAGCTCCTCGGTCGTGAAGCCCCATTTCTCAGAATCAGCGGAGTCATTCTCCTCGGCAGGCTTGCTGTAACTCCTCAGAAGTCGCTGGCTCGGGCCGCCGCGCGCCACTGTAGTGATCTTGGCCTGAACGGAATCCGTGGTCACAGCGATCGCCTCGCTTGCGAAGAGGAAGGACGCCGCGGCAACCACCAAAACTTGAGAGAGACGCATGGGGTTCGTTCGTTCGGCTTGGGGGTTTTAGCACAGGAAAGCAAATTGCAGACTGAGTGTCGAATCGGGTAAGTATTTCCTCCGGACACCAACGTACCTTGTGTGAGAATAGATTACGATCTAGTTTTTTTTTTTAGGGGCATTATGGTCACCTAAGACGATCTAGTTTAAAAGGGATGACGACCTTTGATACTAACGTTAATTCCAAAGCAAGCATAGTACCATCCAAAACCTTCGTAGATACATGCCTTTAGTGAGTGCTGCTAGCTTTTTTTAATTGACCCACACGAGGCACTCATCCTTGCACTAGGCTTCCATCCCTTTTTGTATCAAAGGTCGTCATCCCTTTTAAACTAGATCGTCTTAGGTGACCATAATGCCCCTAAAAAAAAAAACTAGATCGTAATCTATTCTCACACAAGGTACGTTGGTGTCCGGAGGAAATACTTACCCGATTCGACACTCAGTCTGCAATTTGCTTTCCTGTGCTAAAACCCCCAAGCCGAACGAACGAACCCCATGCGTCTCTCTCAAGTTTTGGTGGTTGCCGCGGCGTCCTTCCTCTTCGCAAGCGAGGCGATCGCTGTGACCACGGATTCCGTTCAGGCCAAGATCACTACAGTGGCGCGCGGCGGCCCGAGCCAGCGACTTCTGAGGAGTTACAGCAAGCCTGCCGAGGAGAATGACTCCGCTGATTCTGAGAAATGGGGCTTCACGACCGAGGAGCTGGATGATGACTCGGAGGAACGCGGTTTGACATCGGGACAAATCGAGAGCCTTACCAAACTGGCCAATAAGTGGGGCCACAGCTACGATGATCTAGTTAACGGTGTCGTAAGGCTCTCAGAGAAAAAACAGCAGAAATGGATTGACCGCGTCAACGCATACATCAAGGAAAACAAAAAGGCTCAGCGGGAGGCGTACAACGCGGCGTGGCGCGCGGAGCACGGCTACTAAGCAAACTGCTGCGAAAGTGTGGAGACCTGAGTCCTGAACAAGCAGCATGTGATTTTTTTGCCGTTTCGAGCGAATAATAGAGCTTCTCGAGCTGTTCTGTTTTGGCTTTGGTTTTGCTTCGTATATGTGTTTTGGTAGCGCTACTCTGTACATGCATTAACTGTAAATAGGCTGTGGTCGAGTTGAAATAGCGTTTTTGGAGCTATTTCGCATAATAATCTGTCTTTTTTACAGCTTGAGCGAAATAGCTGCTTCATGGAAAACTTGAACGAAACGTTTCTGGTGGGCAATGTCGATGAAGAATGCGTGCATCTGGTCAAGGCGACGTTCGAGAGCTTGGCCGCGGCCGCGGCGGCGATTATTCGCCCTGGCACGATGTTCCGCGAGCTTGGCAAGCACATTTCGGCCGTTGCGAATGGTGAGGGCTTCTCGGTTGTGAAATCGTACTGTGGGCACGGCGTTGGAACGCATATGCATGCGATTCCAGACATCCCCCACTACGCGAAAAACAAAGCTGTTGGCATTATGAAGCCTGGCATGATTTTCACGATTGAGCCCATGATCAACGTTGGAACGTGGCGTGACCAGACGTGGCCTGATGAGTGGACGTCCGTTACCCGGGACGGTTTGCGCTCCGCGCGGTTTGAGCACACGTTACTTGTGACGGAGACTGGCTACGAAATCCTGACTGCGCGCGAGATTGAGCCGGTGATGGAGTGGAGTCAGGAAAAGTTGCAGCGCCCGCTTTAATGTGACGTGGTGGTGGAGCGGCAACACATGTATGTACTCAGTACTCAGGTGAACCCGTATTAATCAACGATGCTTGTATTAATACATGCGCGTTTTCATCTTCGCATCCAGTACTCATGAGTGTAAAAATTTTGTTGTCGGAGCTGCTCCACGGCGTAGATACTGCAGGCATAGTAACCTAGTGCACCTATCACCAAGCCAAACCAATGTAGCCTGTTTGAGTTTGTGCACTGAAGACAGCATTTCTAGGAAAAGATGCCAATATTTACCTAGCTTGTGGATGCTGGAACACGCAGTGTATCCTCGCGCGTCCCAAATGTCCACGTGGGAAATCCCCGATGAAAGTAAGCGCTGCCTCATTATAACACAACAGCATACTTAGAAGGTAAACGTTGGCACACTCGCAAGCTGTAGACTGCATACCACTCGAGCGACGTCCAGGACGATGGTTAGCGTGATGTAAAGCAGCTGCGAGAGCAATACTGCACGAAACTGTGTGTACAGCATGCCGAACAGGCCGCTGCGAAACAGGAACGTGCCCCCGAGCATCACGAGCAGGTTGACGAGAGCTGTGATCTGAAGCAGGACCTGCACACTGCACGGCTCGGTAGTAGGTGGATACCCCTTGCAGGGGTGTACACACTGCGCATTATGCCCACTTACAAGGTGACAATGGCATCGCTGCTGTTGTCCGATGCGTCCTGGCCTGGCAAGTCCCCGTACTCGATGGAGGAGTTGAGTCCAACGTCGACGAGGTACAAACCTGCAGCTAGCGCAGCATTGACGCTGAAGAACGGTGGGGGCTCGACGGCGGTGATCTTCATCAGCTGCTCCGGCGTCTGTTCAAAACAACGTTAGATTTTCCATCGGTAAATTACGCTTGTTATTTATGTGTTTTTTTTACTTTGAAATCCACGCTTTCGCCCGTCCAGCAGGGAAGAGGTCGGACTGGGACGGACGAGCAGCGACGCCACGCAGTCGCTATGGGGATCTCGGGGCTGCTGCCGGTGCTCAAGAGCATCACCGAGACCAAGTCCATCGAGCAGTACAGGGGCCGTACGCTCGCCATCGACGGCTACTGCTGGTACGGCGCGGCCCCGCATTGTATGGAGACAGTGTGTGGGAGGGTTGAATGAGGCGCTGACTCTTACGGTGCGCTGCTCTACTGTCCAGGCTCCACCGCGCCATCTACTCGTGCAGCCAGGAGATCTGTCTCGGCCAGGAGACGGACAAGTGCGTAAATGTTGCAGTTATGATACATTATGTGCATAGCTTTCATGACCAATGACCGCTGTCTCATGTTGCCGCGCAGATATGTAACGTACTTCATGGATCGGATCACGACGCTGCTCCACAACGGCGTGACGCCTTACGTTGTGTTCGACGGAGGCCCTCTCCCTATGAAGAAAGGCACGGAGGAAGAGCGACGCAAGGCTCGACAGAAGAACAGAGAGTTGGGTGTCCAGCACTACAACAACAAACGCTTCAGTGAGGCCCGCAAGTGCTTTATTCGAGCCGCAGACGTGTCGCCGTACATGGCTCATCGAGTCATCCAGGTGAGTTGTCGCTCGAAGCTTTCCGGGAGTTTATACGATGTGGAAAATACTGATTGATTGTGTGTTGACTTGAGCAGCACCTTAAGGCGCACAATGTGCAGTACGTAGTGGCCCCGTACGGGGCAGACGCTCAGCTGGCCTACCTGGTGAAGAATGGACTTGCGGACGGCGTGATTACGGAGGACTCGGACTGCCTTCCATTCGGATGCCAAACTGTGCTCTTTAAAATGGACCGCGACAATGTTGCACAGGAAATACAAGCCGTCAACCTCAAGAAGAACAAGGGGTTGAGCTTCCACATGTTCACTGAGCAAATGGTGCGATATGGTCGCCCTTGAGTAGTTGGTTTTAGTGCAGTTCTAATGTGTGCTGGGCCGTGTTTGAACAGTTCCTGCAGATGTGCATCTTTTCAGGTTGTAGGAAACGATCTCATTTCCGAGTGGACCCATCCGTCAACATTTGCGACCCGAAGACAACAAGCTTTGGCGCTGAACCGTCGCTCGAAGTAGCGCTTTCCAACCATATACTCGTGCATCTACTGACCTTAATAACAAGCGGCAATCATTATCAGCGCTGTTAGTAGGCTGCGTTCTTAGCAAAAGCAACCATCATGTCCAATGCCCCGTCGTTTTTGGCAGCCCAGTGTTGTTAGCATTTGCCCCGGATGACTGCTGGGAGATCGTCGTCTTACCCATTTTAACGAAGACTGGAGACTGCGAGCGCGTGCCACGAGATCCGCTGCCGACTAGTTGCCAATTAGCCTGCACGCGCCCGGTTGTCATGGACGACCAGTACATGCTCGGGACCATCTACCCCACGGCCGGCTACCTCTTCACCGAGGAGCTGGCCGTGCACTTCATGGGCCTGCAGTCGACGGGACTTCCGGCTGGCAGCTTCAGTTTCGGCGGCGGTCTTGACTCGCTCAGCTCGCCCCCTCAAGTTGCGAGATTTGCTTTAGCGAAGGAGCCCGCATTAGCCGATTGAAGGCGGTGAGGAATGATGAAGACTCGATTTCGAGTATGGCCCAGCAGAAGTCAAAAGTTGCGTTTGACAAGTCCACTGATCCCACCTCCCGCTCCGATTAGTGAAGCCGCATGATGCTGACTACAAGTCCACAGCCAGCAGGTTAAGGTTACCTCCTGAACTGTCTGCCACTGTTGTTAGGCATCACTGCAAGCGCTAGCAGTCCGAGAAGGAATCCGTCAACGAAGAAGTATCACGGCACCCCGGTGCTACTGCCATCGCATTAAATGGATTTGATCTCAGCATCCAACTTTCTGGACGATCTCATGGCGATGGGGTATACACTTCAGCGGATGTCAACTTTGTCCGCAGTTACTCGGGGAATGCTGGTTCTATCCTGTGTCTGCGTGGAGCTGTCGCCAGCAACTGTCAAAATCCGGGGGAGAATACGATTTTGCCTGGTGATCCCGTTCGTGTATTTCCAAATCCAAAGTGTGTGTTGCCACGATTCATTATTGACTTGGTAGACGCTGATGATCGGGACACCCTGGAGATGCAGCGCCAAAGTGCAAACGATGAGCACCGGTTGGCCATTGAGAAGCGCAAAGCCATGGAAGCCTCGATCAAGGCCCAAGAAGCTGAGTTCTCGCGGATTATGGCGAAACGTCTGCGCACTGCGCTCACGATCTACACCCGAAGTTTCGAGCAATTCAAAAAGTGTTTCGTGCAAAAGCAAAGCTCACAACTCGAAGCTTCTGCTCACAATTTGTTCATGGAGAGGCAGCAGTTTGGAATGTGTTCGCCCATGTACGAAGTCAAGCCGAAGGTTGTTGAGGCTCTCAAGCGCAACCAAGTGGTTATCATGACGGCAGATACAGGGTCCGGCAAGAGTACACAATTACCGCAGATTATATTGGACAATGTTCTACCCCCTGGTGAAACCCGCCGAATCGCAGTCCTCGAGCCACGACGGCTGAATGCCATATCGCTGTCACGTCGCGTCGCGGAAGAGCGTGGCCTTCCACCAGGACATGAAGTTGGCTACACGATTGGCCGAGGTGAGAGCAATGTCACGAGTACGACAAGAATCGAGTTCATGACGCATGGGCTCTTCGTACAAATTGCACGAAACTGCGACCAGCTGCTCTCCAAATACTGCGCGGCGGTAGTTGACGAGGCCCATGAACGCTCCGTTGACGTGGATTTATCCCTTCCGCTTCTCAAGCGCGCGCTGAATCAAGTACGAACAAAATCCGATGAACCTTTTTTCAAAGTAATTGTGACAAGTACGACGATCTCAAGCGAGGCGCAGCGTTTCCGTGCGTACCTTGACCGGTTGAAAAAAAGATCTTAAGTTCGAGGACGCGTCTTTTCGGTTCGCATTGATCACTGCCCTGTTGTCGAGTTGGGCGGCCCAAGAGGTCGGCACTGCTGGTGTGAATAAAGTACTCACGTCTGCTGCAATCCAAACGGCCATGGACATTCGGGAGCGTCGAGTTGAGCATTTGCGCCTTTTGTGCCGCCAACTTTATTCATCCCGCAAGTCCCCGGGTCTACAGAGCGCCGAAAGCTGGGTTTGTGCGCGTTCTTGACGCTGCTTGGCAGTTTTTTAGGCTGTCGTATACTTATTTTTAGTGAGCAGCAAGCAAGCCTTGCTGCTCCATTAACTTCTGCTTTCACAAGTTTCCACACAAAAAAGAAAGAAGACACTCGTGTTCGGCATCACCACCAACTAAGGGTACAGGGCACCAATTTGCCACCCAAATCCCCAAATTTTGTTGTTGTGTTACGAACATTGGGAGTTATGAAGCCGTGCGCACACCATCGGAAAGCTAGGTCCTTTGGCTTTCTGTTGCACTTGCGATCACGCCGAAAGAACGAGATGAACAAGAGTTATGGCTGCTCAGAAAATCCACATATTATCACGCGCGGCTTCCAACCATTTTGCCGCCCCAAAACATATGGATAACAACAGTGTTTCGCCTGACATTGCTTAAGTGCTAACAAATGCTCCGTGCTGATACTGGTAGTGAGGCTAGATAGCTTTTCTCGTGACTGCGGCGTACTTCTCTGGCCCACATAAGAAACAACACTTCGGTTTTCTGGACATAACTTTTTACAAAAAATCGTTTGGTGACTCGCAATACCTCAACCGAAAGCTGCGCATTTGCTCCGTTTCACGCTATGATTTAAAAAAATCTAGCAGCAGAAAGAAAAGAGAAACAGCCTTTTATCTGAAGTCCGTTTTAGGCAACATTAGGTTTTTAGCGAGGTGCCGTCAAAAATTAGCGATATTAGAAAATAAAATATCACCGTAATCGCGAGTGACTGCTTTACCCTTATGTTCGGTTGTCGATGTTGTAGCGCCTGTTGGAGACGAGTTAGAAGGGCTACAGTTTTGAGGTTTTTCTATGCGATTATCTCGACACGCGCAGACCCATTTATTTTGGCCAATAGTAAGATGAAACAGTTGATTATACCCAATCATATGTGACATGTGGTTCACATCAAATTGAGGTTTAATGCCGAATGTTGTTTCTCCTTCGCTAGCAGCACAGCTACTTTCGCGTATCAGCTACAATACGCGTTTGCGGAACTCGCCCAAGCTAACCTGGGTGAACCGAACGAAGTTAACACCGTCGCGGGAGGTTGTGCTTCGAGTTTGTTGCCGCCGTGGCAAGTCCACGCAGTTGATGTATGTCAGCACGTTCACGAGGCTGAACGGTGCCGATGTATTTGCCCAGCGGCGTGCGCACAGGATAACCGTGGCGCCACAAACTCAGGGGCTTGTCGGTTGGGCGTCGAAGGTGAACTTAGCTAGCCGATCGGTGTGAGCATCTCCTTCATGAAGAGTACGCCAATCGCAATGCTCTTGTCGATCCCGACGCAAGGCCTAGACAAGCAGGGCCATAGGTGTGGGTGAGAGTAGTGGACCCGATTCATTGGCAGTAGAGAGGCATCGTCCGTCCGCTGACTGGGCCTCCGAAAATAGCATTGTCAATAACATTATTTCAGAAAATAACAATAAATTACGCATTTCGGCGGGTTCAGCCATCTACCGTGATAATTTATTGATGTGCTTTGTGATATTACATAATTTATGACAGTTACCTTTATATAATAATGTTAGCGTTTTACCAGCCATCTTCTCGCTTCCAGTCGTTCAGAAGAACTGGAATCACTGGTTGTCTGCGTTGCTAGTTGCAGCTCATTTGGCAGCGCTCACTTTTCAATTTTCACTTCTCAAGCCTCCAAGACCTCATCCAGCATGGCTCGCGCTATCCGCCCCCCTCGCCCTACCTACACGAACTCCCAAGTCTTGGGGTTTTACTTCCGCCCGTGTCGCGACGAGAACGACGAGGTGATTCTCGAGTATTTCCGTTGCCGTTGCGGCACGGTTCGGAAGCAAACCCATAGGAACGGGTACTCCAACCTGATGCAACATATCAGGCGGGAGCACCCTGACTACGAGACCGTCATGCTCGACGCTACGACGGCGGAGACAGGCTCCCTCGTGAACTTCGTCCGCCACTCGGCGCTCAACCTCCACGGCTGGATGGTTTGGATTGTCATGTGCAACCTGCCACTCTCTTTTTGTGAGAGCCGAGAAGCTCGGCGGTACGTGTATGCATAAGGTCATTGTGTTTACATTACTACGGAAACTAACAACTTTACTTTATGGATGTTATTCAGCTACTCCAGCCTGGACCCCATCTCGGAGGAAACGCTGCGGGCTGGCATGGACGGGGTCGTCGTCGCCGTCGAGCGTTCGATTGCGTCGGAGCTCCCAGCACGCTTCGGCATCATGCTCGACGGCTGGGCACACGCATCTGAGCACTACATCGCCGTGTTCGCGTGCTATGAGGTGAACGGCTGTCCCAAGACTACGCTACTCAGCATGGCCCCGCTGCTGGACGCGCTGGACGACGATCTCTCCGCGCAGGGCCATCTCGAGTTTCTAGCGACCATGCTGCCGCGCGATTACGGCGTACAGATGGCGCAGTGTCGCTTCCTCGTAGCTGATAACTGCGCCGTAAACCGGCGGCTGGCAACTCTTATGAGTGTGCCGCTTGTTGGTTGCGCAAGCCACCGCCTGAACCTTGCTGTTCAGGCGGACATGGCGTCGCATGAGGAGAACCTGGCTGCTGTGCAGGCGCTCATGGTAAAATTGCGTACTCTCACCCAATCTGCCAAACTACGGTAAGCGCCAATGTGTATGTGTGGTGTGTCAATATGTCTCTAACACAATTTGTGTACTTTTGTAAAAAGTTTTACAAAATAGGTTGAAAACGCCACTTCGGCCTGTCATTCGCCAGTACACGCGCTGGAGCTCTACGTTCGAGATGGTACGGCGCCACCTCCAGCTCCTCGCGTTTCTTGACGCCAAAGACGACGACCTCATGGACCTGCTGCCGCCGCCGGCGATGAACAAGCGACTGCGGGCATTGTACCAGGAGCTGTGCGACATCGTGTCGGCTCGATGGCCCTTCAAGGCCACGACGTCGACCTGCTGGACGTTCGCGAGTGGTTCGACGAGCTGATCGCTGTCAAGCCACAATATGGGCGCTACATTGGTAAGTTTATAACTGTTGAATTTGTGTTTAATATTTTCACTAACAATTGTATAATGGTTTTTATTTTGCAGTGCCTCGGGCCAACATTGTACACAGCCCAGATTTTGAGGCTGGGTGTGTACGCGTTCTCCGCGGGAAGGCGCAGCGGCTGACGCGTGCTGAAAAGGCCGCTTTGCAGCCCTTCGAAGCTGCCAGACCGGACGACGCGGCCGCGAGTGAGGAGGAGGAGGATCCAGCCGCGTCGTTCGTGGAGCGTCTTCGGAAGCGCCGGCGGCTTGCACAGGACCGTGTCAAGTATGAGCAGCTGAAGAGCATCCCACCCACGTCGAACGTGGTGGAACGCTTCTTCAGCATTGCTCGGGTGACATTTGGTCATCAACGACACGGCCTGCTGCCACGCACGCTTGAGACGATTTTGTTTCTCCGCCAGAATCGGTCGTACTGGGATGCAACGACTGTGGACAATTTGAGCTAGATGATAAGCTAACTGGTGTCTTGTTAATAGACTTCATGCTTTTCATAATGGCATTATTTATCGTGGTACGTTGGGGGCAATGCCATAATGTACTGTTGTATTGGTAGGAGCGTCAGGGGATAATTTATTCAGCACGCCCAACCTACTAAATAAAAATGCCATACTCGGAGGCCCTGGTCATAATGCTCTCGAAGAAGAAGCCGGTGGTGCACCCCAAATGAAGATGCTGAAAGGTCTGGAAGTCTTGCGGCCGCCGAGGTCGGATGAGAAGTGCGGGCTCACTGCGAACCAGACAACGAGTGGGTAGACGACTACTGCGGAAAGAGGGCAGCAAACCGCGGACAGGGCGCGAGGACGCGGAGATCTAGCATCTTGAAGAGCTCGTTGAAGCTTGGTTATTTTTATCAGCTGATACACGTGGCAAATTGGTTCCCTCGGCAAATTGGTGCCCTGTACCCTTAAGTGTTGAAGTAACAGACTTTGCAGAGGAATTAGGACAGAAGAAGCTGTTAGTAACAGCTTCTTCTGTCCTAATTCCTCTTACAGCCTGTAACAGCCTGTTACACACCATTGACCTGTACTTAGCAGTAGATACAGTATTTTCAACGTAGGAAGACGGTAGAAAGAGAAGAACTGTGGCGTTGGCTTACGCTCGTCCAAAATACACCAAGCATTATCCAAACTCCACGGGGCGTACTTTGGCTCCCGTCAATGCTGACGCGGTAAGTCAAGGAATTTTTGATACAACGGGACAGCATATAAAGCTTTGGGGCGCGGGCACGGTGGTTTGGGAAGAATGCCTCACACTGTGTAGGTCCATGCGTTGAGCGCAATCTTCATGGCGAACAACCTAGACAAGTAATCCATGTCTGTTGCAGTACGCTCAGCGACACCTTCGCTTCAATCTGAGCTTGAGCAGGAGGCATGTATAAGTTATGAAGTACAGTACTGTAGTACTCTATCATCTTGAGCGAAGTGATCTCACAGCTGAGCAGTCCGTTCACACATGGAAATGGCAGGACATCGCGAGTTAGAGAACGCAGCATCTGCCAATGCGAAGAATGATAGGTTGCCACTATTGAGCCTGACTCAGGAGAGGAGGAGGAAGCCGCTGAAAAAAATGCTCCCATCATCAACGGCTGCGAACAAGTGGGCTAACACAGCTGCGAGGGTGCTAACAGTCACTAAGGTGCCCGCGCGCTCTACATATCTCTTTCCAGTGAGTCCATCCTGTCTGAGACCGCACTCAGAATTGCAGGCGGAATTCTAGGTAATACTGTAGACCGCGAACAGGCTCTAATTACTTTTCTGTTGGGCATCTCCATCCCGGCAGGCTGTGTGGATGTAGTTCGCTGAGTATCTTCATATCGGAAGGCTGCAGCGCGCCCACACTAAGGTCTTCTGCCAGTTTCGTGCCGTCCTTCGAACTTGCGGACTTGCTGTGGCATAACTTTTCATTGAATTGTCCATTCTGAAATCTGATTGCACCCGCTAAATCTGCGCGATTGGGCTGAATTTATGTACTTCACGCTGATCCGTGTAAATTTTGCAGAACTTCTTGTTATTGTTTTGAAAAGCTTGTTGATTTGGAGTGAGCTGCCAGTTTCCTGCCTCTTTTTGATAGCATTTTTGTATGCTATGCAAATCCTAGGAGGCTCATCACCGGAAATTGCATGTGACGCTGGAAAAATCTACCAATAGACTAACGCAAGGACGACAAACGGAGTCTGTTGTCCTGGACCGGCGGCACGATTTTAATCACTTCCGTGAAGCGTGGTCTCTCGTTCGATTTGCACGATCTCTTGCCGTTTAATACGGTTCATAGGAGAGACCTGGATCGATGGGGGCGAATCTTAAAGATTTTCGCCGCTGCTTGGGGCATTCTCGAAGCCTGCATGGCGAACGCAGGAGAATCTCCGCGTTCTGGGCTGAATCCTGGCGCCGAACCAGCCATTGAGACGATGCCCGCTGTGCCTGCGCTCATGGCGAGCTCATCCACTTCGCCCACCTCACTGAGGAGGGCTCCAATCGCCCTCCTCACTGAGGTGGGCGTTGGGGCCTTGACGACACCTTCGCGGGTTCCGAACCCAGGGGTTCCGAAAAATAGCCCCACGCATTGACGTTCATCTCGGTGTTTGATGCAACACGCCCAACACGAAAGAATAGTCAAACTACAGTACACACGAATAGCCAGCAAGTTTGCCAGCCCCGCCCTCGCGGCACTGTATGCCCTACAAACCCGAGCGAAAACATAGTTTTAGCCCTCTCCGGCTTTATAGGCCCCCTGGTAGGATAGCCGAGCGAATAGGGGAATATTAAAACCCTCAAAAAGTGAGAGAGTCGAGAGCTTTCGTCAATACGCAGGTAAGTAACAAGCGCTACCAGTCACTTCGCGCGCATTTGTCGCCCTCCTCTTCGAGATACGAAGAGGAGGGCAGCTAGCCAACTGCAGTTAAAGGGATCGAACGGCATCCGCGGTGCCGCATTAATCTTTGGCGGGGAGAGAGGCATTTTAATCCTCGGGTTTGCCCCGCACATTGTAATCCGCGCGAGAGCCCGATAGATTCGGGCCTGGTTTTCGCCAGCCGCCCGTCCTCTTCACCTTGCACGTCGAGCGGTCGAGTGCCACCAGGAATCTCTTCAGATTCGCGTCTCGTTAGCTGCGGCCGCAGCTCCAGGCAACGCACTGGCGGTGAATCTCAGGGCTGAGGCAGGCCCGGCTACCCGTCAGCAGGGCGCGGTCTCTGCCCGCTACAACGTGCGCTGTTGCACGCCGGGTTCTTTTTATCCGCGGCTTTGACTAATCAGATGCTAGGTGAGCCTTTGGCGGCCAACCACCAAGGAGGGTATCCTGCTGTCAACCCGGGTCTCAAGCGCTGCGCCGGACTGGACTCGGCTCATTCCGCATTTTGCTCGACACCTCGCAAGCGCAGTCAGTCCTCCAAGATGAACAAGTTCCTGGTGCGAGGCCTCGGCTTCTTCAACGATGCCTACGACCTGTTCGTCATGAACGTGGTCAACATCGTGCTCACGGAGCAGTACGGCAAGGACGTGTACACGTCCAGCATGAAGTCGTGGGTGTCGGCCGCGGCGCTCATCGGCGCCGTGGTGGGCCAGCTGGCCTTCGGCTTCCTGGGCGACGTCTTCGGCCGCCGCGTCAACATGATCGCCACGTGCGTGCTGCTGATCTTCGGCGGCATCCTTTGCACGTGCGCGTACGGCGGCTCGCCCTCGGGCACGCTGTGGTTCCTGGTCGCGGCCCGCTTCATCCTCGGCATCGGTATCGGTGGCGAGTACCCGCTCGCTGCCTCGTCGACGGCCGAGGACGCTACGTCCGTGGCCGACCGCAACCAGCGCGTGGCCCTCACCTTCAGTCTGCAGGGAGTGGGTTCGCTCACGGCCGCTATCCTCGGCAACCTCATCATCCAGGCCCTGGCCAACGGCGACAAGGGCGAGAACGCGGACTCGCGCCTTGAGACCGTGTGGCGTCTGCTCTTCGGCATTGGCGTCATCCCGGCCATCATCGTCTGCTACTGGCGTATTTCGGCCGAGGAGACCGACGCCTACAAGGCCGCGGAGGAGCGTCGCCAGGCCGCTGCCAACGCCAACCCCACGGCCTCGCGCGCGCGCCTCGCCTTCATCCTCCGCCACTACGGCGTGAGCCTGCTCGGAACGGCCGGCACGTGGTTCCTGTTCGACATCGTCTTCTACGCGCAGAACCTCTTCTCGGCCAGCATCCTGTCTGTCGTCGGCGTGCACAACGCGTCGCTGCAGGTCGTGACCACGGAGAACGCGTTCGTGGCGCTCATGGCCCTGCCCGGTTACTACGTGGCTGTGTACTTCATCAACCGCCTCGGCCGCAAGGTCATCCAGCTGCAGGGCTTCGCGGTCATGACGGTGCTCTTCCTGGTGCTGGCCGTCTTCTGGGAGGACATCAAGGAAAAGGCCGTGCTCTTCATCATCCTCTTCGGACTCGCGCTCTTCTTCTCCAACTTCGGCCCCAACACGTCGACGTTCGTCATGCCCACCGAGATGTTCCCCACGCCGATCCGCTCCACGTGCCACGGTATCTCCGCCGCGTGCGGTAAGGCCGGCGCTGCCATCGGTTCGTTCGGCTTCTCCATCTGGGTCGAGAACGAGAGCTTCGGCTACGACGGCGCCTTCTACTCGTTCGCCGCCATCACGCTCGTGTCCATCCCGCTCACGTGGTTCTGCATGTTCGACAACGAGCAGGGCTTCGACGAGATGGACGCCGAGTTCTACCAGAAGCTGCATGGCGCCGACGACTTCACGCGCGAGTCCTTCAGCTCGGTTGCCAAGCAGAACGACATTGAGAAGGACGGTGTGTACAAGGCCAACAACACCCCGCAATAAATGTGCGAACGGTAGCACATACCATTAGGATCTTTTCCTCCTAAGCATTAATGTAATACCTTTTTTGAAGTGCTCAAAACGACCAGCTACTGTGCCTTCCTTGACCCGCTGGAGCTACGCACGTTGAGGTTTGATCAAGCTTCTCTCGCTCCTACTCAATTGGCTTATGACGCTCGTCGGCACAGCAGACAGACACGTCCGAAGTCGCCGGAGGGCTTCAGTGTTGTGGTCTGCATCACGTGTATCCAACGCGTAGTAGAAGACAAACTGCTTCTTGAGGACGTTCTCCAGCGCAGCGCACCACGAGTCCCCAGCCCCCTCGACCTTCTTGCACAAGGCTTGCTTCCGGTTCAGCAGCAGATTCCCGGCGTCGCAGTCGACGCCAGGGTGCATCTTCTTCAAGATTGCAGACGGATCAACGAGGTCGACATCGAAAGCCTCTATGTTGGCAGCGCGGAACGTCAGCGCGAACGCCGATCCTTTTTGCGCCCGACTGATGATTGTAACCTGGCACTGAGCAGCGCCAATCGACCCCCAGATGAACTGTCGGAGTGCTCTCTCGACAGAGGAGGCTGTAACTTGAGGCGGCGACAGACGTACGTCGATATCGTTGGCGCTCTCACCACGAACAACCCAGTCCCGAAGGAACCCGCCGCAGATGCTGGCGTTGCAGCGCCACACTAGCGCGTGAGCAAGTTGAAGCACGACATCATCTCGAGTCGCCCAGCTTGTCGGCGGCACCTTATTCATCAGCTGCGCGAGTCGAGGGCACTGCTGCAACTGCTGCCCGGGCGTGACTAGAGGCAGCGTATTGTGTCCATGCGTCTCCACAATCAGAGACTGAACCGCCCGACAATGACCGACATCAAGGCCCTAGACGCTCCTTCCAGCGTCACAACGATCTCGCGCGACTGGCTGTTGATCTTGATGACCTGGCCCCTGCCGACGTGCAAGTGGCCGGCACCACAGCGCTCACTGGAGAGCAGCTCCTGCACGTTGGCTTCGAGTTGCTTCGCCATTCGACCTCCTTTTCCGATGATTTTGCCCATATTGACGTGCTCCGGTAGCTGCAGCGTGACGGATTCCGGCTCAATGTTGCGCAGCAGCTTCTTCACGTGGAGCTCGACGCGCCCGTAGATTCGGCGAGGACACGTAATCACAACCTCGTTTTTCTCCATTGCAAGGAGAACTTGCGCTTGAGTTGCTTCAGCCACCGCCCGCGATCAGCTAAGATGAAGCTGCGAACACCTGAAGTCACTGGGATACGCATCGTGTCGCGTGCAGAGGAGTTCAACAACTTTTTCAGGTCTACGAGACGGCACAATCCGCATGAAACTTCGTGTTACAGTACGCCACCCGGGGGTGACTCACCCCGTCAAGCCTAGCGCTTCTCATCGGCGGGGCCATGCTCGCTGCAACCCGAGAACTACACTACCAACTACAACTGCACTGACACCATTCACTGCGTAAACCGAGAGAGAGCCCGCGCACACGAACCGCAGAATGTTATAGGCCGCGTTCTCGTCTCGTCCAGCCAGGAAGCCGCAATGGGGGCACCGGAATACATCTTCGTTGCGCAGTGTGAGGTGGAGGCGGCAGCAGCGGCCACAGGTGCGGCTCGAGTACATCTCAGAGCACAGCACCATGGCCTCGCCCGCCACCTCGCACTTCGCCAGCAGTCTCCGCCGGAACTGGTAGTGGGCCAGCGTGTTCATCTGGTCGTTGAACGCGTGCGTCCACGGGGCACTTGAGCGCAACATGGACGAAGTCGAGAATTTGGGCAGCAGTATCACGTCCGTGTTGTGGCACAGGTGTGAAGCTGCCTTGTAGTGGAGGTCCTTCACGTAGTTGTCCAGCTTGGGCGTCACGGTGTAGAACTCGCGGCGAGCTGCCACGAACTGCTTCCACTCTCGGCCTGTGTGGCGGCCGAGGTGGTGGCGCTTGCGGTACTTCTTGTTCGCCACGAACCTGCTCATTCGGCGTTGGGCCGCTCGCTGGCGGGTCTTCAGCTTCAACAGTCGACCCCAGTTGGCGCGGCCAAGGTGGGCGATGTTGCCCTGCAGGTCCATCGTGGTCAGGAACCCCTTGAGACCCGGGTCCCCCGCTGTGCAGCGCCCTTTGTCCTCCACGGGCAGAGGAGCGACCACGTACGCCATTTGGGCGTACCAGTATCCGTGCGCGTACACGATGCGCACCTCGCCCTCGATCTCCGTGCCCTCGTCCGCTCTGATGAGGATGTTGGGTACGGAGGGGATCGTTAGGTACTGATCCACCTTCTTAGGCTTGCGGTCCCGGGGAAGTGGCGCTGGACCAAAGTGCCGCGTGCTCCTGTGGTGTCGTGCTGAGTTGAGGTGAGTCTTCTCCGCGTCTGCGTATATTGTGAAGTAGTTGCTCTCCCGTCTGGACTTGAAGTGCATGCTGAAGTGGGTGATGTGGCCGCGCGCCAGGTTCCTGAAGGCCGCGCTGGTGGCGGACACGAAGTTACGGACAGCGTGCTTTCTCACGGAGGAGGGTGTCTCCAGCACCCACTCGGGGGCCGGCCCCATGTCTTCCGGGTACTCCAGCGGGACTTGGCGCAGCCTGGGCCGCGCTACGAAGAGCTTCTGGAGCTTGTCCTTGCCTCCATCACCACCCTTGCGCCGGTACTCGACGCACTTGTTGTGCGTGTACCGGCACGCGTCCATTGGGCGTCGGCTTCAGTCGATACTGGCGGACGCGCCTGATGAGCAACGCATCCTCGGACTCGAGCAGCTCCAGCTCGTTCTTTTGCTGGGACTTCTCCTGCTCAAGGGCGCGCTCCTGTGAATGCGTCACGCGCGATGTCTTCAAACGCGCGTTCACAGTTTTTATCTGGGCTCGAAGTTCCTTTTCGCGCTGCTTGCGCTGCATACGCGTGTTGTACGCGTCGATCTTGCGCTGCTGCGTTTGAGGATCAACGCCCCAGTCAGCACGGTTGAGACGCTGGCGGACATCTTGCCGCGCGTTCTCGATAGGGCGAACGTTGCTTGTAAGGATTGCGCCGCACTCCTTGCGTTTTCGCAGCTTGCCACATGCAAGCGAATCTCTCTTTGTGAACAAAATGCCTCCGTCCGAACGGAGAAGCTGGATGCGTTGACCGAGCACTCGAATCTGATGCGGCCGGCACGGGATTACTCTCACCGCCGAAGTACAAGATTCAGAGGTGCGCTGTAGGCGCTCTAGATCTATTACTTGTTTACTTGTAGTGTATGGGGCCCGAGATTCGACAGCAGAGCTCCTCTGCTGTCAGCCAGTCTCGCAGTGATAGCAGTCTTTACCTCTAAGTCTCAATATCACTTTTCAATTTGCCTCGAACCACAAGCATCACCTCAACAACACTACACAACACCAGCTTCGCCCCCTCAACTGCTTCCTCAACCTCCACCCTTCCTCGCCGCGCCGTGCCCAAACACAACATTGCTCCACTCGACCATCGAAGCCCAGGACCGAAACCGCGAGTTGGGCTGCAGCGTCGCCGCGTCGATCCCCAGGAGTTCCTCGCGTTGTAGCACCGCGCGAAATTGGTCACCGAAGATGGCGTCCTTGCTCTGCTGCGTCTCCGTGCTCAGGCGCTGTGAGAGCGGGGCGAACGCCTGGAACGAGCCCAGCAGCGAGTGCACGACCAAATGGCTCAGTACGTCCAGTAGCACCGCCCAGTCGAAAGTGGGCTCTCTCACTCGATCGTGCTCCTCGCGCACTGCGTCGAGTTGCTCTTGGCCTCGTTGCTGGACTTGCTGCCGGCGATCTTCTCGCTCGCGACGCTCCAGGGCTCGGACGGCGAGGAACTGCTCGTGCTCGTCCTGCACAAACTGCACCAGCTGCCGGATGCACTCCTGCAGCGTCGGGAGGGTGGCTGCGATGTCGGCGTGGCTCAGGAGGCTGACAGTGCGCATGATCACGGGCTCCTTCGCACGTCCGAGCCAACAGCGCACGCGACGACAGGCACGGTCGTCGTCGAGGACGATGAAGGTGAGTGACCGCACCTCACCCAGTGCGGCCGTGATGCGTTGCTTGAGGCGCCTCCAGTGCGCCATTGGTGGCTTTTTGTTACGAGCCGAGGCCCGCAGCTCCGAGCAGCGCATTATGGGTGCTCGACGAGAACTTACAATGCTGGACGCAATCATGGAGTCCATTGTTGGCCCTTCAACAATCTCGGTGTCGCACGCGCGTAAGCGGCCATGTCCACTGTCCCCTGGTGTCTGGCAGCGTCAAGAACTCGTACAAACCCAGCTTTCGGCGTTCCGTCGGCCCGAGGGCTCGCGAGATGACCGAAGTACGCGGCACATAAGGCGCGTCGAATGCTTGACTCGATGCCCCCGTTCAGCTGGATTAGCTCTTTGTCGTCGATAATGTTGAACTTGAGGCCGTCAAGTGTTTTGACCAAATACTCGCGCGAGGTCTCGGCGTCAACAAACACAGGTCGAGCTCTTGACACCACGTTAAGCCCTTGCCACGTCCTTGAGCTTCGTCGAACGCCTCGGCCAGATTCAGGAGTGTGATGTGGTCCCCGGACTCGTCCATATACTTCTTGATCGAATCTGTGCGCTCTAAACACCTTCTATCCGGCAGCAGGCGCTCAGCTCCGTCTGAAGCCATTAGAAGAGAGACGGGTTTTGTGCCCGTGACGAGACAACCAAAGTGGCTGCAGGCAATTAAAAAGCGACCGAGGCGTAAGTCGATGCCCAGCGAGAGAAGCGCGTCGCCTTGGGGGGGGTCAGCTTGCCTTCTCCATCGAGCGCGCCCAATTCATGCAGCCTCTCCTCTGCGCGTACAAGCATGCTTGGGTCCATTGGGTCCAGTAGCACGAGTTCCTCGTTCATATTCTGCTTCATGTGCTTAGCCAAAAGGACGACCTTGTAGATCATGGCGTTCTGCACCCCTGGCTCCAACTCTCGACTCCCAGGACGCCTTTTGTCACTGTCGTTCTCCTCTTCACCGACCTCTTCCGGGTCTGAGAAGAGCCGAATGCAAATTCCGGAGGCCGTCCGTCCCGCTCGTCCTGCTCGCTGCTTCATGGAAGACATTGTAATGGGCTGGGTGATCATTTCGTTGACGTCGACAGAAGCGTTCCACTGCACTCGACGCTCGAGGCCCGCAAAGTAAGCTTTGCGGAGTGCAGTATGACGGAATGTGTAAATTCATCTCGCAAGAATTTACTGCGAAGTTACTTGAGACGTTGACTTGGTCTCAGTATCCACGATGGCCGACCGACCACCTCGCCGACTTGACGGCGCTCAGAATGGGGCTCCGCAAGCTGGTCGGCGCGCCGTCGTAAAGTACGATTCCCTGGTGGCCAACCACCATGCGAAACGAAAACGGAATCCGTAGTCTCTTCAACGCCTGACGAGACCAAGAGGTCCTGTCGAGCGACTTCCAACGCGTCGTTAATGCTATCTCACTCGCCAAGAAAATGAGAATGTTGCCCGTTTCCGTAGTCCGGAGAATGTCCATGGCCGTTTGGATTGCAGCAGACGTGAGTACTTTATTCACGCCAGCAGTGCCGACCTCTTGGGGGTCCAACTCAACCACAGGGCGGTGGTCAATATGAACTGGAAAGACGCGCCCTCGGACTTGAAACACTGAAGACTTCTTCTTCGACGGGTCAAGGTACGCACGGAAATGCTGCGCCTCGCTTGCGATCGTCGCGCTTGTCACAATTACTTTGAAAAAAGGTTCATCGGATTTTGTTCGTACTTGATTCAGCGCGCGCTTGAGAAGCGCAAGGGATAAATCCACGTCAACGGAGCGTTCATGGGCCTCGTCAACTACCGCCGCGCAGTATTTGGAGAGCAGCTGGTCGCAGTTTCGTGCAATTTGTACGAAGAGCCCATGCGTCATGAACTCGATTCTTGTCGTACTCGTGACATTGCTCTCACCTCGGCCAATCGTGTAGCCAACTTCATGTCCTGGTGGAAGGCCACGCTCTTCCGCGACGCGACGTGACAGCGATATGGCATTCAGCCGTCGTGGCTCGAGGACTGCGATTCGGCGGGTTTCACCAGGGGGTAGAACATTGTCCAATATAATCTGCGGTAATTGTGTACTCTTGCCGGACCCTGTATCTGCCGTCATGATAACCACTTGGTTGCGCTTGAGAGCCTCAACAACCTTCGGCTTGACTTCGTACATGGGCGAACACATTCCAAACTGCTGCCTCTCCATGAACAAATTGTGAGCAGAAGCTTCGAGTTGTGAGCTTTGCTTTTGCACGAAACACTTTTTGAATTGCTCGAAACTTCGGGTGTAGATCGTGAGCGCAGTGCGCAGACGTTTCGCCATAATCCGCGAGAACTCAGCTTCTTGGGCCTTGATCGAGGCTTCCATGGCTTTGCGCTTCTCAATGGCCAACCGGTGCTCATCGTTTGCACTTTGGCGCTGCATCTCCAGGGTGTCCCGATCATCAGCGTCTACCAAGTCAATAATGAATCGTGGCAACACACACTTTGGATTTGGAAATACACGAACGGGATCACCAGGCAAAATCGTATTCTCCCCCGGATTTTGACAGTTGCTGGCGACAGCTCCACGCAGACACAGGATAGAACCAGCATTCCCCGAGTAACTGCGGACAAAGTTGACATCCGCTGAAGTGTAAACCCCATCGCCATGAGATCGTCCAGAAAGTTGGATGCTGAGATCAAATCCATTTAATGCGATGGCAGTAGCACGCCAAGGCTCCGGGGTGCCGTGATACAAGGGCTCTTCTTCGTTGACGGATGCATTCAGAGCTTGCAAGCGTTGAATGTGACTCTTGTAGTCCCCAATGCGTGCGGAAGCCTGTACTCGACGAACACTGACAACGTTGGCAGACAGTTCAGTAGGTAAACCGCTAACGGTAGACTTGTAGTCAGCATCGTGCGACTTCAACAGTTCAATCGGAGGGGGAGGCGGGATCGGTGGACTTGTCAATCGCAACTTCCAGTCCTGCTGCGTCATACTCGAAATCAACTCTTCGTCACTCATCGACTTCAATCGCTTAATCCGGGCTCCTTCTTCCCGAACCACGGTGCCTGTGCCCAACTCTTCCATGTGCTGCCCCGTGGCATCCCCAAATTCCTTGACAAATCGCGTTAGCATCGAAGAGAGCGAAACTACACCACGCGGAGTCTGGATAACCGGGCTACTGGGCGTGTTTTGGACTGCAAATACCAGCGTAAGCCAAGGAACCCAGAGAAGATACTCGTGCTCGGCATCACCACTCAGCGACCCAATTATCTTGCGCTTCGCATACTCTTCAGGCAGCGAATGTACACGGCGCTTGTCCGAATAAACCATGCACAGCATGTACTTGGCGAAAGGGATCCATATTTCGCGGCTGCGATCTTTCCGTAAGAGCTGGTGGGTGTCCTTCTTCTGAATTATTCCTCCGACTTCCTCGGAGAATTCTCGTCCAGCAGTAGCTATTGGTGTCTCGTCACGATCACGCTTACCTCCCAAGAGGTTTACAAACTGCCCAGGAGGGTTGTCGAACGGGCGGTTCAACACCCAGCAGAACGTCAAAGCCCGACGACGACACTCGAATTGGCAACACCCCCGCCGCCTTGTGGGTAGTTGGGTCGTCGTCATTCGCTTCAGACTGAGCACCAGCACTTGAATCACTGTAACTTTGCCAAGCCGGTTCGTTGGGACGGCGAGCAGACACCCTATCACTCCGCGCTGCATTTTCAAGCGCCCTCTTGAAGCTGTCCACGATCTTGTCGTCAATGTCCATGAGCACAATATATCGAATCGTTGACGTGGTTTGTTCGCGACAAAACTTCGCACACTCTCGAAGGATTTCGCGGGCTCCTTGGTCAAGTGGATACCCGAAGATTCCAGTCGACATGCCTGGGAGAGCGATAGACGAGATGCCCAATCGGCCACCAACAACCAGAGCCGACTTTACAGCGCTTCGAAGCTGTTCCGTCTGAGTTGGCGAAGGTTCTGATAAACGCCCCAGATTCGGACCCACCGTGTGGACAACGTATCGGGCGGGGAGTCTTCCTGCGCTCGTGACCATGGCGGAACCGACTGGTAGTCTTCCGTTGGCGTTTACCCACGCAGAGCTCTCGTCTTGGACTACACGCCCGCCCTTTCGAGAGATCGCTCCAGCCACCCCACCGCCATGCAGGAGGTCGCTATTGGCTGCGTTGACTATGGCATCCACTTTGCACTCGGTGAGATCACCTTGCGTGACGACGATCTCGGGGCCTTCGTCTCCGCTCGGCTTCCATCGGGAGATAATCCGCCCTCCCACATCCCCAAAAGTAGGCGAAGCGGGACTCGCACCGCCATTTCTTGTGGCTGTGGCGGGGGTCGTGCACTTGCTCAGACGCAAGCGCCAGAGGGACTTGATACTTTTCGACACCTCCGGGTCTTCCAGAACCTCAACTAACTCGGCGGCTGTCGTGATACCGTGCTCTGCCTCCAGCTGCTGGACGACGAGTCGAGGGTCTGCGAGCCCCGCAGCCTCCACCATTGAGGCGCCGCTGCCTTGATTGGGGGGCCTGCCTGCCTTGGACAGAAGCCAGGGAGGAAGTACTGGGGAAACGTAAACTGGCTCGCTTCGTATTGGCTAATAATGGACCGACGTCCTAAATGAGCAATAATTGCCAAACAAAATAATTATGGATACACATTCAAAACAAAAATGTACTCATAATTATTTGTTTTGTCATTATATAGAACTATTGTGCTTTGCAGATATTTCTGCAAACCAGCCTATTAATTCTCTGTTATACTGGGCAGTTAAGTCTTAATTACGACTCGTCTGTCCAGCTAAAACTCGGTTGTAATTATGGCTACCTGTGAATTACGACCTGGGTGCATGGATTAGAAATGATACTCGGTTTTGATTTGCGGTCCACGAGAGCTTTGAGTAGGCTGGGATAACTAAGGAACATTGGCTGAGGCAAACTCGGGACTGCCGTACAGTGCATTTGTATCTTATTCGGAGTCCTGAACAAGCAACATGTGATTTTTTGTTCGAGCGAATAACAGAGCTTCTCGAAATATTCGTTATTCACTGTTTGTCTTGCTTTCGATGTGGGTCAGCTCATCTATTGAGTTTTAACACTGCTATATTTTAATATTAAAATAGGTCTCGATCTTCTACCACGACCGTTCACGTATCCCTCCTCGATGCCTCATTCGGCTGGAGCGATACTTCGAGCTTCAAGGGGGGCACTACACACGAGGTATCGTGGATATTTGGTCTTGCTTTGTACTACTTAACCCTTTAGCTACGAGCTCGGCAGTAGAGGTCCCTCCGGACATGTACCACAACCAACCACAACGCATGTTTGTTTTGACCAATGGCAGCTCGCATTAATCCCCTAACAAACCTCTATTTGTCTATTTTGGCGTCAGCGTGATTTGCCACTCAGGATGCCCCCCCGACACCAGCGATATGTTGTGCGGGTTCTGCGGGCAGTCGCCATGCGCGTGGGACGCGCACGAAGCTGTGATGAAGGAGCGAGCAACCATTATGCATCCCCGACTCACTCGTGGAGACCAGCAGGAGTCTATTCGCACGGCCCTCGGTCGTGTCTTTATCTAGAATGCAGGACCGATTGCCTGTTTGTGTGAGCAAAAAGCTTTTGCAGCTTTGGCCAGATAGCTCTGAAAGCTCAGACAAGGTACAACATGTATTTGGTGTGGTGTTATTCCTACTACGGTAGCTTCCGCTCACTAATGGGTCTAATCGTTCTGTTACTACGCTTTCTCGTGAATGCGACAGGATCACCCGTCGGCGCGCGCGCAATAGCTTCCAAAGCATCCTGCAGCTGGGGTGCGTTGGAGCGAAAGGCACCCTCGTAATGAAAGGCTCTGAAACATTCGACATGAAAGCCGCGTTCGCACTTGGTGCACCCGTATTTTGCTTTTTTTGCCATCCCCCGCAGGCTACACAAGTAGCACGTCAGCTTCCCATTGCTATGTTCTGTCGAATTTGGAGTGATTATATGGAGTGAATCCACGCTGCCAACGGCTTCGTCCAGTGCGCCAGCTTTCCGTTTTTGCTGTCGCCGGTCTCGCTGTTGCTTCAGGGTCTTTTCATTGCGCGTCAGTTTGTCAGCGATTTCGCGTTTGAACTCTCGAAGTGTCACGCGTGCTGATGCCGAGCCACCAATGACACGTTCCAGTGCGTACGTGTTGATGATAGAGATGTCCAGTAACCACGTGAAGACGGACATATGCAAGCGCTTCTCGCGGCGCCGGGTAGGATTCGTGCTCCTTAGCTGGTCCACTCGATCAACAGCGTTCATGCACTTATTGTAGGCCGCTATCAGCGCCGGCGCCACGAGGGCTTTGCGGTGCATGATGGTGTCTCCCGTCCAGCGCATTAGTGGTACCGTGCCATGGCAGCAGTTTACAGCCTCCGGCGAGGTCGAAGGTAGTGTGCTAACCGCCACTGTAGCCTTCAAGTCGTTCGTGTATAACACAACAACCTTTCTGCCCTTGACGACGACTATATAACCGGCATGCTCGGCGTATGTGAGCGTCGGCATATATTCTGTTCGCAAGTGCTTTTGGCGCTTCTTCTGTTTCTTGTCATGAGCTGTGGCATTTTTTTGTAGTTTTCCTCGGAGCCACGAGTTCCCAAGAGCCTCGCACCTGGTTAGCGATGCGCTCCACAGCAGATTCGAGCGCAAACTTGTTGAATCGGTCCACGAGATTCATGCGTACCGTCCCCAGCAGTCTAACCTCGTCGTCCGTAAATGCACTGATGGCGCGGGCGTAAGTATGGCGTGTGTAAAAGTTGTCGGATATCAGTAGACGTCGGCCACTGGGGGATCGGTAGGTTCTTGTTTGGTGACCGGCCATAGCCACCCACAGGGATGTAGCTGATTTCGGCTCAATATTGATTTCTGGTAGCGATAGCGTGTTGTACAGAGGCGTCCGGAGTGACGGAAACAGCTCTGTGTACCGTTGGGCAGGGGTAGACCGGGTAGCATTACCTGACCCATTGTCCCAAAGAGAGTGGACGTACAGCGCATCCCACCCGATCACCGCATAGAACCGAAGACTGTATTTGTCTGGTTTTGATGGCATGCACGTCCGCGCTCGACTACGCGCTTTGGTGCGCACCGAGATCTCATCGAGACTGCTAGCACCCAAAGGCACCGCCGTATCTGCGAAGCGCTTTTGAAAATGCTGCAGCAGCCATCTGCAGCGGTAAAGCGGGTCACGCACGGACTTGAATGTGACTGGATCCGGCGCGTGAAATTGCAGTGCCCGAATATGCTGAAAGCGGTCGCGTGTCATGGTCTCGATGAAGGCCGGCTGCCCGAGGAACCGGTCCGAAGACCAAAAGTCGGCAATATTGTTGAGCGGACACAAGCTCATGGCTATCTCGAGCCCCAGGTACGCATTGAGCTCGCTCTCGGTCAAAGCTTTCTTCCCCGCCGCTTCTAACTTAGTCGAGGTCCACCCTCGGATGCTTTCGCGCAGTGTAGCCGTGACAAACAGCGCGAACAGCCCATACGAGCCGTTCTTCTCGTACGCTTTCCTTACTCTGGTGTCCATCGCCAAATGAAGCCCACGTTCTTGTTGAATTGAGGCGAGGTATGCATTCTCATCAAGAGTCGCCGATGTTGGCGTCACAGCAGGCCGATCGGGCGATGGTGCGCGCACTGGCTCGGGCCGCGAAGTGTCGATGCTGCCGCGATCGAGCGGCAACTCAAGCATCATGTCGTCGTCGGAGAACTCGTCGTCTTCATCCATACCCGGGGTCATGGTATTGCTCGTCGTCGCTCTGAATCTCCCAGTCGCCGGTGATGTCGTCGTCCATTGTTCTCTGAGTTGGAGCCAGTAAGTAAACCTTTCCGAGTCTTATATTGGCAGCATCTGCTTGTTGCTGTGCTCATGAGTGGCTATGGTGCAGGTCCCCCTGTGTAATGGGCCTACCTTGGCTCACTACTACGGCTTACACGTATGCGCACGTGTATGAAGAAGCGTAGGTTTCTTTTACTTGAGTTAAGTATACTCGAGATCCACGAATATACTTTAAACAAGATAAAGACTCCAAGAGCGGGTTTTGGTAAAAGATGAGAACTGCTATTTTTGTTTTATGTTTCTCACTTCCTCTAAATGTAATATTCTAAACTAGGAATCTGCCAACGGCTGGTTGGCAGGATTCTGCTAACATGCAAGTCATTCATTGGCTAAAAGATGCTGCTTTCAGCCAATAGGAATCCTAAATGTGTATGGACCACCCGTCGTGGTGGTCATAAATGTATGTAGCCATTGGTGTGCCTTACACCAAGGTCGAGGAAGTGCTCGAACCTCTAACAGACATCGCATCTGTAAGAGTAACAAGTGACTGTAGTCACTTGTGCCTGTAACCCCGTTACACCATCCCCCCGTCATGGTTAGACGTGCCGGTCCCGGCACGTCAACCACCATTGGCCGCTTGGTCAATGCGTGACGTTGAAGAGAGCGCGCTCGTAATGGAACGAGCGCGTCGAAGTTGAAGACCGCTGGCGCAGCAGTGGAGAACCTCTTTGCTGCTGAGTAGCATGCGCGGCAACGTGCGAAGTGCGTCGCTGCCGCGGGGGCAGGTACCTATGTCTGCCCTCGAAGTGTCTTCGGGCGCTGCTGTTAACAGCGCTCGTATTACTTTCCAGCGTGTAGCGCATGGTGGGCTTCGTACGCCCTCACCATGTCCGGGACGTCTTCGAGCAAGACGTTCCGCGGCTCCCATGTATCTTGGCTGGGAGGGAATCCTCTCCAACGGATACGAAAACGAACCGGTTGCCTGTTCGTTCTCGGGATACTGTGACCAACAATCCGCTCAACTATCCATCGAGTTGAGCCGTGTGCGTCACGAATTGGCGGCGGTGGTGGTGGAAACACGCCTCGTGTGTGGTCACCTTGGTGTTGACCCTGATCTCGCGTCTCCCCACGACCGAGTTCCGGTCGTGGAGTAGTTCCAGAGCGCTGGGTTCGGCGTTCTGAAGTATCCTCAGGTTGCGGCGGCCTCCCAGGCCGCCTCGATCGTTCCGGCCGAGCTGGACCATTAGCTCGACCCGCTGCTCCAGCACGAAGTCGCGCTGGAGAGGATGACGGCTTCCGCCGAGTCTTCTGTGATTCAGCCGAGCTAGGTAGCTCGTGCTGCAAGTATGGCTTCCGCCGTCCGACGTAGAACGTCGGATGGAGGCGCATCCTAGACGGTATGTCCAGTGTGTTGGTGTTGCCGTGCCCTACCAGCACCGTGAACGGCCCGATGAAGCGCGGAGCGAGCTTGCTCGCCCCGAAGTCGGAAACTGCATGTTTAGGCAGGTTTTGAGTAGCTAACAAAACCAATGAACCCTTCTTGAATTCATTTGTGTTGCCCCTGCCAACGTTGTCTGCGTTCAGCTTCTGTCGATCAACAGAAGCTGCAATAGCGTCTTGGACAAACCGAATGACGGCTTGTCTGCGCTGCACGAAGTTGATTGCGTCCGAGCTGAACTCGTTCAGCTCGTTTCCAGCAGTAGGCCTGGCCTCTGCGTTCGTCTTCGCGGTGTCTGTGCCCTGCACAGACCCGTTCTTCTTTGTCTTCTTGCTCTTGCCGGCGTCTGTGCCCTGCACAGACGCGTGCTTCTTCTTCTTGCGCGTAGTCGCGGCTGACACTGTGCAAGTGTCAGTGGTATTCTGCGGCTGCTGCGTTGCAGTCGTAGATCCTCCCCCACTTAAGGAAGGAGCCACCATCCCGAGTAGACTCGGGAGGCGTGGGTGCCTGATGGCATTCACGTAGAACGGTGTATGCCTGGTCGAGGCATGCACCGAGTTGTTGATGGCGAACTCTGCCATCGGCAGACACTCGCTCCAGTGTTGGAACGAGTGAGCGAAGCTCTTAAGCACGTCTACGAGCACGCGGTTCACGCGCTCGGTCTGCCCGTCCGTCTGCGGATGGTCCGCAGTCGGCATCGAAAGTTGACCCCCAAGAAGTGTAAACACTTCTTGCCAAAGGAGTGCAGTGAAGCGCGGGTCTCGATCCGACACAATGTCGATCGGCATGCCATGGTGTTTGAACACCATGTCAATGAACAGACGCGCCGTCGGTTTCGCAGTCACTTCAGCGGGTACCGCAGCAAGATGTACCATCTTGCTGAAGCGGTCAACAAAGACCACAACGCCCGTGTTCCCCTGGCTGTCCGGGGGAAGACCGAACACGAAGTCCAAAGACATGAACTGCCAACACTCCGACGGAGTCGGCAGTGACTGCAAGGGAGCCTGCGCGAAAGGCGCAGGCTTCACACGTTGACAAACCTCGCAAGCACGGACGTACTTGCGCGCCCATTTGTACTGTGGGCCCAGTAGAAGTCTCGCGTGAGATGAAGGTATGTCTTCTCACGACCCGGATGCCCCGCTGTCGGTGCATCGTGATACTCATACATGATCCTGAGTCGCAGGTCATGGTCATTGGGCACGACAACGCGGTCCGCGTTGTCGTCGACTGCACTGTAGAGTAATAACCCGTCGTGCACCCGATAACGGTGTGCACGAGCACGAAGATGCTTCGACAGCTTCTGACGAGCTTTGTCAGAAGGCGCTGAGCCATAGGTCAGCAAGAGCTTCGCGTCCGCGTCGTGCGCGTACGCGACCTTCACGTCGTCCAACAGTGACGACGTTGGGGTGCTCGATCGCACGGCGTCAATGGCATTGACGTCGGCATCAGTCGTGGCGTAGTCAGGTCGACGCGAGAGCGCGTCGGCCACCACATTGAGTCTTCCGGGTTTGTACTCAACCCGGAAGTTATACTCTGCGAAGAATGAGAGCCATCTCGCCATCCGTTGCGAGATGTGCGGCGACTTCACAGCCGTCCGCAGCGACGCGTGGTCTGTGTAGACCACGAACGGTTTGCTTCCGAGTAGATACACTCGGAACTTCGCGAGTGCGTACTTCATGGCAAGGAGTTCTGTAACACGGTTACACGCACAAGTGACTACAGTCACTTGTAACTCTAACAGACACGACTTCTGTTAGAGGTTCGAAAGACTTTCTCGACCTTGGTGTAGACACACCAAAGGCTACATACATTTACGACCACCACGACGGGTGGTCCATAGAGACTTAGGATTCGTATTGGTTGAGAGCAGCATCTCTTAGCCAATGAGCGACATGCAGAGCATTGGAATTCTGCCAACCAGCCGTTGGCAGATTCCTATTATAGAATATTACATTTAGAGGAAGTCAGAAACATAAAACAAAAATAGCAGTTCTCATTTTAACCCAAAAACATTATTTGGATCGTTTATTTAGATTAATCTATACTCGGAGGCCCGAGTATAATTAACTCTAAGTTAAACTAAACTACGCCTTCTCACATACACGCGCACACGTGTAAGCTAAAGTACTGAGCCAAAGTAGGCCCATTACAAGTTCCTTGTCATGTACCGGGTAGTTGCGCTCAGCTGGCTTCAACTGACGCGATTGGTAGTACACGACACGATCACGACCCTCGTGATCGTGCTGCATCAACGCACATCCGATTGCGAAGTCGGATGCGTCACACACTACGTGGAACGGGCGATCTTGGTCGGTCACCGCCAAGATCGGCGCCTCAGTCAAGCCCCGCTTGAACTGCATCGAGGGCCTGCTGACACTCAGCAGTCCGAACCCACTCGGTGTCCTTCTTCAGGAGCTGTGACAGCGGGCGTATCATGCCCGCGTAGTCCTTCACGTACTTGCACAAGTACGTGGCCAAGCCAAGGAACTGCCGCAGTTCCTTGACGTTCGACGGCGTCGGCCACTCATTGATCACTCTGACCTTCTCAGGGTCAGGGCGGACACCGTTCTTCCCAACGAGACACCCGAGCACGGGTATCTCGCTCGCCCCGAAGATGCACTTCTTCAGGTTCGCATAGAGCTTGTGCTTGCGCATGAGCGCAAGCAGCTTCCGGAGATGCACCTTGTGCATCTCAACATCGCTCATCTCGTCCGCAGCCCGGCTGTGGACGAACACATCGTCGAAGTAGCTCGGTGCGAAGTCGCGCACCGAGCGCAACAAGTGCGTCACGCACCTGTTGAAGGTCGCAGGGGCGTTCTTCAGACCCTGCTGCATCACCAGCCACTCCCAGAGCATGCCGCTCGGCGTGCTCACTGTCCGCGAGAGGGATATCGCTCTCACGCATGAGGATCTGATAGAACCCATCGCGCAGATCAAGAGCACTGTAGATAGTGCTCCTGGCCATCGAATCGATGATGACATCTTTTCGAGGTATCGGCGTCTGCGCCGGTATCGTCGCATTGTTCAGCTTGTTGCACGCATGAACGATGCG